TTTAGCTATGGGATCCTGTCGAGGTCTCCATCCAGGACTGGAGAAGAGGGGGAACAGAAGGCGGTGAACGCACGAACCAGGGAAAAATGCGACTGCTTCTCGACCAGCGACAGCTAAAGCGCCCAGGCAGCGGAGCAATAGGGGTAGGTCAGGCAGGGAAGCCGGAGGTAAAGGATCGAACCGGATCGGAGAGGGTTGAAAGTGACGCGTAGCGCGAGGCCAAGTTGAGGTTGATGGCGAAGCAGGTAGGCGTCGGGGCGATGAATAGTGAGGACAGGTGCCGCGACGTGAGGTAGGTAAGGTAGGGAGGATGGGTAGGCCAAAGTCGAAGAGTGAATCAACGACAAGAGGAAGCCGCCAAAGGAGTGGATCTTAGGACGTTTGGGTGACGAGGGGTGGAAGTGAAAGTTGAGGAGTGAGCAGAGGCGTCAGCCAGGTTGAAATTGGTGCCAGAACCAGGCTCGGATCAGATGCCCTCAGGTCTAGGTAGGTTGGTCGTGTCGGGCAAAGATAACAACAACGAACGAGAGAGGGCGATGGTGTATTTTTTTCTTCTCCTCTGCTGCTCGCTCGGCACAAGCCTTTCCCCCCTCTTGGTTTTTTTTTTTTTTGTGGTGACAGAAGAACAGACACAGAGCCTCCAAGAAAAAGAAATGAAAAGGAAAACAAAAAAGGAGACTTTGCCGGCGACAGGCGACAAACGACCAAACAATAGTCGAGTCGTTGGATGGAGAGATGGGAGGGAAGAAGGCAACGGAGAGAAACAAATCAGGCTCAGCAGGTCAGGTACCAAGGAGCCACGCGCGGTATTTTCTATTCTTCTTCTGGTCGCGTCGTTCGTTTTCCCGTTTTAACGGAGGTGTGTATTTCTAAATGCAGTGGCAATGATAGATATGGAAGCTAAGGTAGGTACTCCGTACTTTCTGTGCGCGCGCGCGCGTGTGTGTGTGTGAATAGTGAAAAGCAGCATGGGCTCAGGCACAGGTTAAGTCAGCGCAACGGACGACGAACAACAACAGCCATGGCACGGTTTGGGACAGAATGGGAAGCTAATATGGTGATCGGGCTCGACGCGAGAGAGAAAGAGGGCAAGCACCAACCTTTGGGCGCCTTCATTCGCTGCTGCTGCGTGTTGGCGCTACCCGTTCAAGGAGGAAGGAGGTGGTATGTGGTGTGCAGTTTGCGGGAAAGGGGGGTGTCCAGTGACCGGCGTGCCTGTCCCCGTCCACGACTAGATGTGGTGTGGTGTGGTGTGGTGTGGGAGGAAAAGGAGTGGAGACCGACACGGGGCGGCGGCAGACGGACAGGCAATTGGAACACTCTGCGCCAGTTGCGGGCGGGTGCAAGTGCACACCGGGGGGGAACAGCGGGCCCTGGGGTGGCAGAAAAGGGCAGCCAACCTGGAAAGGGCAGGACAGAAGTCTGTTGCAGGATGATCACTGAGGAGCAGGAGGTGAGGCGTGGGAGGGCCCTGGAAACCCGAGCAGAGACCTGAGGCTAAGGTGAATGGACCCGTAATGGAGAGCAGAGGGAGATAGAGGGGGGGAGAGAGTGTGCGCCCAGGACTGGGATGTCCTTCACCCAAGGGGGGTCATAATGCAGCTGTTACAGGGAAAGGCAAGCCGCAACCTAAGACCACAACAAACACTGGACCCAATGAGACGCTGTGGTCGGTTGATTGGGTCTAATTCGGCCGGGATTGGAGACGTGACGCCTGTTCTGCTGTGAACCGGAGCACGACACATCAAGAGCTCCAATTGCGGCTATATCTTACCACCGTATATCTTAAAAGTAAGTGTCTTATGAACACTCTCCCGTAGCACCGCGCCTTTACTTACGTTTACCCAGCGTACGTTAATGCCGTAAGGCTGGTATTTGAGACGTGGGATATCCAATCTATACTGCCTGCTATCGCCCGTCCACGACCAGGCAATCTGCAAGGCAGGATATCACATGGATTGTGAGGATGCCTCGTCTGGAATGGAAACTTACATCACAACCGTCTCGACTCGCCTCACGTTGAGATTGTCTCTGATCAACGTCGACGAAGCGAGACTGGTGCATCCGTCTCCCGTCCCGTCCATTCACCAGAAGCTGTTGAACCGGGCTGATGGAGAACTGACGTGTTTCATACCGACTTGTCGTCCCGCTTTCTTTTTCCTGGAACCGAGATCTCACAGAGCGGGAAGAAGCAATGCCATATGCACTAAGACCCTCCAGTGCCGCTCCAAGTCCCCATCGAGGAATGTCTCTCGATTGCCGCTGCCGTGTCTCGTGCTATTCTTTCAGCTGCTCGTGTGAGTCCGGCAAATGAGAGGAGGTAGGTATGTACCTATCACTATCAAGTGCTCTCCTGCCCCGTTGTTCAACTCCGACTTGGTCTGGACTCGGTAACAGAACCATCTAACGATGCCGTCTTTGGCCTTAGCCTCAACCACGACATTCTTGCCCCCCATCCCCTCCTTCAACCGTCCTTCTTCTCAATTTTAGTCTAGGATGACCAAGCTCTTGAAGAATGCCTGTCTCCTCCTGCTTACCCCTTGCCTAGTCGGCAGTATATTCTACGCCATCACATAGGACGCTCTAAAGCGTTGGCTACAGTCTACAGAGAGAGGCTTACAACACTAGGTAGGCCAGAGACGGTGAAGCGTGGAAAGAGTGTCCAAAGCCACCCTTGTGGTCCCTGGACTAGCGTTCCAGGCATGAGCCTAGCAACATCGGCATAACTACCTTACCTATGGTTAGCTACCTAGCACTGTAGGTACCCTCAGAACAGGCAATGACAATCAGGGCCCTGGGCTTCTTTCCCCTGGATCACTAACACCGTCGCGGGCATCTGCTTGTCGATCAACTGGCCCTTTCTCGTGCCCTCCCGAGTCCCATGGACTTCCTTGGACTTCCATTCCTTTTCGTGGACTTCAGATTGGGTCCACCCACCATGACCCATCCGTACTTAGCCCACCTTTTGCTACGAAGCACCTACAATGTACTGCGTATGCACCGCACTGCATTGTGCTCCTCCTCCGCCAGCATCCACATCAACTCCCCATTGCTCGACGATCTACCCTTCAGCTCCAATGTCATCAGGGAACATCCCCAGGGTAACTCACTCTCCCCCTCCCTTGCTTTTTCACTGCTGCTGCCAAAGGCCCAACATGATGTACCTTCAGGTAAAGTGCCTCTTACGCAAGTCGTGACGGTATCAGTCCGGAAAGTATTGATACCTGCATCAGTGAAGGGAGAAATCCGAATTGTGAGCGGCCCAGCGCTAGCCCACGACGCTTTCCAGGACGAAGGTCCTACAATGTATGCGATGCCACCGACACCTGCAAAGCAACCTCGGGGCTGCCCAACTGGAAAGCGCCCCGTCCTGCAGATACACCGGTACGGAGCACGGATATCCCACACCTGTTTCCTTGACGGCGCACGTGTAAGCGGCAGCTCACCCACGAGGACCAACCTACCCACACCTGCGCCTGTTGCTGAACCCGTCCAATATTGCTTACGGATACGCCCATCATCCACGCGCATTTGGTAACTCCTCCTCTCATGACACACGCGAGTACACGCACCACTACACACAACTTCGGAAAAGTAGAAAATGGACTCCCAAACCGCAGAATCTGCGGAGATGGACTCAGCCATTTCTCACCTTACGGGCCTACCACCAAACTGCTGTCCCGAGATGCCGTGGACCGGCGCTTGGCTCATACCCAACCCCGTTTGCATCTCCATCCACATATCCGTACCGCCCGACATGAAAGAATCTATGTACCAGATCCGAAATTCTCTCGGAATAAACCTACCACATGTACAATCCTTGGCTGATGCTCCCTCTGGTGGATCTTCTCCATCTGCCCGTCGTATCCCATCCTCATGGATGTCTACAGTAACGAGACCCTCGTCATTGTCCTTCTTTGGCCGCCTGCCTACCACTTGACTCTGCCCATCGTCTAGCTTCCCTGTCCCCGGGCCTGCCGTCTGCCCTACCTTATCGCGATTCAATTCATACCTCGCCCCAGTGCCGACTTGCCATGGCGGAAAACGAAATCGAACACTAAAACACTCGACTACGACCTATTCGTCCGGCATCACGGCGACGGCGGCGAGTCTTCGTGCGGATACAGAAGCCTTTGCCAACCTGGTGAACTCAACCCCAGGTCAACGAGCCAACCATGCACCTTGTCCAGGGGTTGCCAGACTTCTGCATCACACCCTCTCGTGCTGTGGATAAACTCCCGTTGCCCTTCTTCGGCTCCTACCTACGGAACCCATGGAGCTGGCTGCAGCATACACTGTGTATAAGCGCATTCCCACACGTCTGGTGTTCTGACGAATACGAACCGTCCAGCGTGGCCAGGGCAGGGCAGCAAAGAAGCAAGCACCCAAGGCGGTCTGCATTCCAATGCTCGCTACAGACTCCGGAGTATTCCTCGCCCGCCTCATGCACTTTGCCTCGAGTCGGCATCTACCAAATGTCATCCTGTCGGCGTACCTGCTTGTTGACGAGCCTGTCAACGGCAATCCGCTCAAGGCTTGTTCACGCTGAATGGATCTCTTTCCGCCTTTCCGCGGCGTCCATCACGCAAAACAGCTTCCATGGGAATTCCTCACAATATATCGTCACACATGTAAACCCCAGCTTGCTCCTTGGGATGAATGCCAGATTAGGACACGGCTCACAGGTTCTCCCAAGTCCCAGCGCGGCGACTTTTTACGCACGCGCACAGAGCAAACGATCATCCCATTCATATAGGCCTGATATCACGGCCCATAGCCGATCGTGGGCCCGAGATGTCGAGCATGACGGACAAGGATTGGCGCACAGCTTCAAGTGTCTGTGGGTGGGTGGTGGTGGTGCCGGTGCCGGTGCTCAGTGCTCACTGGCCGCCATACCAATCCCCCCTTCCCGAGAGCACTTCTCATCGGCGCCAAAAGCAAACACCAGCGCCGGCAGATGCCCCATGGCACCCTACGCACTTGTCATACCCAGGAAGCCCATGCCATCTCTCGAGATTTTCTCTCAGAATGAGCCGATTGCGTCGCTGTATGCTCGATCCTTGAACCTAGGATACGCCGCGAATTGTTGCTTCCCATGGCCCCGCCCACATCGTGACATTTTCGGAGACTGTTTGGTCTGGTATGGACACATCAGCGGTCTACTAGGATTGCAGACGGCTCGACGGGAAGGAAAGCCACTGTAGACTCCTATTTCTGCAGCCAGCCAAAGAACTGAAGAAATCTTTGTTTCAGATTTCGCCCACATACCAGCTCAACCCACGCGCTAGGCACTTCATAGTCCACAAAAATCGACTAGCTGGAATCTGTCGGCCTTGTCTGCCTTCCCTGGCCCCTGGTCCGCGATAGCAACTCATCATCTCCCCGGATTTGGATCATCCAGAGCTATTCGAATGCACAAGAAGATGGTAGTCTTTCGCATTCAACTTGCCAAGTTCGCCGGCTCACAAGTCCTGAGTCTCCTCGCCGACAAACAGTCATAGAGCCCGTACCAGTGGATGGCTGGCAGGTCTATCCTGGATGTCTTCATCTGCCCACCCATGCCGTCCAGAAATACCCTCCAATCTGCGTCGTGCAGTTCCAGTGGCTCATCCACATCTGAGAGGCTGTTGTTCAACACAGTTGCGACACTAGAATCAAACTACGTCCCCAAACCCGCTTACTTGATGAGCACTCCTTGTAGACCCCGGGTTGGGTTGGGGGGACTCAAAGCCCAACGCGTCTACTTGAATTAATTTTTTTTGCTGCAAGCTACCCAAACAATATGGCCGTCTCATTCCGGCAAATGCTAACCGTAATCAATCCTCAACAGCGGCCGGGCCGTGGCAAGGGGAACTGCTCAAATGTAGTGTAGTCACCTGTCGATCTCATGCAATGCGACTGCAGACTACAGAGCCAGGTTCCTATTTCTGACGAGAGACACGACAGAGAAGCAGCGCAACTAAAGCCGCGAGGCCCTTTATTACTACAGCTCATATCCTCATGCGGCCTTGACCACCTATGTCACTCGCAGTACCACAACAGTGTCAGAAAGATGCTCGCTCCCTTCGTCATAAGTCGTAATGAAAGCGAGCAGGAACGAATGGCGCTGTGACCGTGGTCGCCTCTGCGACCCCTTTTATTTGGCCCCTCTGGCCCTTTTGTGAAAACGACTGAAGTTGGTAGGCAAACGAATCCTTGGGCGAATTAGCCGTGGCGCTAAGGACCGTTCTTGCGGTAGTCTCAGAACGATGGGAAAGGGAAAAAGTTGATGTTCAAGGGATTCGAGAGGAACACATTGAATGTGACATTTTGGTGCGGGTTTAATGGCGCATCCGAGCGTTGGAAGGGGACTCGCACCACGGCTCCCCCTCTCCCAAGGTGCTACATCTTGAGATATGGAGGGCGTAGACTAGGTAGTAGACTAGACAATAGCCAACGATAGCCGCGAGCCGTCTCAGCTGCTGGGACAGTGTCCTGAGCACCGGCACGCCCCTATCCTTCAAGAGAGGTCAACCACCCGCGCACCCCGTAACAGCTCTGCGAAATGCAGGATCTCCCTCCGTCGACTGCCCAATGTATCGTGATGCGGTCGTTTGCACCGGAAACGCAGACGTGCGGGCGGGTTAATGGCCCGGCCGTGCGGGATCCAGCTTCCTTAAGTAGTCTCCGATGGGTGATGGAATCTCCAGCATCAGTACGGCTTCAAGGCGTAGTGTATACTCGGACGCTGGGGATTGTGGTCTGACACTGGCCAGAATCTGGGGGAAGGAGGGGGGGACACTTGGTGCGCTCTGCGCCGCGCCCTCAGCTGTCACCGCCGCCAGGCTCTCTTGCCGGATGATCAACCCCCTTCAATGAACGCCCCCAACGGGTTTTGGCCTCGCCTCTTTTACGAGTTTGCTTTGCTTTGCTTTCCTTCTCCCCTTCCTCGGAGTCGCGTTCACGCCACGTGTCGCGTGCCCAGCTTGCCCGTGGAGAGGAAGCCCCTATTCCCCATCTCGCCCCTCCACCCGATGCCGAGAACCCCGAACATGATCCTGCCGTCTTCGCCTGGCTGGGCCCTATTCCCCTCCGCCTCCTCCACCACGAAGCACACCTGCTCGACCTCTCCCGGGTGCAGCACCGGCCGCGCACCGCCGCCGCCCGTCTCCCAGTTACAGTCCGTGTAGCCCAGACCGTCGGCGAGGTCCAGCACCACCTTCTCGAGCTGTATGACGTCCTCTGAGCAATTCTCGAGCTGCGCCTCCATAACCCACCGCCGCCCGCCGCCGTGTTTCGCGCGGCCGAGCGGGCCAATCTTTGTGCGCACGATGAGCGAGGACTTGCAGATGAACTGGTACAGCTTCCGGAACGTGCGCGTCTTGCCCGAAGTCTCGGTGGCCTCGTAATAGCTCACCGTCACGGCGAGAACGTGGTTGCCTTCCTCCTTGAGGTCAAAGTGTACGATGCGCTGGAGGGTCTCACCGGCTTCCAGGTCCGTGCCCTTGCCGTCGTCCTCGTCGTTGCCGTTGCCTGCGGAGTCTGGCGGGGAGAGGTCGAGTTTCTGGATCGAGTTGGCGCCGGGGGTCTTCATTTCCGCTTCGATTCGGACGTCGCGGATGCTTTTGCGCTTCGTCGGGGCGGCTGCTGCTGCTGCGCCGGCGCTGGCGCCGAGCGGCCCGCCTCCTCCTCCGGGCACTGCTGCGGACTCGGGGACGTCGTGGTTTGCGCAGAGGGTGCAGCTGAAGACTTCGCCGACGTAGGCGGAGCCGAAGCTCAGGGGTAGATTGAGGATTGGCGACAGGAGGAAGGGGGAGGGGTTCGTGGAGGCGGTGGTGTCGTAGGCGAGGGAGGCCGGGGTCGGGTCCGCGGGGAGGTTTGAGGGCGTCAGGGGCGGCCGGATGGGGTGTTGGATTACGAGGGATGGGCGGGATAGTCTATGGGTTTGGTGATTTTCGGGTTAGACATTTGTGTTTCTCCAGCTTTAGTCTCGTTGGACGGGGGAATGTGCGAGGGTGTGAGGCGTTCGCTGCGTGTAAGTTGGGATCTCTCTACCTGAGGACTTTTAAGGAGACGGAGTGAGGCTCCTTTAGAGGGTCGTGGGAGGGGTATCTTTGGTGGCTCATTGTTGCGTACGCGTCTCGCCGGTCGAAGTGGTAGGGGGATACCTGTCAATATCCTTGAGAGATACGATGTGTTGTCGGGATCTGCTGGCGGACAAAATATGCAGCACGACGGGACGTGACAATTGAAGATGGGAAGAGGTGGGAGAGATGGGCCGGTGGGACGAAATGACGATTGGGGGTCTTAGCTGTGGTGGGTCCCCGGAAGTGATTATCGATAAGGGTGGGAAAGACAAAGCTGCTGGGGTGGATGAAGTGGATAGGCCCGGGGCCGCTGGCGGAGCTCTCCCCCGCATGTTCGGGCCCCACTCGGGTTCCGGGTTAGAGGTCCTCGGGAGGGCGGACGGATTCGCGCACTGTGGCTGAACTACGGTGCAAAGTTTTGTTTCCGGTCCGCGAGTCACGACTTTGTTGTGGAGACCTAGTTTACTAATGGTCTTGACGTCCATTAAAGGTGGCATGGTGCAGGCCAGATCAAGAGCAGTCTCGTTCCCAGCTGTGACTAGATATTTTCAAGGCTAGACGTGTTTCCTAGAGCTCGGTGATAATCCAATTTACGTCGCAGAATATCTACCAAATTTTTAGATCCGCCCAAAGCCAGAATCTCTGCGAATGCAATCTCGGCCCCAGAAGAAACGGCGAGGTCCTACTGATCCAAATTCCTGGCCCGGAGACATCATGATTGCCAAACTTGCTTCGTAAGGGAGCTGTGGCGTTGAATAGCAGGTTGTAGAGAACAGGATGATTTCATATATTCTATATCATGCTAGGTTGTTGACAGGTAGAAGTCGACTGGTGTGTATGATTACAACTCATGTTTGGGAGCATTAGTAGTAGGCAACGGGAGGCTTAGATTCTTATATTGCGTGACTTCAAAACATGCAAGATTGTACCTCTCCAATTTAGCGCGCACTCTCGACAAAAAGCTTCCTTTTCCTGGGTCCCCTCTCGGGTTAGGTGAAGACAGCAGGCTTCTCGAATGTTTCATGTCAAGGAGGAGTGCATCATTGCTGCTGATGTCTTCGTGTGTATTCCTTGGACGTTAACTTTGTCTACTCCCAGTCAGATTGTAGACTATTTCTTTCCACAGAAGCAAATAAATTCTCCTCGCCCTCAGGCACTAGCAAACAAAGCAAAATTGGATGAGAATTAGCCGAAGGGAAGCAGCAGGAGGCGACGTCGGGACTCAGCGTCCATGAAAGGCTCAGAATACGGAAGCCTGACCAGTAATCAAAGGATCAATAAGAAAGAAGATCGCTGCCTGGAGAACTCTATACCTTTGACACCTGATAGAATTTCCTGGTTTGCAACACAAGGCGATGTTTCGTTTTAAACCACTCCTAAGGAGGCTACTTTAGCCGAGGAAATAATCTCGACGGCGTCCCATAGGAACGTCTCGAGGTCGCGGCGACTGATACCGTTGTCACACAACCAAGTAATCCTGTATCGACCGTAATTCCCGATCCCAGTAGGACATAGACAATAGTACGGAGAATGACGGGGGTTTTTACCCAGATAATGGTCCTATTGACGAGACAGACCATCCCAAAGTCGTAGGTCCATGTTTGAGAACTCTCCCCACTGTAGGTTCGTCCCATTTTCGGTGTGTCCACGAGCTGAAAAGCCTACCGAGGGGCCCAACGATGAACACCCTGTGACACTTTTTCTTTTTCATAGCATGTATTTGCCGCGTTGTACCCATCTTTCTTCGTTAAGGTAAAGGGACCGAACACAAAGTACTTTTCCCAACACATCTTCACTAGTCAACTGGCAACTCGGAGGAGACTTGGAGGAAATAATAAACACCTAGTTGCAGGGCTTTGACCCCGAGGTCAGGTCTCGCAGGTACCCTGACTTTCGACGCCAACCTTGGCGAAGATTGATACGTGCTACGCTGCAGCCTATAATGCCCATGAGCTCTACATCACAAGGCCCTGAATTTAGCTACCTGTACGACCTGGGTGGTGTTTTGTGTTCATATTACTATGTCTTTTGAATCATATACAACTTCACCCATGCCTCCTTCAGCACCTGAGGGACCGCCTGCTGCGGGAAAGCGCTCGCATAGTCGTGGGCTGCGACTCCGATGTCTCTTCCCACCACTAAGTGGCAATGCAATTTTCTCCATCATTACTAGACCCGTCCCTCTTTTCTAGAGGCCGGGAGGGGGTGGTAACTATGGGGTTTATTAGCGGTACTCTCTTGACACAACATTGAAGGCGTGGCACTTACAGCACCGTATCCTCCGGTACCCGGAGGCGCGCCCGAGGGAGGGGGAGGGGGAGCAGAGCTCGGAGGAGGTGGGGGAGGAGCGGCCTCGCTGGGAGGCGGAGGCGGAGGGGATGCCGATGCACCTGGAGGCGCGGGCGAACCTTGCTGCTGTGCTTGCGCAGCAGCATAGTACTGCTGATACATTTGGACGTAGGCAGCATAGCCGCCATACGCGGCGTAGGGGTCCTGACCGCCATAATACTGCGCGTACTGGGCGGCGTAGTCGGCTCCGGCGGCAGGGCTGTTAGAACCGCCGGGAGGAGCAGGGCTTGCTGACTGCGCGGAGTTTTGACCGCCATAGCCGCCGTGGCCACCATGACCGCCGTGGCCTCCGTATCCGGAGTTGTAGCCGCCACGGTCGCCGCGGTCGCCGCGATCACCGCCGTGGCCGTGGCCTCCATATCCACCATGACCACCATCGTGGCCCCGGGAACGGTCGCCATAGCCACCGCGGTCACCGTAACTACGAGGAGGTCTACTCTTGAACTCCTCGTACTGCTCTTTAACATTCGCAATCAGATCTTCGCAAAGCTCCTTGGCCTTCTCGACCATTTTAGGATCAGGGCCGCTGTCAATTGTCAGTATAGAGACGCAACGTCAATAGGATTGTAAAGCACTTACGCGACGTGAAGGTACATATCCTCGTCGCTCTCGCGATTGGTGGCTGCTTCCAGATATCCAGAACCACGTCCTTTGATTTGAACGCGGCACTGAGTCTCTTGCTGGATGTGCTTGACGTAGGCACCGCCATGGCCAACAACTTGGGCACGGAGGTTGAACCCAGGGACTGACTCCAAACCAATCGGGATCTTCTCCTCGGGCCATTTGCGCTGCGATATGTTAGACACAATATACGCAACTGATTTTTATACCTACTCGGCCATATTCGTCTCTCTCAACCTGCTCCTGGTCACGTCGGCGGAAACGACGCTCGTCTACCAGCGCAGGAAGTTCCTGTTTCATGAGTTCCTCAATCTTTGCCACGGCTTGCTCAAGGCCTGTCTTCGATGTACTGGTGACGTGCAAGTACAACGGCGGGTTCTGAGGAGAGTGTCAGTGAGTGTTACGACATTATATTTTTGGTAGACATACCGCCGCAGTCGCCATGCTCTTGTCGGGATAGTAGTTTCCTCGGGTAGTAACATCTTGCAAAGTCAACCTTTGTTCCTAATTAGACGTAAAAAATGGGAGGTGTTTCGTACCAGCACCAGTTTCTTCTTTGATCTAAATCAAGCAAATGGAGTCAGCAGGTGCCAAAGAGGGGTGATCTGTGCGAGCTATCGTGCCAAGTAAGCAGGATGATCTCGACACAAATCTGTTTATATGTAGGAAAGCGGAGTACGCCCGAGGCGAGGCCTGGGAAGGAAGTATGATCAGTGGTTTTGCACAGGAGTATTTACCATCTTCTGAGTCGACCCCTTGGTCAAGAGGTATCGGTTACGAAGGTCGTTCACTTCAATGTCTTTGATAAAGTCGCCGTCGGCGATGTACATCTCTCCATTGATCGTGTTGGCCGGATCAGGCGATTGGGCGCCCCCGGCAGGAGGAGTGGCGGTCTTGATCGGGGGGACATCGACGTGCTGAATGCCCTTCTTCGCTTGGAGTTGCGCATTGATTCGCGCGGCAGCGGCAGCTGAGAGTCTGTTAGCCACATTTCCTGTAGAAACAGCGAGGCGCAACCCATACCAGCCGCAGCGGCGGCATCCACGGGCGACTTCTTCGGTTCTGTCGCCTGATCACTGGGTAGAGGGCTACGGTCTCTCGCCGGCTCTGAGCGTCTTCCCGGCGGCGATCTGGAGCGTCGGTCGAATCGCGAAGCCTTACGCGGCTCTGGCTCGGTTTGGTCGAAGCGCGAGCGCTTGGCGGAGCGTCGCTCGGTGTCATCCATGGCGACGTTTGAATGCAGTAATGCTGGAATACTGTCGCTCGTTACTGAAAATCGTCTTCGACGTGCGTCTAGGTAATGCGCAAGCGCCTGGATATCGATTTGTGCGAACCAGAGGATTAGGAATGTAAAATTTCCGAGGTATGAAGCTCTTTGGAAGTGGAGCCTTGGAGAGTTGGCTGGACCAAAATAAAGTGGATTGGTCCGTGCGGCGCGACGGCTTGTCGTTCCCATCAAGGACTTGGAAGTTAGCGCCTCAGGTGTCAGACGTAGGTAGCTGCTGTTTTTAGTCGGCACCCGCCGCCACATGGTTGCATCGGAGCAATTATCGGCGGGAAGAATGCAGCCGCCCATCGTAAGGTAACTCTTTGACGTTCTACCTGTTCCTTTTTCAGAGACCTACTTGCAATTGCCTCCACTGGTCTAGCCCTTGCTTATTGTTTTGAATATGACAAGGGTTGCGGAGCCGGAATCACATATTAGGGTCTCTTGAATGTCCTCAGTCTAGAGTGCAGTTGACTAGATGCCTGACCTCTGTGATTCGAGTGGTTGTTACTGAAGTCAATTAACTCGAGAACTAAGACAACAACATTGCAAACGTCATCTGTACTGGCCTCCAATGTGGCACAGTTGCAGATAATTTTGTATTGCAAAATTTCAACTACAAGTTAATTGACATGACTCAAGTCTCAAGTTGCCTGGACGTGTCTATTAAGGAGATGTTGTCAGCTTGTGAGCGAGTGCGAGGACTGGACAATCTGAACGGTTGCCCTGTAACAATCGATTTAGTTGTTGATAGCTCAGTATTTTCCTCAAGTTATGCATGGGGTTTAATATACTCCACTTCGACTTACATTGGCTACCTACCTGCAGCATCCAATGAATGGCTTCTTCTCTCCATCCCACATCCTACCTACCTCACAGACATGTTACATGGTGATTACTAGGTACTTTGGAAATGCTGCGACAGGTCAGCAACTGACACAGTGCAGGATGTAACCCCGCACCCTCCAAGACGACCAACCCCGCGATGCAGTGTCAGTTGGTAGTCCACTCGCTCGGTGGAAAACCCTTGTCAGTAGCTGATCCGTGCCCCTCTACCCCTGCCAACGGCCAGCTCCCCTGCTTTCGCGCCTCCGACTTGCCTCCGAAGAATCGTCCCCCAATCTCCTCAAATTTTCCCAGTGGAACTGACACAGACGGTGAGTCAGGTGCTTTTCTTATCTCCCCCAGCCATTGAATCTAGAAAGCTCACACTACTTCAAGGTTCTTGAGATTCGTCTTTCCTCTGGTCCAAAGAGAGCAATTGGCTTGTTCTCGCAATTTGAACCGGAAAGATGGCGTCTCGCCGACTAATTTCGACTTCGCTCTGGCGGGCCGCCGCCGCCCCGGCTCAAGCGACATCGCTCTCCGCCGCACGATGGAGCTCGACGACCAGCTCGACCTCTGCTATTGCCTACAAGGCTCTTCGACGCCGCTCGGCACCTCTGCCCGTCAGCGACAGCCCGCCCGCCTGGTCCGCCCAGGCTGCCGTCTCTAACATCCTCTACGACATGCCCTCCCCGTCATCGCAACCCCCGAAGCGTCACGTCCTCAACTGCCTTGTCCAGAACGAGCCCGGTGTGTTGTCCCGCGTCTCCGGCATTCTCGCGGCCCGCGGCTTCAACATCGACTCACTCGTCGTATGCAGCACCGAGGTCGATGACCTCTCGCGCATGACCATCGTCCTGACCGGACAGGACGGCGTCGTCGAGCAGGCCAGACGTCAATTGGAGGATCTCGTTCCTGTCTGGGCCGTATTGGACTACACCAACGCCGCCCTGGTTCAGCGCGAGCTTCTGCTGGCCAAGATCAACATTCTTGGACCTGAGTACTTTGAGGAGCTGCTCGCTCATCACCGTGAGATGACGGCCGTCGACATCGAGGAGCATGCGCTCGAAGGAGAGCAGCAGCAGACCCTTGAGGATGTCGCCAAGGACTTCCACCCCAGCAAATTGGCTGTCAGCCAGGCATTGCGCCACAAGCACGAGCATTTGAAGTCCATTACCTACTTCGCCCACCAGTTCGGAGGAAAGGTCCTTGATATCAGCACCAACAGCTGTATCGTGGAAGTGTGAGTCTAACCCTGAGCCGACGGAAGCCGAAAGAGTGTACTGACAGTCGCGCAGCTCCGCCAAGCCGTCCAGAATCGATTCCTTCCTGAAGCTCATTGGACCGTTTGGTATCCTCGAGTCTGCCCGCACTGGTCTGATGGCCCTGCCCCGTTCGCCGTTGTACGGACCCAACGAGGAGACGATTATCAAGGAAGCGGATGAGGTTGTCGACGCTAGCCAGCTTCCTCCTGGTTAAGTTGTTTTGTATCAAAGAATATCCGGCGTTGGTAAAAAGGGGTATTGCCATCTTTTTCAATGCTACCAAGTTGCTATTCAATCTGTACCATTTTTTTTTTTTTGCCAAGAAAGAAACGCCTCGCCTTTTGTTGTCGCTGTGAGCCTTTTTGAACGCCGACACATGTCCCTTTAGATCTTGCCCTTGTTCACAACGAAGCCCTCGAGGGCAGCTTTTCACTTGTTAGCGTCGTGACGTCTGCCGAGGAATACAAAGTAAACTTACAAACGGCAGCCCAGAGACGGTTCTCGGCCTCGGGGAAGACCAAGGAACGGGTGCTGTAAAAGACCTCATCGGCTACCTCCTCCGGGTGACGAGGCAGGCAGTGCATAAACTTCCAACCCTCCTTAGCACCGCCTCGCTTGGCCAGGTCGTTGGTAATCTGGTAGCCGGCAAATGCCTTGAGGCGCTTCTGGGTCTCGGTCTCCTGGCCCATGGAAACCCAGGTATCGGTCACCAGGATGTCGGCGTTCTTGATGGCGTCTTCAGGAACGGTAGTCTCAATGAGCTTACCGGGAGCAGCAACGCCCTTGGCAGCAGAGTTGATGATGGCCTTCATGGCTTCGGGAATGCCGTATCCGGCAGGAGAGGCTACGGAGATGTCGACACCCATCTTGACGCAGCCGATGGCCAGGTCAAAGAGGACGTTGTTGGAGTCCCCGATCCAGGCAACCTTCATTCCTTTCAGGCCCAGGTCGGCCTTGTCTGAGGTGACAGAGGCAGGGAATGCCTCGTGAATAGTCAGGAAGTCTGCAATAATCTGCAAAGGGTGATAGTCGTCGGACAGTGCGTTGATGACGGGGACGCTAGAGTCCTTGGCCAGCCCAGCGACGTCAGAGTGAGGACCGACACGAGCAACCATGCAGGAGGTCATGGAAGAGATGACCTTGGAGGTGTCATACAGAGACTCGTTGACCTGGACAGCTGTTACGTGGATACTCTACACAATTGGGGCCTCAGTCGACGTACCCCCAGCTGAATGTCATCCTTTCCCAGGAACATAGGGTGACCACCCATGAGAGCCACGGCAGCTTCCGTCGACACACGAGTACGGGTACTGCGCTTGCTGAACATCATGGCAACCGTCTTGCCCGTCAAGCTCGACGCGAGCGCCTGGGGAACATTGCCAGACTTGACTGCGGTCTTGTTTGACGCAGCATTGCGGACGAGGGTAGCAAACTCGGCAGGGCTGAGGTCCGCAATGGACATGAGATGGCGCGGGCCGGCAGAATGTGAGTAGGCGCGGCTCTGAGCGCCGTTGAGAGCTTGATGACTGACTCGGAAAGCTGTTTGCTTCATTGTGGGCGCCTTGGTTAGTCGAACTGTGGAGGGTGGAATTTGAGAAGCTGTAGACCAGTTTGGGCTGATAGGCTTGAGTCAATTGGGGGCTCAAAAGATGAAGCTTTACTCAAAAATTGTGAACAGTGATAGACAATGGCTAATGAGTCAAGGTGGTGTTCAATTGATGAGTATTGGGATTTGGTTGAGTCACAAGCGGATTGGATGGATGGCTTCACGAGAGACAACAACGGCTGGGACCTCCGCAAACTCTCCTGCGGGCTGCAAACTCAATGTCCTTCACACCGCTTTACACCGAAAATTTCAGAGTCGGCCAATAGAACCCTCCCTGTAGCCACAGCGCGTTGCAGGGCGTTAAATGCAAAGTCAGGAGGATGGCACAGGCGAGACACTGACACTGTGCACCTAAGGTATCCGTAGATAAGGTACCTACTTCGGGTGCCCAGACGGTCCGTTGAAACCGCCGGAACCGGAACATGCCAACAACATACCTTAAGGTAAGTCGGGCCCTCCACTAGGTACGTAGTATCTATCCGCAGCCCAGTGACGGCCAGAGACAATGCTGGACGTGCCACTGGTGCAACTGCAGAGATGGTGCATGTGTGCCTGAGAAGGAATGGCCCGTGCACACCCGGCCAGGTACTGAGGGCAATGGTGGGAAGATCATCCCCAGCCATCCACATGGGCTTTCAGTGGGAAAGTCGGCCCTGGTGACCAGATCTCGTCTCATTGGTTTCAGCTGGCCTCCACCCCGGCCTCTTCAACTGCACTGCCCGTCCTGGGATGAACCAAGTTATTTGACATCATCACCATTACGAATCCCGCACCCCGACTATCTGGGTTGTCTGGGTACGATCGGAAACCCGCACGCTTCCTCTCTGCATGATTTCCTTTTGTACGACTTCTTCTGGTTTCAATACTGTTCGCCTCCCCGACCGGCGATGACGGACTCTCTCGTGCTCTGATCCGACAACGACACACCACGAATTGTGATCACGATAATACTACATACGCGATGGCCGAAGACGAAGAAAGATCGCCACTCCTGGCGTCCAAGGGCAAAGGCAGGGCCGAAGACGATTCCTCTTTGTCCGAGTCAGCGCCTCTGTTATCCAGCTCTTCTGCGACTCCCCGATATGATGGCGAGCAAGACGACCCTGAGAGGTCCCGCGCTGCCTCCCTTGCTTCGAACCCGCCGAGCACGACCACTAAGAGTTCTGTACGATGGGCGTCTGTGATATCCATTATTGTACTGATCTTGCTCGTGTTTGGTATTATGGCCGGCTGCTTTTTCGTGCCCTCGGCGGTTCAAGAGTATGCGACGCAAGCTGCGGTCATTGAACCGACGAATCTGGCCCTGGAATCAATCACGACAGACGGTGTGCGGGCGCGGGTGCAGGCGAACTTCAAGCTTGACGGCTCCAGAGTGCAAGATACGACGTCTCGAAGGATCGGAAAGTTTGCGACTTGGATTGTGAGGCAGCTGGGAACGGAGCAGACGAAGGTTGGCGTTTTCTTGCCGGAGTATGACGACGCTTTACTAGGCACTGCTGTGGTGCCGCCACTCACTATCAGCATCGTCGATGGTCAAACCACGGCGGTCGATTTCATCGCTGAGCTGTCGCCTGGCGACGCCGAAGCATATCGAAAGATTGCCAACGAATGGCTAGACGGGAAGCTTGACCAGCTCAAGGTGCTTGGAAAGGCCAATATTCCACTCAAGTCCGGAATCCTCCCACTTGGTACTCATCCAGTGAGCGAGGTCTTGGTATTTGAAGGTCAATCACTCTACCGCTCCTTCGCTTCCCTATATTTTGGAAAAAAAGCTTTGTTTTAAATACTATTATGCTTCAATCACACAACATGTCCTTCAAAGCTTCTTACTAATACCTCGTACAGCGAACCAAATCCCTACGCTGCCAAAGTACAACATCTCGCGCCTCAATTTCCAAGACTTACCAGATTCAGAAGGTCAGCGAACCGCGGTTGGTGCCGACGTTGCTATTACCGCCTACAACGAGTTTCCAGTCAGCCTAGATGTACCCGAACTTGGCTTTGAAGTTCTTGTCCCCAACTGCAATTCCTTCGATCCCTACATTCTCCTCGCCGACGCCACCACCAAACCCCTCTCAATCAAGCCACGAACTGATGTCACTGTCAATGTTTCGGGAATCATCCGGGAGCTTCCAAAGTCCTTGACGCGAGTCTGCCCCAACTCGAAGTCGTCACCTCTGGACAAATTCTTGGACCAGTATATGCATGGCGAGGCCGCCACTGTCTACGTCCGTGGCCGGAAAATGCCCGATTCGGACACTCCGGAGTGGGTCGGCGATATCTTGTCCGAAATCACTGTTCCTGTCCCCTTCCCGGGTCAGGGTTTTGACAACCTTATCAAGAGCTTCTCTCTCACTGACGTGAACTTTCAACTGCCTGACCCTATGGCGGATCCGGATGACCCCGATGGATCGCCAAAGGTATCGGGTACGGTCGAGGTCCTCGCTAGTCTACCGAAAGAGATGAACTTCGACATCAATGTCACGGACTTGCGAGCCACGGCAGACGTCATGTACCAGCACAAGAAACTCGGGGAACTCAACCTTGACAGGTGGCAGTCTGCCAACTCGACCAAAGAGGACGGCGACGAAAAGCACGAGCCTCTCCTAAGAATCACTTCCCGGGTCATTGACGCCCCCCTCAATATTACCGACGGCGACGTGTTGACCGACGTTATGCAGAGACTTCTCTTCGGTGGAAAGCAGGTTCTGTTAGATGTCAAGGCCGGTGTCGACATCCGAGTCAACACGGCTCTAGGAAACTTGGTCTTGAAGGATGTCCCTGCTGAGGGCAAAATCCCGGTAAAACGTCCGTACTAAGTCCGGCACTGTTTGTCTTATCGTGGGTTGATTTCTTATGTCCCTGATAACTAAGGGGAAGTGAGCGAGCTTGGCAGCTTACACTGGTGCAGCTCTACCTGGCGACACCTTTGGTAGCATCCACCCGCAAGTGGGAGATGTGAAGATAATCAGTACCTCCTCCTCTGCGATGACTCTTGAGGCGCTGGTGAACATCACAAACCCCACACCGTACACAGCCTCCATACCATATGTCAACATACATATCGTCAGAGACGGGTTCGTGCTTGGCAGTGCTACTGCGGAGAATTTAAGAGTCGTTCAGGGCAACAACACGAACTTGGTCGTTAGAGCAAACTGGGATCCGACCTCTGAGGGCGAAGCTGGCCGCAAGATTGCCAGTGATATGATATCAGAATATCTCTCTGGACGTAACGTCACAATAGACGTCAAGACTCATCGAGGGACGATACCGACTGCTCCACTCATTGGCGAGGGGCTATCCAAACTGAACATCAGCATCGCCGCTCCGAAGTTGGACCTTCCTGGGGAAGGCGGGAAGAAAGGGCATTTCATCAGAGATGCGACTTTCCATGTGCTTTCTTCTACAGCGACGTTTACTCTGGTGTCTCCGCTACGGTACAACACTATCTATGTCGATTGGGTCAATGCCACAGCATTGTACAACCATACTGAGCCGGTTGGCCGTATTGTTTACGACCTTCCCTTTGCGGCGCCTCCCGGGACATCTGTGACGCCAAAGCTGCCCGTAGACTGGTCTATGGGATCTGTGGGTTATGACGCCGTGAGGAGGGCGATTGGAGGGGTCCTGACTCTCGACGCAAGTGCAAATGTTACGGTGCGGATTGGGAATTGGAAGGATACGGTCTGGTACGAGGGCCAAGGAATAGGCGCAAGCATTCGTTTGTAAAAGGTTATTGGGTTTGGCGTTCTTGGTTATTGGTTATTAATAGGTTGGTAGGCGGCTGTCAGCGCCTTACGCGCAAAGCGACAAAAAAACACAAGTCACGAACTTGTATATTAGTCCAACGTATAGAGCAGCAGCATAGCTTTGGCTATAGGCTCCATGTGGTCAATTGAGCACCTCTTGGTCTTGATGGAAAACCCTTGACATATTTCCCACAATCAAGGGAGCACACTTAATGAATATGGGATGTTCATAAGCATAGTGATGAAGCATATGGAGATAATTTCCTTTTCTTGTCTCCCTTCGTTTTATGGTCATTTAGTGGCAAGGGAGTTCTAAAGCTCTAGCATTAAATTCTTTAAAGACAGATTTGATTAATTGATTGCCGAGTGAGAAATTGATCTGGTCCTAAATATCCCTTTGACAATTTCATCCTTGGGTGCTTGTGAGAGGCAAATAGTGGCATCCTTCCTGTCCTTGGTCCCTTTCCACGATCTCTATTTCTTATTCCGATGTATTACTATCTAATTCTATTGAGATGCTGTCGGATCCTGGAGATAAGAAGAAGTTTGGAAACCAGAAGCAAGAGGCTTCCCGGTCTGATATCGGTGTGTAACACGGTGCGCAAAACTGTGCTTGGCATGTCTGGCGTCAAGGGGCCCACCCACTGTTACCCCAGGGCAGGCTTGAACATCCATTCACTGGGACCATCCTCTCTCATTGAACCTCAAGCTTGTTACACAAGGGCAATCAAATCGTCAATTGATCTCACCAGATTCTCGACATGCGTTCGTATCAGCAATAGTCCATTTTTTTTATTAGGTTGTGGAAAGACCTCACAGCCGTGGTCAACGACTCCAAACATTCATGACAGAAAAAAGGGGCCTCATCTCAAATCCAGATAAACATCCATCTCTCACATCCATACCACCCGAATAGCGGTGGGCCCCTTGCACGCGATGCCGAGTCTCAACTTCTCCCCTTACGCACCACGACGCCGCCGCTCTCCGCGCATAGTCATCACTTGGGTCGCAGCTTGGCTCACGGTCCTGACGCTGACGTGGTGGATCGTGACGCGGCGGTCGTCCGGCCTGGCAGGCGGCTTGGAACGACTCGCCGAAGCCGACGCGGTGATCAAGGGCAAGGAGGTGCCCCCAGAGGCTGGTGCTTGAGATTTGTCTACTTGCGCCCTTTTGCGTCGGCCTCTTCCCTCTATTTCTCTTTCCTTTTTTTTTTTTTTTTTTTTTTTTTTTTTTTTTTTTTTTTCTTTTTTCCCCCTGCGCCCCCCCCCCCCCCTTTTTTTTTTTTCTCTTTTTTTTTTTTTTCTTTTTTTTTTTTGGGTTCTTTATCAGTCTTGGCCAGATCGGCCCGCCGAGCTCTTTTTCCGCTTTTCCTTCTTCTTTCGGTTGTTTGGTTTGTCTTGCCTGCTGGAACATTGGGAAAGCGCCTCCGCCCCTACAAAACTATGCCCTACGGCAAGGTCCGCTATCATGAGACCGGACTCTTGATGGGTGGACTGATGTGGCACGCCCTCGGCGGCGGCGCGGCGTTGCGTCTTGGACGCTTTTGTAATGATTAGGATCTTTGGGAATGAGGATGGCATGGATGTCGAGGCATGGCGCAGGGCAGACGGATCAAGCAAGATGTTATCGGGGATCAGGACACGCATCGCGATGATGACCTTGGGGGATCGCGATTCTTTTAAACATTCAATTCGCCCCTTGACACACTTCAGTAAGCCTTGAGGTAATCGTGTTACACGGGTGTGGTCGCAATCCCGCTCGTCAAACATGTAGGATCGATCCGATTGTATGTCGTGGGGGATTCACCTCAAGTTGCAAGGGGATTATGAGAGGGGGAAATGACACCGAAACGACCACTACTAGCGGGAAGGAAGGGTCGGTTGGCATGCAAATTCTCCGACGGAGCTACGGTTTCCTGGAGATTAAGGTCGCCTGGGTAAGCACTGGGCCATTGGAACGTCAAAGGGAGACTCAGACCTCTGGGGCATGGGGAGGATTGGAGGACTGGCTGGGCAAAGGACGAGAAAGACACAAAGTATGTGTAAGCAAGCAAAACCAACAACCCTCACCATCGCGATCCTCAAGTTTGCGAAAGGAAACAACACGAAACGTGGGCGTTTTTCGGGCGACGGCGAAGAGAGGGAGAAGAGGCGTACAGCAGATAGTCCTCGATTGTCCTATTTCTTCTTCTACTCCTTCTTTGCTTCTTCTGCCCTGTCATTCCTTTCACCATTTTTCCAACATCAGACTGAAAGAGCAAGCGCTCAAACTTCCGGACCTCGAAAGATCGCTGCGCACGTGTAGTACCTGATCTACGGGCTTTACTCTACCTTCTCTATGCCTCGCCTGTCCAGAGAGCTCCGCCTGAACTGAAAAAGGATAAGAAAATATAAAGCCGACTCCACATGGCAGATCGGCCTTTGTCCCAAGCATACCGTTTCCAGAATTAGTCGGGGGCTTCGCCATCGAGAGGGGGATTTTTTTTCTCCTCCCAGCAAGAAAGCGCCGTAGCGCCTTGCCTTTCGCGTGCGTACCTTACACGGGTAAAAGGGCAATAAGTAAAGGAAGACCCAAAGGTTTGGGCTCAAGTGCCGAAGAAGCTCTCAAAGACGGGATCGACTCGACTCACTCGAGCGGGCGGAAAGTTGGCTTTTACGACTAGCTGAACGTGGAGATACAACGAGGAGGAAAACGTGGGCGCCGAGGCTTTTCCCTTAAGCTTAAAGAGGTAAATATCATGGTCTTCTCCATCTTTAGCTACCTATCTAAGCTCCATTTACTCACCTTCATCTAGCGCATCCATCTCTTGGCCTACATTTATGCTGGGCCTGATCATCTCATAGCAGCAAGCTCCTCACAAGCTCTCTCTCATTCCTTCACAAAGACTCATCCACGCACCACCACACATAGCCCAGCATGACCAGTACGGGCGCAGGCAGACCAGGTCTGCTCAACTTCAGAGTCACGCACCCAGACGTCTTTACACACGGCATCTGCGGCCGCAAAGACTGCTTCCGCGGCTCACCAGCGGCGGCAGACTGCGAGTTCCACGGCAACGCCGTCCGGGACATCATCAGGACACGGCGGGACCAGAGACGGGCCCGCTTACAACAACGGTGCCGGACGCACAGCACCGACGTGACGCCGACGGCTTCGGCGTCGACAAGTCGGAACGTCACGCCTCTGAAACGGCAGCCGAGCCAGAGCAGCAGCAAGCCGGATAGCCCGCTATCCTTCACCTCGTCCGAGTTCTCGGCCGATTTCTCACCAATCGTCTCGCCGCTGATGGAGGATCTCATGCTGGAGGTCACGGATGCCATTGAGAGCAGCGGCCTGCCGCCCGAGCTTGCCATGCCGCCGAGGCGGACGACGTCGGCGATTAATATGGACGACATATTCAGAATGATTGACGAGGCTCAGAGGGAGTATGAGAGCCTCGGCGAGTCACCTGTCACACAAGCAAGACCCAGAAACGAAATGACCCGCGAGCCGCGCTGGAGCTGGGAGAGTCTGCTAGGCCCATCATGATAGCCAACGAATTGGTCGGTATAGGAGAACCGAGCCACTTGGCCCAGGCCATCCATGGTCAAAGAAGAGGTGTGGTCTCTGCCCTGCTCTGAGGCAAGAGAATAGCACACAAGAGATACTAGAGTGTACAACTCTGTACTTCTGGCTATCGGAAGGAAGGGGTATCACAAAGAAAGTGTCAGCAAACCAACCGGGGCGTCTGAAGAGTTGAGCGTTATGTCAGCAGGGAATAAACTTGAATTTGGATTGTACATATTAAAGGGTCTGCACCTTTTTCCTGGTCCATAGTCCCGACACCACTCGATTAGCCTTTTTATTGTAATCGAACACCGGCCTGCCGCTTCGCCGATGATGAGCCCACGTTTGCGTTCTCGCTCGCGTCAAACGTCGGCTTGGCCTCGCGTCGCTTCTCCTCCTCAATCTTCTTCAGCAGCTTGTCGGTCTTGCCCTTGCCGCTGCCCTTGCCGTGGAACTGGTGACTCATGTGCTTAAAGGCCTCCTTCTGGTCGAGAGACCTGCCGTGGTCGTCCACGTACTTGAGCTCCACATTGGGCTTGTAGTGTTTCTTGAAGAGCTCGTCGACAACACGCGATTGCTGCAGTTCGCGATGGGCGTTCGCCTGTCGTGCGCGCTCCTCTCTGTCCCTCACGGACATGGAATCTAGTCGTCCGCTGTTCCTGTCGCGTTCACGCTGGTATTTGGCGCGGTCTTCCTGCTCCCTCTCCAGACGTCTCTTCTCTGCCAAGAATTCGGCCTTCTGGCGTTCGCTCATGTTTCGCTCTGCGCCATGAGAGTCTTTGATAAGACCACGTTCCCTGAGCAGGGCCAGGGCTGAGCCCATACCGGTGTTGAGTGTCCTCTCCTCATCGACTCCCGTTGCTGCAATCTCTGTAGACGTCTCTCTAGCTCTGTCCTCGGAGACATCATAGACGTCGTCGCCACCCATCGGGTGATCTTCGTCGTCCAGATCAGCTTCCATAGCCGTTACAGGCTCTACTGACGTGGACTTTGGCCTCTTTGTTTTGCGCTCGTCTTCCTCCTCTGGCTTCTTCAAATTGGACACAAACTCGGATATCTCATCAATGACCACGCCACCATTGAGAGCCTCAATGTCCGGCTCATCCGCCTGTTCTTTGAGTTGCCGAGCGATGTCCTCGGGCCGGTTCTTCTTCCGCCTCTTTAATGCGCTCTTACGCTGGATGGCCAAGGAAGCCTGCAAATCGTCGTCATCAACAAAGTTGTCGTCCTCCACTTTACGTTTCCTTTTGCTGATAGCCGCACCAGAGTCCACGTCCATCATGCCATCATCTGCTGGTGTTGTATCAAGGGGGAAAATGTCATCCTCATCTACAGGCTTCTGCCTTGTTGACTTGTTCTTCTTCTTCTTGGGCTTCTTCACCTTGATCTCTGAAACGTCGAGGTAATCCGATGTAGGGGCATCTTCTGTTTTCAGAGTTAGTGACATCCCATCATGACCAAATTTGACTGGGCAGTACGTACGCATGACATCTAGGTCAATGTTCTGCAGCTTTTTCGCCTTCTCTGGTGCCCCGAGGATATCTCCCAGCTCTGCAATCGCACCAGATCCATCCAAGGTGAACTTTTTGCTCTTCTTGCCGTAAATCTCTTCGTCGTACTGAGCCAAGATGCCACGCTCGCCATCTTCATCCGCTGCAGCAAAGACGTCGTATGCTGGCTTCTTCTTCTTCAAATCTAGCCTTTCTTGCAGTTGCTCTCTAGCTTTGACGTCCATGTTCTCAAGCTCGTCGCCCTCTTCCTCATTTTGGTCGATGGTAGAGTCCTTCAAGGTCAAAATCTGTTCGTCGCCATCGAGAAAGTTGTCCAATTCGTGTGCAACCTTGACACCGGCAAGGTCTTTAGAGGTGTACTCGACTGCTGCGAGCGCAGCTGCTTCAGCCGCTGCCTGTTCCTCTTCCAACTTTCTGGCCTTCTCGATGGTCTTTTGCCGCTTCTTTTGCGCTTTCAACCACGCCTTTGCGTCCATCTCGTTCTCGTCGGCTTCGCCAAGACCCTTCCCCTCCAAGGTTGCATTGCGCTGCGCTGCCTCTCTTTCCTTCTTTACGGCGGCAGCTCGCTCTTCTCGTTTGCGCTTTGCAGCCTCGGCGTCGCGCACCTTTTGATAGTTGTCGTATGCTTGCGCCTGACGTCCTTCAAGTGTGGCAGACGCATCCTCCTCTTCTGAAGCTGAGTCATCGCGTTGCGATTCGGCTGGGGCGGCGCCAGGAACCGGCAAAGGCTTCATGCCCAGCGAAACGCGAATGCGATTCGTCTCTTCGATTGTCGCGGCGTCCATCTTGGCGGTAATATGGGAAGTGAACAATTCCTGGTGATCGAAGCGTCTGGTCGTTAGCGCTTTGTAAAAAGTAACGGGTTTTCGGTGGGTGACGCAATGGCGACTCGAGGGCTGCGGAAGACTAAAGTGCTATGGCGTAGCAAGGCTGGAGTTGCTGGTTGCGATGCCGATAGCAGAGACGTCGAACTTCGTGGCCAACCTGGAAAAGCATGCGGCTCACCAGCACTTTGCCAGGCAGGCAGGCATCCAGCCAGCCGTGTCAGGGTTGTTCCCCACCAACGACCCAGGCTTAGCTAAGCGAGGGTGGGTCTCCGATTTTTACTACATAGCGCAGCCTTACGAAAATTCTCTTCTCTTTTCCTTTTCTTTCTTCAACAAACACGGGCCTGTGCCCAGAATTCCTCTGCTCCTGCGGGAGTTCAGGGTCGAGTTCTGTGGCAGCTCGATCGTCCAAGGAGCCATCAAATTCATGATGTCAATCTTCCGATCGACAGGTTCAAGAGTGACCGGTCTTGAGGCAGCCATGTTCGCCGTCAAAAGCTTGAGCGTGGTGTAATCTTGCACTGGGGACGTCATATTCCTACCCCTTTTTCCGAGATCGTCGATCTATGAGGTTAGGGAAAACCATGACTTGCCCACAAACTATTCTGGGGAACTTGTATTTAATTCTGTCCGTAAGTCTGCTGAAGAATTTTATTCGTGGTGAACGCGTAGAAGTGGCAGCTTCAGTCTGTCCTCGTTGTTGCCCCGCTGCTGTTGCGCGGCAGGCAGCTTCAAGCTTCGAAATCCGCACTTGCCTGAAATTGGCAACCAAGTCGCAAAACAGCTTTCGGCCGCCGGGCCGTGTGAAACCGATTTCTGGTCAGCTCGTCTGCGCATCTGAGGTACCACTTGTGATGATATCGTTACCTAAGGAGGCTTGTGAAATTCATCAAGAAAATTCCATGGATGAGCTGCATGTTTCTCCACGGGCTCTTTCTCGGCGCATCCCGTGCCTGGCACTGTCATCTCAGGCCTGCACCACTCGACGATGCATATTACTCCTGCATCTGGCTGCCCACCCTAACGCTTCTAGATGCCGTCAGAGTTTGTCGGTTGCGGCGCAGAGTCCCCGTTCTGGATATCCCGGCGGGCCGTGTCAACGGGGCCAACATGTAGGATGGCCGGTGCGGGGTGCAGCCGTGTGATCTGGGGTAGCTATTGGCATGGCCAAGGTAACTCTCTGTCGTCCGGCCCGATATCAACAGGAGACTCCGCCATGACTTCGTCACACATCACACAGCTTGGTCGACGCTACTGCACGGCAGCAAATGAACAAGCTGTAGAAAGGACATTTCGGCCTTGGGAAGAAGGAGTTTCCGCCTTGATGATGTCGACTTGATGGCATCACACCACCAGCAAGCGCCGATGGTGAGGAAGCATCGGAGGCCAACCCTCTAGAAGCTGACGAGACATGAAGCTGGCTCGGATGGAACAACAACACCTGCTGCTCGCGTCTCTTGTCAAATAACACGGAACTTCGCCCTCTTTCCACCCCGTTCGTCCGAATCCTATTAGTGTAGTTCCTCGAGACAAAGGCCGTGCCCACTTCAATATGCTTGAAGGTCATCAGCAGCGCCAGCCATGTCTTGGTCGTTCGATCAAGCCTAAGCCTCGGGACGGAGTGTGCGGGGAACGCTTAAACCTCGTCCTTCTCGTCCGCCTCCTCCACCACTCTACCCCAACCCTGATGAGCCCCTTCATCACAGCCACCAATAACACCCCATAGTCCCTGGCGGAAAGGACCGAACGACAAGGTTGTCTGATCTGCTTGCCGACGACATCACCCGACCCCTGTCTCTATCCTTGCCACCTAGCTGAAGTGACCTTCTGGTCATACAACCAAACTTACCCACGTGCGGCCTGCACGGCATCGTTTGAGCTGGGATCGGTGTTACCCTTCTCTCAAGGCACTGCTGGAGCCCTTGCAGTTGCCAGTCACAGGCACTGATACTATTAACAGAAAAAATTTGAACGAGTTGAGAGCGACGCCGACGAAAGGTGGAAACTTGGGCTATTGCTCTAGGACTGGGGGGCTTGAAAGGGGTGTTAAACGGTTCGTCCAGAGTTCTCTCGCCGTTGTGCCGCCATAAGCCCAGCTTCTAGCTCGTGACGAGGGGCATCTTGGGTGTTCGTGGGACTAATGCAAGCCAGCTTGACAGCTCGGTGATACTCCAGCATTCGGGCCTTCGAGGCACATCAGAGCAACCCACCCTAAACACTTACCCTACCCTACCCCTTCTTCGTGCCTCTCGAAGAAGTATAAAATTCACAATGGTCTACCTACAACATGTCATGTCAGGAAGTCTGGCACAGAACACCACGGAACGCCTTACACAGCCCATCATGAAGCTTCTCACCTCCGCCCTCCTGCTTGGCTCTCTCGCCACCCAGACGATCTTTGGCTACCCCGGAGCCCAGGTCGCCAAGAGAGACGTCGACTCCTTCATTGCCACTGAGACTCCCATTGCCCTGGCGCAGCTGCTCTGCAACATTGGACCGAACGGCTGCCATGCTCAAGGCGTGAGCCCCGGCATTGTCATCGCATCTCCGGACAAGACCGACCCACCGTGTAAGTCAACGTATATCGGTGGTGTACCTTGAGCGGAAGGATCAAGCTCACCGGATTTTCCTCTCGGAGGCTAATCATCGCACGTTGGGTCAAGGACTATTGCTAATGTATGACAGACTTCTATACGTGGACCAGAGGTAACACAATCTTCCAATTGTTTCACTACAGTAACTAACAGCCGTGTAGATGCTGGTCTCGTCTTCAAGGCTCTTGTAGACATCTTCACAAACAGCTACGATGCCAACCTTCAGACCAACATCCAGAACTACATTGCTTCTCAGGCTCGCCTCCAGGGAGTCTCCAACCCTTCAGGAGGCTTGGGCGATGGTACCGGTCTTGGAGAGCCAAAGTTCGAAGTCAACTTGGCCCCCTTTACGGGCGCTTGGGGTATGTTGGACACCTGACATTGAACTTGAGCCACAGACTAATAGTCTCCCTAGGACGGCCTCAGAGAGACGGACCGGCGCTGCGAGCCATTGCCATCATTGGATACGCGAAATGGCTGGTATCGAACGGTTACTCTTCTACTGCCTCATCCGTCTTGTGGCCAGTGATCCGCAATGATTTGGCCTACGTTGCCCAGTACTGGTAAGGTGATCAGAAAATAGGTGTTATGAGCTTCTCTGACTGGTCTACAGGAATCAGACTGGTTTCGATCTGTGGGAGGAGGTTCAGGGAAGCTCCTTTTTTACCGTTGCCAGCCAGCATCGGGGTGTGTTTCCCTAGAGCCTGTTGTACATGATGTCCCTGACTAATAAAAATAATAGCCCTTGTTGAGGGCAGTGCCTTGGCCCGGTCTCTTGGCCAGTCTTGCGCTGCTTGCGATGCCGTGGCCCCTCAGGTACTGTGTTTCTTGGGTAGATTCTGGAACCCGTCGGGCAACTTCATGGTAGCAAACAGTAAGCTCCTAGCTATACTTGCGTCTGCCTGGAAGTAAATTGCGCAAACTGACACTGCCAAGTCAATGGAAATGGAAGATCTGGCCGTGATGCCAACGTCATCCTCGCCTCCATCCACAACTTTGACTCGGCCGCAGCGTGCGATGCGGCCACTTTCCAACCCTGTAGCGACAAGGCCCTCGCCAGCCACAAGGTCGTTGTAGATTCCTTTCGTACCATCTACGCCATCAATAACGGCATCGCACAATCCGCTGCCATCGCAGTAGGCAGATACCCCGAAGACAGCTACTACAACGGAAACCCGTGGTACCTCAACACACTGGCTGCCGCCGAGCAACTGTACGATGCCCTCTACGTCTGGAAGCAACAGGGCTCCATTACCGTCACGCAGACATCTCTGGCGTTCTTCAGAGATCGTGACGGCTCCGTTGCACCCGGGACGTACCCCTCCGGATCATCGACCTACAAGTCGCTCATCAGCACCGTCAGCGCCTACGCAGACGGCTTCATGAATGTAGTCGCAACCTACGCCCAGTCCAACGGCTCGCTCGCCGAGCAGTTTTCACGGAGTAATGGCCAGCCCCTCTCAGCGGACGACCTCACTTGGTCCTACGCCGCCTTCCTCACAGCCGCCCAGCGTCGCGCCAACGTCATCCCCAAGGGCTGGGTCGGTTCCGCGACCTCAGTCCCGGGTACCTGCCAGGCCACCTTCGTCGCCGGTTCGTACTCCAGCGCCACGGCGACTTCGTTCCCCGCCAACCAGACGCCCGGCGGGACAGGCGTGCCGACGGGAACGACAACGGGGGCTACCCCAACTGCGACAGGATGCCCCATTGCCGGCTCTGTGCTCGTCACCTTCAACGCCCGGGTCGTGACGCAGTTCGGCCAGACGGTCAAGCTTGTGGGTAGCATAGCTTCTCTCGGAAGCTGGAACCCGAGCAATGCAATCGCTTTGAGTGCTTCGGGGTACACCTCGGCCAACCCCATCTGGACTATAACCATTGAGTTGCCGGCTGGGACGACGTTCCAGTATAAGTACATCAACGTTGCCAGCAGTGGCACCGTCACTTGGGAGAATGACCCTAACCGCAGCTACACTGTTCCGTCAACCTGCTCGTCGACGGCCACAAAGTCCGACACCTGGCAAGGATAGGTTTCTCGAGGTTTCCTAGTGCCTCTGTGTTTTTGACAAGAGCTACTTGAGCTTGTCCCAGTCACACTTGGGGAAGAGTAAAGTACATACTATATCTTCTTGGACATATATTATTGGGTTTTAGTTGAATATCATATGAAGTTGTATTCGCCTTCTCAGGGCTATTGGGCCGCCCGCTTCTCCAACTCCGTGATGATAGTGTCAACAGTCCACTCCAGAGTCGTCTCCATATCAATGTCCAACCCCTTGCCAACCTGTGCCTTAATGTTCTTCTCACTCAACACCGTCGCCTTCAGCTCTCCTTCGACATCCCCATTCTCGAAAAGCCACGAGTGGGAATCAACGTAGTTGGGCCAGACGATCTTGTCCACGTACCCCGGAGGGTCCTGCCAGAATCCCTCCAAAGTGACGTACCCGTCGCGGGCCTCCCGGCGCTGCACCGCCTTGGCACGGCTCACGAGGAGAAACAGCTTGATGTCGATGAGCTCCATGGTCGTCTCCATCTCTTTGCAGTAAAGAAGAAAGCCGTCAAAGAGACAGATGTTGAGCTTGCCTTCGTGGAAGATTGCGTGTCCAGGCTTGCCAGGCTGAAGCCAGGCATCGACCTTGGCTTTCATGGCGGCTATTTTGGCTTCCGAAACTGGGCACTTGCCAACAGAGTTTTGGTCTTCTTTCGAGTCTACGAAGGGCTGGCGGGGCCACTGTGTGAGAAGCAGGAAGGGGTTTTTACGACTCGAGCGCAATGACTTACCGGAAAGGTTCCATTCTCGCGGATATGAGCGAGAGCCTTTTCCATATCTGGGATCGATATCGCCTCGGGACAATCCCAGTCCAATAGACCACTCTTGGTTGGCAATCTGATGGGGATGTAAGCAAATTTCATCGATACTTTATGATTGGGGAGTTGCCTTACTCGGATTCAGCCTTGTAGAAGTCGTCCTCGTGAAGAATGAATGTACTGGGAAATATGTCTCTTACAAGACGGGCGAGTGTCGTTTTCCCACTGGAAGAGCAGCCGCTCAGCCCGACAACCACGGCATTCTTCCTTGCCATCTTGAAGCTTTATCGTGATGCGTTTCGCGGGAAATACGTCTGCGAGCAATGAGCAAGTGTGTTTGTAAGAATAACAACCTTTTTGCGGCGTTACTCTCAGACTTCAAGGGGAATGTTTACATCGGAGTGTAAGAAAGATAGACTCGCTCTATGAGTAGTCGTCTGTTAGGTAGACCGCTAGCTCCTAAGCTGTGAAGAAGCGGGAGATAGTCACAGCCAAGTCTTGGTCTCAGATTCCGGCTTGCAGTAGCTTACAAGTCAACGAACCCCCACCACTACCCCTCCCCGATAGGAAGGTCACCTAGTGGGGGCGCCTGCCGCTGAAGGGTCCCCGAGAGCGGCGGTTCAGGGGGTTTCAGCCAATTCCAGGCTGGCCAAGGCAGGCAAGTCAGGCCCCTGACGTGCGTCATCCGGCCTGGCAGAGCGCTGTGCGAAAGGCGTCGAATGGAAACTCGACATCTCCAACTCCATCCAATCCTATCCCACAAAAAAGTTGTAGTTCATCCCATCTGTTCCGCCCAACTCCTCCCGATCGTCGCAGCGTTTCTCAGCGATTCAACCCTGAATCCTCCTGATTGTTCCCAAAGAAACCTCTCCGAATCCGAACAAGCCGCACACAATGTCGGACGCAGGCGGCCAGCAGACAGCTGTCGTGCTGTCGACTTCCATCGTCGCCCTCATGACGGGGTTCCTCCTCGGCGTCTACTCGATCCGTGGCTACCTCATCTCTCCCGAACTGCGCTCCGAAGCTCGCGCCAACTTTGACGACCCTGTCGAGAGCGAGGAGTCCGACATCGACGAGGACGACACCCTCCTCGACCACGCTCCCAACTGGGCCAATGGCGAAGCTGCCGACCGCCGCGACGGTCTGCGCCAGCGCAAGGGCAACCCCCCCCAGAAGCCTGCCTCTTCCAAGAAGCCCAACCCTGCTGGGGTGCCGCTGGTCGACTCCAATGAGGAGTGTAAGCTTGTCCTTGTCGTCCGTACGGACCTGGGCATGACCAAGGGTATGTTTTCCCATGTCCTTTTATGTTTCGCGAGGCTCCTACCCCCTGAGGAGCGACCCGTAGCTTAACAATCTGTTTCTTTAGGCAAGATGGCAGCGCAAGCCTCACATGCGACTCTCGCATGCTACAAATCCCTCTCCAAGGCCGCAGCGAAAGACCCCTTGTCCCCGGCCGCCAAGATCCTTTCCCGCTGGGAGCGTCTAGGCCAGGCCAAGATTGCCGTCCAGATCAAGAACCAGGACGAGATGCTGGAGCTCATGGGCAAGGCGCGCAGCCTCGGCGTCACTTCCGAGGTCATTGCCGACGCCGGCCGGACGCAGATCGAGGCTGGCAGTCTGACTGTTTTGGGCGTTGGCCCTGCGCCCAAAAGCCTGGTTGATCAGATTACGGGACATTTGAAACTGTTGTAAGGGGGGGCCGACTAAGGATTCCACTATGGATATGAAAGAAGAAAAGATTATTATGGGAACATAGACTTTGGGAACACATACGAACGAAGCGTAATGGCGTACGGTATATAAAAGTAGGCGAAGGACTTTACTGTGTATTACAATTTGCATATGGACATGAGAGATGTCCCGGAATGAGCAAAAGTCACGCTGCTTACATCAACTGTTAACAGGGGTGGGCATTCCCATCACGAAGAGATGGACAGGTCGCATGCTGCATCTTTCAAACTCGTGCGTGCCGTTTCTAGGGTTGTAAAGCTTATACTTCGACTCTGATGTTCAGATGATCTCAGTCAAAAACAACAAGATTTCGAGCGAAACCCATCCCCGGCAACCGATGCAAAGAATACAGCGAAGCAGACTACGGCCAGCAAAAGGAAATTGTACGTTTATCGGAAAGATTCTAGAGTATGGAGACCATCTTCCAGGTTTGGGTATGCATGGTCACTAAGGGAGCAAATGCCTAAAACGCCTTTTACATGCAACCAACTCCCCCCGTTTCAACTTTTTGTCAACCTTTTTACAGCACATCCCTCCCCATCATCCGCATTATTCCTTGCGCGCGAACCTCGATAACGCCGGACCGAGGTCAGCCTCGACCTCCTGGTTCTTGCTCTCCCTCTCCTTCTTCCGCTTCTCCCAAATCTCATCAACCTTCATCCTCTTCTCGTCGATAATGTTCTTCTTCCTCTGCTTCCTCAGGTACTTCTTCAACGCGCCGTTCTTGCCCCTGGCACGGTTCTTGATCTCCTCCTCGATCGACAGCGGCTTCGCGTCCAGGTCCTTCTCGGCCTTGCGCTGCTCGGCCGAACGCAGGTCGATATTGCCGATAAAGTTGGGGTCCAGGGCAATCATCTCGGGCCGGAGTTTGTTCAGCAGGCCCTTGACCTCGGCCTCCTGTCTCTGCTTCTTGTTCTCGAAGGGGTTGACCTCGAGGGCGTCAAAGTTGGCCTCACCGGCGCCGGGGATGAGGTGGGATGAGAACCCTTCGTCGTGGCCCGTGCCGAGGACGTCCTCGAACGGGCACCACCTCACTCTCTCGACGCGCCTGCCCTCGCCTCCCAGCGCCATATACGGGCTCTGCACCTTCTCCTGGATGGGGGCGTGCTTGTTGAACAGGTCCTTCCAGATGCTCGTCTGGGTGCCCCAACCGACGGCTGTGAGACCAGAGTCGGAGATGGCTACTGAGGATGCGGGTGCTCTCGTGAAGTACTGGTTCACTTCTCTGAACATTCTGATATCCCAGACGGCCATCTTGCAGTCTTGGCCGGTGGAGACCATGTATCGGCCCTCGCGGTCGACAGCTAGTGATCTTACCGGCCCTCTGTGAGCCAGCAGCTTGACGAGAGGGTCGGTCTGGTTGGGCGACCAGAGAGTCACCGTGCCGTTCTGGTGTCCTACGTGGAATACGGCATTCCAGGGGTTTTGGGTCATGGCCGTTGGGGGACCGAGCTTGGTGGGAATCTCGGAGACGATGTCGCCGGTCGAAACGTCCTGGTATTTGAGGAAGCCTGTTGATGCCTGTGGTCATTGTCAGCGAAGCCCGGAGCTTGCATTAGTTACGGGAGAAACTCACCACTGTGCCTAGGAGGAAATGGTAGGGGAGGAACTCCATGTGTGTAACCTCCATGTGTTTTCTCAAGCAGTGAATCTCTACACCGTTGTGGTCGTAGATGTAGACATACTTCTTTTGCGCAACGGCAAAGAATTGATTATTGTGCAGCCACCGCGCATCCCTGATGGTCTCATTGAGTTGGATTTCGCATCCCAGCTTGCCTTCCCTCCAGTCAAAAGTCGCAAGGTGACCTTTCCGTCCCGCGAGCAGCAGTTCTCTGCCATTGCGGGTGTACTCGCCGACGTACGGTCCCAGCTCCTCCAGCTTCAGCTCGAACCGCTTTTGCGCCGTCGTTACGGAGACGCCCTCGGTGATCTCATCCTGGCGGACCTTGTATGTCCTTTCCAGCTCCGTTTCCGGCTCGAGGAAACCGCCGCTGTTCTCGAGCAAGATCTCGGCGTCCTTGGCCTTGATGGTGGCGTCGCGGTACTTGTTCTCGAGCTTCGAAAGGTTGGTGCGGAGCTTCTTGTCCTTGATCGACTTGACATTGACGCTCTTGCCGCGGCCATACGACTTGTTCGCCTCCTTCAGCCTCCGGATCTTCTCCCGCTCCTCGCGCGGGACGAGGTCGGTGCGTCGCTTCACCTGCACGGCGCCATTGGAATGGGTATCTCTCCGCGATATCGTCTGCGTCTCGGGTGTGTCAATATCCATGATGGGCAGCGGCGTGAGGCTTGTGGCGGACAGATCTGGTTCTCGTGGGTTGCCGTCGCAAAAGTCCCAAGCCGAACAACTGCAGAAAAAAAGTTCACTGCTCGACAGAGCGATTTGGCTCAAAATTTCTTTGGCTGGTCTGTTATCGGGATCCTGGCTCTAGCGTATCTTATCATTATGGGAGAGCCCCGCAGAAACTTTTGACAGGCCAATGGACATATCCAGATAACGAACGCACGAATTCAAAAAAATAGTCGGTCAAAGTACCCCTCCATCCGCATCACAGGCGCAAATCCGTCAAAAAAGTCCAAAAATTGCGCCGTACTCGACCAAGTCTCGATTTTGACGGTAAAAGGAGCCTCCGTTCACCCTGGCTTCGTTACCCTTTCGATTTAAGGCCGGGGGAGAAGGGAAACCGCCCGCCGCGACCATGAGTCACTCTCACCGACCGACGACCAAAGTCACCCACAAGCCCTTCAAGTCCAAGCATGCGTCCAAGGGTGCGCTGAGGGACGCCGCCAAAGGTTCGCCCTCATATTTTTCCCCATGCAAATTTCCAAGGCGCATGTGTGATTTGAATATCTAAACTGACTGGATCTTGAAAATAGGCAGGCTCCCGGGCGACGAAAAGGGGCAGCGAAAGACACCCCACCAGCAAGTCCTGTCTAAATTCGACCGACGAAACCAGGCCAAGCAGCGTCAGATCGCCAAGCGCAAGGAAAGGTTGGAGGAAGCCAGCTTGTTTGTGGGAAGGGATGGTGCCCCGAGAGTTGTCGCAGTCGTGCCCCTGTGTCAGGATGGCGACGCCGCGATCGCCATCAAGCAGTTGAACGAGAGTGTGGACATCGAGGCCGAGGTGGAGGAGACGCCGTTCCGAGTCGCCGTCGACCGATTCAAGCAGAAAGTCCAGTACATCCCTCTCAAGCGGGACCTGAATGCCGTTCTGGACGCCACCCGTGTCGCGGACTTTGTGGTGGTCATGCTCTCGGCCGACGTCGAGGTTGACGAGCTCGGAGAGCTGATGCTGAGGAGTCTGGAGAGCCAGGGTCTTTCGACGCTATTCACCGTCGTGTACGGCGTGGACAAGATTGATCAAGCCAAGCACAAGCAGTCCACCCTCGGTTCCCTCAGGTCATACATCACCCATTTCCACCCCGAGCAGGAAAAGCTCTACCAGCTGGAGAACAGACAAGAGTGTGCCAACCTCATGAGGTCACTCTGCAACACCACGCCGAAGGGTGTCAGGTGGCGCGAGGACAGGAGTTGGATGCTGGCCGAGGACGTTAAGTTCGCCAGCTCAGGACTTGACTCGACGGTCATCACCGGTGTCGTTAGGGGACGGGGCTTGAAGGCCAACCGCCTGGTTCAGCTGGGTGACTTTGGTACCTTCCAGGTCGAGAAGATTACGAGTGCGCCGTTGCCCAAGAAGCTTAAGAGGGGTGAAATGGCTGTGGAGGAGACCGAGACCGAGACCGAGGAGACTCTTGATACCCCTGATGAAGACCAGGATGATCTGGCGGACTTGGCCCCTGACGCCCCAATGGAAGAAGACGAAATGGAAGCCGATGAACCGCCAGAAATCAAGAAGGGCGTGCTTCTCGATGACCACCACTATTTCTCGGACGACTACTACGAGGCCGCGGAAGCCAAGACCAGAGTCCCCAGGGGAACGTCCAACTACCAAGCGGCATGGTATCTCGGCGACGACGTGTCAGACTCCGGTTCTGACATGGAGGACTACGAGATGCAGGATGACGAATCTGGGGAGGACGAGGCCCGTCCCGAAGACGGTCTTGAGGGTGCGGCGCCAAGGGAACCTACCGAGGGCGCACCTTCAGAATACGCAAAGTCCGAGAAGTTCATTCAGCCGGATGAAGAGGAGGACGCCGCCGGCCTTGCCGCCTACCGCGCACGAAAGACGGACGAGGTCGAGGACGACAAGGAGTTCCCCGACGAGATTGAGCTGCACCCGGGCGTCCTCGCGCGCGAGCGTCTGCAAAGATACAGAGGTCTCAAGAGTCTGAGGACGAGCGAGTGGGTTGAGAGCGAAGACCGGGCCTACGAGCCCGAGGAGTGGCGCAAGCTCCTCCAGATCCCAGACTACCAGGCCTCCCGGTCGCGGTCCACCCGCGAAGCCCTTGTTGGCGGCGTCGCCCCCGGCACGAGAGTTCACGTCTACCTCAAGGGCGTCCCGGCGTCTTTTGAGAAGTCGTACCTGCCCGGCCGACCGGTGACGCTCTTCTCCCTCCTGCGCCACGAGCAGAAGAAGACGGCCGTCAACTACCTCTTCAACCTGAGCGCCGACTACCACAAGTCCATCAAGGCCAAGGAGGAACTCATCGTGCAGTGCGGCCCCCGCCGCTTCACCATCAACCCCGTCTTCTCGCAGCCGGGCAACACCCCCAACAACGTGCACAAGTTCAGCAGATACCTCCACCCGGGCCAGTCTGCCGTGGCCACCTTCATGGGTCCCGTCACCTGGGGCGCCGTGCCGGTGCTGTTCTTCAAGCGCTCCGTTCCCGTGCCGGAGGGCTCCGAGGAGGCGGAGAAGGAGTCCACCGTCGGCCTGACCCTTATCGGGACTGGCACTGCCCTGCCGTCGTCGACGTCCCGCGTCATCGCCAAGCGCGCCATCCTCACGGGTCACCCGTACCACATCCACAAGAAGATCGTCACCATCCGCTACATGTTCTTCAACCGCGAGGACGTTGAGTGGTTCAAGGCCCTGCCGCTGTGGACCAAGCGCGGTCGCACCGGCTTCATGAAGGAGCCCCTGGGCACCCACGGATATTTCAAGGCGACGTTCGACGCCCGCATCAACCCGCAGGACTCTGTGGGTGTCAGTCTGTACAAGCGTGTGTTCCCGCGTAACGCAGTCCCTGTCGAAGGGGATCTCCTCGAGCCTGGCGTTGTTAGCCAGGGCCAGGAGGGTGAAGTGATGATGGAATAAGCCACATAGAGACCAAAAGCAAAAAAAAAAAAAAGAAAGAAAAGTCAGACATGATGATATGGAAATGCCATAAAAGAGAGGGGCGCCTCAGGAAAAGAATGCATAGATATTAGCAGTAACGTCGGCTATAGATACAGGTCTGATGCCATGCTCCGGAGTTTTAAAAAAAGGATTCATTCAACTTTTTTCCGTCAACCCTCACCTCTTACATTGCTCCAACGGTGATTTATCACTCTCGTCCCTTCGCGAAGCATCACCTTATGCCTTGAGACTATCCAGCCCCTCCGTCGCCCGCGGTCCGCCCGCGGCCCTACGGTTCTCCTCCGCACCACTCGCCTTCCACGCGCTGAGCATGAGGTTGACAATGTGGTCCACGGCGACGTTCTTCTTCACCTGCGCAAACACAGTCGGCCCGCCCTCGCGCATCTTGCGCGCGTCCCTCTCCATGACGCCCAAGTCCGCGCCGACAATCTCGGCGAGGTCCGTCTTGTTCACAACCAGCAAATCGCTCTGCGTGATGCCCGGTCCGCCCTTGCGTGGGATCTTGTCACCGCCGGACACGTCGATGACGTAGATGATGTAGTCGGCCAGCTCGCGCGAGTAGTTTGCAGCCAGGTTGTCGCCGCCGGACTCGATGAGGAGCAGGTCTGCGTCGAACTCGCGGTGGAGGTCCTCGAGGGCGGCAAGGTTGGCCGAGATGTCCTCGCGCACGGCGGCGTGCGGGCAGCCGCCCGTCTCGATGGCGCGGATGCGGGGGGCGGGGAGGGCCTTGTGGCGGGTGAGGAACTCGGCGTCCTCACGGGTGAAGATGTCGTTTGTGACGGCCGCGATGGAGAACTTCTCGCGCAGGGCGTGGCAGAGGGCGAGCATCAGGGCCGTCTTGCCGGAGCCGACGGGGCTATTGAGAACATGTGTCAGCCTTTTGCATTCCATTCCATTGGGAATGATTCATGTGTGGCTATGCTTTCTAAGCTATTTGAGGCCATCCGAATAGTACGAGATGAGCGGTTTATGGAGCCACACTGCGAGACATGGGTAGTAGTAACTCGAACTCACCCTCCAATGCCAATGGTGAAAGCACGATCGTTCCAGTTCCTGCCCTCGACAATGGGCATCTCACGGCCGAGGTAGCTTCCAGGACCGTCCAGGATCTCGTGCGAGTGGCCGTGTTCCTGGGCGTTGAAGCCGCCCTCGTGGGAGTGCGAGTGGCCATGAGGGCCGTCGTGTGAGTGTTCGTGGGACATGACTGCGGAAATAGAAGCTTGAGCTGAAAGCAGGGTTCTTGAAGCTGAAGTTGAATCGGGCAGGGAGGAGAAGCTTGTTGCCTCGGGGCTTATATGCTCGAAGCTATTGAATATAGCGGGGTCGTATCTGAGTACTGTCAAAATATGGCGGGGTCCCTGGGAGCTTATCGTAGCGATAACTGCCCGGGCGTGCGAGAGCTGATTCCCCCACGGCCGCCGCCGGCGCACTAAATGCGGGGACACACCGCTCCCCCGGGTTAGCCAAGAGTACGGCACTGGATAAGGCTCGCCATCGTCACCCTGATGGGACGGTAAGCCCGTCTTGATCTTTGTAGGCGTTCCACAGACATCTTTTTGAAGTTGAAAATTCCAGGTCGCAGGAGCAGGATATTATCTCTGCAAATGTGCCATCTTGTATTTGCCCTCCCGCGTGCCACGCCCACTAAGGGGCCGAATGTATGCTTCTCCGTAAACCATGCATTGATCCACTCCAACGCCTTAAATATGCATCGCGACTCATAAATCAACCAATCCATCTCCTCCTCACTCAAGCCTTGGCCGGAGAACCGCTGCTCCCCTCGCCCCCCTCATCCTTGGGCTTAGGCGGCTTCGGCACCCTTTCGTATGCATTCGGGCTAGGTCTCCTCTTCTCGTTCCCCTCGCGACCGCCTCTCCTACCATGTCCGTGGCCGTTGCGATCGTGATCGTGATTGTGACCATCGTGGTCGTCGCAGTCATGGTCCCCCTGCTTGCCGCTCTTCTTGCCCTTGCCTTTGCCCTTGTGGTCTCCCGAGGGTATCCTCCTCCTCCCGCCGCGGTCGTCTGCCTCCGAGTCGGACGAGGCATCAGAGGAGTCTGAGGAGGACTCGTCGCTGGATTCGTCGACGGCTTTTGGGCGGTGATAGATGCAGCAAACTGCGATTTGCGTCTGTTAGTCATGCTTACATACGTGTATCTTGATTTGGGTGCGACCAGGGGAAGGACGCCACGCACCTTTTGAGCTTTTACGTCCCAGGCCCTCGTTGTCCACCACGTCTTCCGCCCAGCGCACCGACTGTCTAGAAGGCACATGAGCGCCCCTCAGCCGCAGAATCGCCTTCGTTCCCGTCCTGCTCTGCGTCTCTGTCTGGGTCTGGGAAGGGCCTGACGCCGAGCGCTGCTGCGAACGGTCTTGTACTGCCGCCATTGTGGTAACTGTCTTTGTAAGGTGGTTTGTGAAGTCAAGTCTAGGAAGTTGTGTGGTTTTGTGCTGATGCGCCGCTTCTCTATGCGGGGGGAGAGGGCGACAAGGCGCTTCACACACCGGTAGATCTCCAACGTGCAAAAGCTGCGAATATTCTCGAACGGAGGAGACCTAATGCAATCGCGAAATTGTAGCTGCGTTGGGTGCTCGAGCGTCTGGGTCGTACAAATCTGTCGAATGGTAGACAGATCGAAGATTCTCAAGGGTCGCGTGTTGTAGGGGTCTGCCTATTTGTAAGTGAGAAGAAGGGAAAAGGGTGGGATGCTTTTTTGTTATTTTTTGGAGGGGCGGGTAGAACGCGGGCAGCGGTCACAGGCCACCACCCCCGTTTGTTCAGGTACAGCCCAGCGTTCAGTGCTACCACCCCACGTCATTCCCTAGAAATCCACAGCCCATGGCCGTCCCGGGCCACATGCGAAGCGGTGCGGGATGGGACCTACCAGCCATCTACAGGAACGCGCCGGCGTCGTGAGACGGTCCCGGGCCCGGCATGTCAACGGTTCATCTATTTCGTCATTTAGGTTGCAACCAGGGTTAATGACACGCCACGCATGCTCACGCGTAAAGTGGTCTTAAAAAATGTCGATCTCATTCCAGTCATGCATCCGACATAGGGCAACACTTCTATGCCACTGGCGAAAGTTTTGGCGTAGAAAGTTGATTTATTGATACATTGTGTTTATACAAGGGTATAGCACGCAACGCTTTACACATGATGTACATAGGTAGTTTGGAGATGTTACAAGCCGTTTACGCATTTGCCGCAAGGGCTCTCTTGACAGCCTTGACCGCCTTTTTCGCGCCCTTCATACTCTTACGCGGGCGACTCTTGAGCACCTTCTTGGGAGACTTGTTCAGGAGCCACGCGTTCATCGGCAAGCGAGAGCCGATGAACTTGCCCTCAGGCGTCCAGACCTCGACGCCGGGCCAGTTGGGCTCGTCAGGGTTTCGGGCAGGTTTCACGGCTGCGGGTTTCTTCTTTTCGACCTTGGGAGGAGCGGATTGACTACTCGCCGCCATCTCCATCTTCGAGAAGCCGTCCACGAGCTCGGGCTCGACCTCCAGTTCGGGCTCAGATTCAGGTTCCTCCTGGATGAAGGACGGCGCGCAACCGGCAAACAGGTCTTTGGTCCGCACCTGCGCTACGATTTCAACCCACCCGCACCCCTCGATGAGGATGTCGGTGGCCAACACGCGCCAGGGGAGGTCTTCGACCTTCCTGCGGCCAACATCCTTGCGGGTGAGAGGACCGGCGCGTTCCTTGGTCACGTCGTATTTGAGTTCGAAGGTGCCTGCGAGCTTGAGCTTGTCGGCGAGCCCGGGAGCGGCGATGTTGGGCACGCGGTCGGACGCTCTCGTCTGCTGCTGGAACTCGATGGCCTTCTCGGTGGACGTCGCGTGTTCGGGGATGGGAGTGAAGTTGTAGGCGAGGTAGACGAGGTCTGGCGTGGAGGGGGTGATGCGGATCAGTCCTCCGAGCAGGAGGGACTGGCCGGGCTTGAGGGAGTGCTGCTCGGGCTTGATTCGATGGTGCATGATGAGATCCTCGCGGTGCTCCGGCTTGACGTACTTCTCAAGGTCTGATCGAGCCACTCCTGGAAGGTCAATCAGCTCACCCTTGCCGTTACCGAAGGGGATTCGAATAGGAGAAGCCGTGGTGCCTGGCAGGGAGGAAACCGTGGGCATCTCCGGGAAGTTGGTCTCGGTACGAGCAGGAGGCAGCAAGGCGTTCAGGTCCAGACGCTCAGAATCGTTCTCGAAAGGGTCGCCCGCCTCAAAGTGAGCACCGTTGCTGTCCTCCTTCTTTGTAGACAAGGAGATCGCCAAGGGATGCTTGGAAGGGATGGACGCCGTGGTGCCCTTTGGGAACACGGAGTCGAACAGCTGACTCTTCCCGACGTTGACCTTGCCGACCATCCAGCCAGCACCTCCGCGCTCATAGATCTCCTCCTTGAGCGGCTTGGTCCACCAGCCCCTTTGAGCGCTGACGCACTTGACGTTGCCGAGTCTGATGAGCTTTCCGAACTTGCCCAGCGATCGGCGTAGAACCTCTCTCATGTACGGCATGAGCGAGTCAACCTGCTCCTTCTTGGGAGCCAGCAGATCCGACCGTGTGATGATGAAGCTCATGTCGAACTTGCGGTCCTGGAAGTACCTCCCGGCCCTATTTCTACGGTTCCGGTGCTTCAAGTTGGCGTCGAGGACCTGGTGCAGCTTCGGAATGAACGACATCGGGAAGTCGGCAGCGTCGATTACATGGTAGATGTGATTGTTCTTGAACGGGGACTCCTCGATCGTCTCGCGCAGGGAGTCGACTGTCGGATGGTAGATCGACTCTCCAGAGTGGTGATGGACCAGCTTGTGGCATCGATCGCAGAGCGGTACCCTCTTAGTTTTAGGACCCGATGCTATCGCATAATGTCAGTAATTGCGACAGAAGCAGCTCAGCAGTGATACACACTAATTATGTCCGACTCCAATTCTTCTCCATATCGCAGTGTCTTCGGGTCCAGACCAAGTTGGGCAAGCTGCTCTTCGCTCATGTTTTGCAGGACCTCATCAATGACATTGTCTTCCGCGCGCGCCTCCTTGCCCCCTTCTTCATCACTGCCTTTCGGCGCAAGGAACTCCTTTACAGCTCTCCTGCTCAGGTCGTAATATCCAGCATGCCCGGCTTCGGTCGTTTGGCTGAGTGCGCCGCAGCCACTACATGACAGCGGGAGGTTTCTCGTCGAGATCTTCGTCGTCTCGCTCGCAGGAGGAGGTGGAGGGGCCGCCCCTTCAGGTATCGTCGTCGCCTCAACATGCACGCAGCGTCGCTGTCTGTAGGGGAGGTTCCGATGAGTATCGCCGGCCGGCGCAAAGCAGTGTCGCGCAGACGCGGTCGTGAGGGAAGGGCAGAGGTATACCGGAACCTCACCCAGTGCGGCCCGGTCGCCGATACTCATCGCACTCCTGAGCCATCTCGACGATAACGCACGGTGCATCGTCGCGAAAGCAGAAGAAGTAAAAGGGGAAGTAAATACTGGTGTAAGCTTCAGGACTTTGGGTCCTGCGAGCTCTTTCCACTTCAGACGCTCCCAGAAATTCTAGAAATTTTGGGGCGAGCATTGTCGGAGCTGCACCGATAAGAGTTCCTGCACAGCTTATCGCCGGACAATCATTACCCCCGGTCCGAAAAATCCAAGGGTCGCGGGCAATTTTCAGACTCCCGACCACGCGATTGACATCAGAAGGCGTGAGAAAGGCAGTTAAGATACCCTCCTCCGGATTGTAGCATATCTGAAGAGATTTCCGCCAAGATGACTCGTGTAGGGCAGAGATGGCACGCTTTAAGAGCTGTAAGTCGTTGAGGCATTGCTGTATCGTGAGGATTGAGAAAGCTAACTTATTGCGAACAGAAGGTACTTATAATCCGCTCGAGAACATAGACGACATAGCTCCCAGGACAGCTTTAATTGACACCCGTAGATCCTCCATATCCGCTTCGGCCCCGGTGCCGCAAAACTCCCTCCTAATGTGACGAGGATACACATGGAGTTCGCTAGGCGCGTGGACGGTGGCCACTTCGGTCCCAAGTAAGTTCCCTCGCCCTCGAACCCTCTCTTTCTCTCATCTAGTCTCTCGCTCGTGAGAGCTTCACCATTGACCCTAGAGAAAGAACTAACCACGTCTCACCCTTCCTACAGGAGATTCTGGCGCGACATGCTCCCAAGACTAAAATACTACAATCCCGCTATCCCTATGATCGTAAACCGCAAATCCAACAACGAAGGCGCCGCCATTATGTCTGTCTACTTCTCCACCACTGGCGAACCCCTCGAACCCTCCACCCTCCCGCAAACCCCTTCCTCCGCAATCGACAACTCCAAAGCCCCCGTCCCGCTAGAGGGCCTCGAGCGCGTCGTCAAAATCGACATGAAGAACAAGCACTCGGACGAGATTTATGAGCACTTCCTCCAGGAGACCAAGGCCGAGGCCGTGCTGCCGGGCCCCGAGGACGAGCAGGATATGAAGGAGGCCGAGGAGCTGAGGATCAAGGGCGAGAAGGACCGTCAGCGGGTAGCCAAGATCCTGGAGGAGCAGAGGAGGGAGAAGGCTATGCTTGCCAAGGCGCGTGCCGAGGCTAGCTGATTATAAAGGGGTTTGCAAAAAAGCTTGTATGAATGGGCGTGGAGAGAAACTGAAAAAAGTGTATGAACATCCTGTACAAAATGTACCAAAAAGAATCCCTGCAGAGCCTTGGAAATGGCTGGTTAACTGTGGATAATGTGACCAGTCTGGCCGGTGGCTTACGCAAACAAGTCCTACTCACGATCACAACGAGGCTGATTCAGGAGGAAATGGAAGCTGTTTGGTACGATCTCGGCTGGAAGCGAAAATGAAATCTTTTCCATTATAACCTAATTACGGGCTTGTCGCCCATGTCCATCCAAAACCTCAACGCCCACCCAAGAGAGACCAACTAGCTGTAGGTCGCTGTAAATTTGCCAGCCTTAGCATCTAGATGCATGCTGCTAGCCACCCTTTGCAGGGCTGCGGTTTGTCTTTCTGTAACTCCGGTATCGATGCTTCCTGTAGCTCATTGACACATAATACGCTTATTTCAGACCAAAGCCCTCGCTCTCGTGCACAGCAGTCCATAGCATATGCTCCAATCTCTCCCTAGACCCATACCGACGCAATGCCAGCATGTTAAAGCATGTTCGAGCGATTGGATACCTGTTCTCATCATCGCCTAAGCATGTGATCTTGATCGGAAGAAGAGCAGCACCCATGGCCGGCACTCTGTCGGTACCGGTGATGAAGGAGAGAAGCTTCCTCTGCGCATCAGGAGTGGCCTCCTTGAAGGCATCCCAGAACCATCCTACTACGGGTTCTACTCCATCAGGGTTCTTCGCACCCCAGTTGTCATACTCAGCCACACCCCTCAGGGCGTCCACATCAAGTGCCGTATCTGAGCCTCTGACAAGCAGTTCAATCTCCTCGGGTCGGAACAGTGACAGCGCGTTGCCGCCACAAACAGTGTAAAAACCGCGTTTGAAGGGTTCGAATTGTCGGGCGACCGCCGTTTCGAGCAGATACCTGACGTACAAGTTGACGTACTCTGCTCTGTTTGCATTGGTGACTGGCTTCCTCTCTCCTCCTGGGCACAACGGGACCTGCACCACAGTCCCGTACTTCTCAACGTCGACGACAAAATCAAGCTGGAAAGTCGCCTCGACGTCTCCATCGTACTCAAGAAGTTGTTTGAGACCACTCGCCAACCGTGGCCGATACTCAGCCAGGTCCTCCAGTGTGTAGTTCATGGTTGGCCGAGGGTGTGCGGAGGACCCTGAGGATGAACTAGGAGCGGAAGCAAGAAGCTTTCGGAAGGCGAACGGCGGCAGTGCCACATCCAGAATGGTGGAGTTGTAGATGGCCAGACCCATGACAACGCCAACCAGGAAGAACTGGTCAGAAGTTTCAAAGGCATTGGGATTGAAATAGCAGAATTGGGAGTCCTCATCGTAGATAAACATGCCTGTGACACGGTGTCAGAAACAGACTCAGAATTGACGCAGACTGATACATACCGTGCTCGGGGTTGAACACTTCACGCACGAGGAGAAGAAACCATTCTTTCTTCAGACCACCTGCATCGAGGCCCTCCTCGCCCTTGAAAACGATGCGCAACCCCTTCTTGATGTCTTCGCTCCCGCTTCCAATGACTTCGCTCACGGCCTTCAAGCTGTCATCAACCAGGCACTCTCTCCGTACATCAAGTACCAGGAATTGTGTGACGTTCCTCCGGGTCATGATGCTGTCAAAAAAGGCGTCCCGTGCCTTGGTCATCTGTTGCCTCCGTGCATCATGCTCCAGTATCTGGGATTTGGCCCACATGCTCAACAAGAACGGATACTGGCAGAACGAGAACTTGCCCCTCTTCGACTCCCACGCCTCAAACTCGGCTACCAAGTCGGTGTAGTCAATCATGGTGTTGTAAAAGTCACTCGTAGGAATGATTTGCCCATGCGCCTGTATACCTCCCCTGTGAGTGCTGCTACTCATATTTCCCGTTTGATCCGGGCGCCGAATGTGCGTCATGTTATTGGCCGCAAACACTAGAGAAAGAACTCTCGCGGCGGCCCGAATTTGCCAGTCTTCATTATACACCATCTTTTTCGGTTGCTCCTTTTGTTGCTTCGAGGAGCCACGCTGCGTTCCTAGCGCTGCGTGAAGCGAGGCTGCTGAATGTCCGGCACTCATGTTCGGGATCAGCCCAGCTGTTATGTCCACTCTGACCTCGTGTTTCTTCTCGTTTTGGCGAATGAGTCTGTAAGTCAGGAATCCAGCAGCGAGGTCCTTGATCCTGATAAATCTGAACTCGGAATACCTCGCGAACCAAGTGGTTAAATGGTTCTGGCATGAAGTCGACGAATTGGAAACCAAGCCCAAGATTCGCTTGATAATGACGGAATGTTGTCCAGATACGGGACCAGTTTTCAAGGTCGATCTGTCTTCCCTCATAAGCTCGTCGCGTTTCAACGACGGACGTCGATCATTGTTCCCTCGCCCCTGGAACGCATTCGATTCTCCATGGAGCAGTGGGTTCTCCAAGATGATGAGAAGATATCTCAGGTCCTCTGGATCAGTCATCGGCCGCCCGGGACGCTTGAGTAGTGTTTCGATAGCTTTTAATAGAGTCCTGTGAGTATGGTCTTGACCGAAGAGCAATTGGGACTCCAAGGCTCGGAGCTCTGTGGCTGATAGAGGGTCTACCTCCGAATCTCGGGTCATCTCCTCATAAATGGACATCCATGATTCCGCGGCGTTGATTACCGATCTGTACCACTCCGCAAGTTGGTTCCATTCCACCTGTGGCGAGCGAGATGTGATGAACGACGGCGCCTCCTCTAACCGCTGTGAGGCCGATCGCTTGTGACGTGTACCACCCTGGCTCTGGTTCCCGGTCCACCATGTGCCGTTCTCGGCGAAGTCGCCAAGTAACAGAAGCTTAGGGTCGAGGTCACAGACGGGGGATTCGGAATGTTGCTCTGCGAACTTGGGCTCCGGCCTGGGAATTGGGGGCCGCCGTGAGGCAGATTCGCTCCCTGAGCGTACTGCCGGGACAGGCCGACGAGAGAGAAACGAAGAGTTGACGCAATGGAACGAACTGAAACAGGTAGTGATGTAGTCTTCCAAAGGCCTGAAGATCCTCTTCGGATCGTCGGCATCCAGGAACATGGGGCCCGCCGGCCGGGGAGCACTGGCGTCTGCCGTGAGCTGGCGCATCGAGGGCCTCTCGGGATAAGAAGACGAGAATGACCTTGCCGTCGGGGGTGCACGCAGCGGGTGCACACTGGGATGTGGACGGAGCGTAGGTTGCTCGGGGAAGAGGTAGCTGGGGCCATTGCCGTGACTTTTCTCCCGCCTATGCTGCGGAGTTCCCGTCGTCCTCAAAGTGCAAGGCCGTTCACCCTGTTCCCGAAACGGACTGGGGGATGTGTGCCTTTCGACCATGTCGCGCTGCTCATCCTCTGAGCTCGAGGATCTCCTGATGGCCCTTGCTAAATGTGCGTGGATGGATTGCCGGATCAGTCTCTTGGTCTGCTCGAGTGAGATGGGCCTGGTCTCATATCGTTCTGCTGGGCGGGCGGGTTGTTTCTGGGGTGATGTTGACTCTTGCGACGGCCGCTGGAGCCATTTCGGACCGCTGTTGGATCTGGCGGGTAGCTGGTCCGGGTGGATGTCGTTGATGGTTACACAGACTGTGCATTTGAAGACCTTCAGCTCGCGTGGCCAGCGTACGAGAGAGCCGCAGGTCATGCAATTGCCAGTCGCAAAGTCCCTGCTGCCGCCGCTTGTGCCTCCTCTTTTGTGTGTGTTGCTGCCGGGCGGCTTCGTCATGATGGGCGCATCGTCCTCGGAATCGGTGTCATGTGAAGTGTCGGGGCGCTTCTTCTTGCTGGAGAATAGCGAAGGAAACGGGTGGCTCATGGAGCGGGAATGTGTCGGACGGCGTGGGCGTCTTGGATGGAAATCGGATTCGGAAGAGCTTGAGTCTGCTTGGAGGTGCAAGTTATCCAAAATCGCATAGTCGGGCAGTCGTCCCAGCTGGCCAGGTGGTGCAGTGCGCGAGGGGCTGTGTACTCGGGAGACTAGGTCGGCGGAAGTTTGGCGGAGAGTAGGAGGGCGAGGAGGTGGAGCATGACGTTGCGACGACCAAGGAGCCATGTTGGCGAGCGATGCCGTCTAAACTCTGCGACAACGGCAAGGGCACCTGGCCAACTTGGTCTGCAAGCAGCAAATCGGCATGGAGAAATGAGGATGTACAGGAAGGTCAGGCTAGGGCATTCTCTCAGTTCGTCCTTCTCTCTCACGAATTGTTCCCGCCGTGCCCGAGGCAGGTAGTTGAGGTAAAAGTGAGACGATTGCGAACGAGGAGGGGGAAAGTGCGGCTGGAAGTTGGAGGGAGGGAGCGAGGGCCTGCACTTTGAATTGAGTTGAAAGCGTGTCTCGTCCAACAAGTGTGGATGTAAGTCATAGGGACGAGACAGGACACGGCATGACTGCTGCAGGAGAGGACAGGCTTCACGATGCAGGTGCTGACAAGGTGCGTAAGGAGCAAGTCTCCGACGCACCCATGCTGGGATTATGCTGTTGTGATCGGTTGTAGCTACAGCCAACGAGGCCATAGAGCTAGAGAACGCCGAGAAGACGGGCGGCTTAGAAGCTGGGAACCTTGATCCCAATGAGGAAGACTAAGTAAAAGTGACAACGGCTTCCGTTGTTTTTGTTATGGTGCAAGATGGTTAGATGGTTAGAGCTTGGATCCGGTTGGAGGTAGTGGAATTGACCCCCTCTAGTGTCCCAGCCAACAATTTGCGCCGAGCACGCACACACGTGAGGATATCAGATGACGGTACGGACAAGAAAAGGGCTTTCGGACAAGGTGGTCTTTCAACTGAGCGCCGCGCGCTGTGCGTTCCTCGTGAGATCCATCCTTGGCCAGGACCTTGAGAGTTCCAAGGTTGAATGAGACTCGACACGGGCTCGGCCGAGGGAGGGGACCAAAATCGAACAAAGTCAAGACACAGATAGCATAGCCTATTATGCCAGGTTCGGTTCCATGTTCTCACATCTCAATCTTGTCAAGTCTCGTATTCGACACTGGGCGCACAAAGTGCTGAGAGCGAATCAGCAGGCTGCTTATCTCAGGGCAAACGTACTACCACATCAAAGTAATCAAATAGCCGATCCCTGCGAAGCACCGCCGTGGGACGCGGACGGCTGACTGAGCGCCCTTTCCCGGTGGGAGTTATGTCTCCCTGAAATGGGTTCATAATAGCCCTTTGAGAAGTAAGAAACTCTGCTATTGCACTCTGACACATGGTTCACTGCTCCTTGCCTTGGAAGACTAGAAAGGGCCAGGCTGTCTGATTGTTGTGCGACGAATGCATAAAACACTAAAGAGCTTGCTGTAATTAAGGTCCCAGAAACGTCAAACATGATCAGCCACGCTGCTAATTTAAAGTAAGGTAGTAGAATGAATACCCTAGGCACCTGTGGAGTGACATGAAATGTTGCAATTTCCTCATTACAACCCCTGCTGGTCAGCTCCAGCCTCCAAAAGGGTTTTTTTTTTAAATGGTCTGTTGATATCAGGATTTCAGGATTTCAGGGTCCTGGGCTGAGTGCTGGAAAGCAGGGGCCCTTTTCTCGGGGTCAGCTCCCGTCTCCTGCTCTGCTCCGGTGTAACCTTACTCGTCAAACCAAACAAACCAAACAAACCAACCTAAGCGGTCCGCGGCTGGAGAAACCCCTGCAGGGGAACACTCCAGTCTCCAGCGTGCATTGCCTCCCGCTATTGCCCTGCCTTAGCACCACCATGTGCGCTGCAGCTAGCGGTACAAGTTCGCACTTCCCCGAGACCGGCACTCGGCGGGGGGGCCCGGACGGTTTGGTCCTTCCACAAATCCCCATCCACTTCGTCTCCTTCCGAGTCCCGTCGGTGCCAGCCAGCGCCAAGCTCCCGTCGGCTAACTTCGTATGTGGGGGAAAGAAGTATCGTGGATCCCCGTTTCGTCAATGACAGGGCTCCGCGATTGGATCTCTGCTGACTACTCCGGACCTTCGCTGTTGCACTCTCTCAACCCTCAACCTCAGCTGCAGAGCTTCAGCGGACGACACTGGCACAGCACTCTGCCTCGGCCGTTTCAGCATTTCGATGCATCCATGACACAAGCCCTCGAACCCAACTCTCCAAGCTCGCCGACTATACTCGGACAGCCGGGGTCCCCCAAGCTGGTAGAAAGCTTCAGGCGAACAGCTCCGGACATGACGGCCGCCGTGACGTCAAGTGTTGTCTTTCCGGACCTCGCGAGCTCCAATCACGCTGTATGAGCATCCAAACTCACCAGCGATCAACAATAGGACAGCATCTGCTCCGCCCTGTAACCGTTGTCGTTGTTTTCTCAGAGTACTGTATCCCCGGCCCTGTTCCGGCTGTCATCCTACTTAATGATAGGTCAATTCCGGGCAGGTGAGAGGAGGGCAAAGAACGGAGAATGAAAGTAAGAACCGGGAAAGCTTTTGCCCAGCTTCTGAGTATCATCCTGTCAATCGATATGCAAGCTGGTGAGCTGTCAACAACAGTGAAACGGGTGGTGCTTGTTGGCTCGCTTATCGTCTTTCTACTGACAGCTCTAGATATAGGCATCATACAAAGGAGGTTTCTGGATGGTTGCAAACATGATCATGTTCTCATTCGTCATAATGTATGAACAACTACCTGGCTATCAGCTGGCTACAAAGCTCTACAACATCTGCGCAAACTGCGGCGATACGGAGAATTGGCAGTTGATAAACTTGATCGTATCGTTGCACCAGTTGGGCTCCTTTGTGCCGGTGCCGACCATTCTCGCCTTGTCCGATGCCTTGGCTCCCTTCTTGACGGTGCCCTGCAGCGTGCTCTCAAAGTCGCCCTTTACAATCTTCAGTTCGCCCTCCAGCTCTGCCAAAACTTCGCCGCTCTCACTTTTGAGCTCAAACATGCTGACACCGAGGTCAATTTCCAACGGGCTGGGGTTGTAAACCTTCATCGTATTGACGAAACCACCGCCTCGCTCTTGAGAATTGACCTGCGCGATCTTGGGGCCGCTCATGCCAACAATAGGCACGTCCTTTGCGTACTTGACCTTGGCTGATAGGCCGAGCGCCTTGATTGTGCAGTCGCCATTATCGAGTCGCAGTACAAGCTCATTGTCGCACATGATGGCTTTGACGAATGCCATGAAGGCATTGCGGTCGAGGATCTTAATGAGCTGGTCCTTGACGACAACCTCCGTACCCCCGGACTTGGTCTTGACTTCGGGAAGGTCCAGCTTGCCAAAGCAGCCGCCATTGAACATCATATCGACAGTCATCGGTGCCATGGTCGCGCCCATAGGTCCGGTACCTGTGACCCTGCTGACAATGCCCATAACGAAGGTGCTGTAGTTCACGACAGTTAGACCATGTCTCAAAATTTCATCGGTGTGTGTAAGTGACTGACTCAGTCGTGGGCTGGGAGATCTTGATGTGTTCCACCTCCAGCTTGGAGCGGTTGAGAATGGCCTGGGTGATTGCGTCCATTTTGGCTAGTGTGCTGATTTGGGGAAGCGCTAGAGAAGTGGTGACGTTCAGTAAGATGATGTAGGTTTGGTTGCAAGTGAGACTTGATTACAGTTGACGCTGATTGACGAGTTGACAGGAAAAGAACGGTGAGTAACATCGGCTTTTATACATGCTCACCAACTCATCCAATGTCCTGGTCATCACAACCCCGATACGGCCTCACTGTCGTCAGAACGAACACATGCAGGATTGGCTGCCATGCCATGTGCTCTCGAGCTGCCACAACTTCAATTTTTGCCTCGGAACCTGAGCCTCGTCTCCAACAAACCCTCCGCCACAACACAGTTCGCATAGCTCTTCGCATAGCTTGCTACCCTGCCACACCCCGTCCCAAACTTGACAAGGCCTCGGGGAGTTTAGAACGGCACCCATCAGACGAAGAATGGTTGCCATTCGGTGAGCCCAACATATCGGATAACACCCCTGCGTGTATGACAGATCGATCAACCTAGCAATGCTCTTCCCCTCAAAACGGCAATTCCCTGTGCGGTGAAACACCAATGGAGGGCGAGGGTTCCTCGCAGCTAGAGAAGCGGGAGCCAGCCCACGCACACCACGCACCCGCACCCGCATTCGCACAGCTTTCGACGGCGGAACCCGCAATGCGAATGCTTCTTATTTGGTTTCCATTTCGCTTGGATGTCTCGTTTCGGAGAGCATTGTGCGCTTACCGCACCAGCTCTCCTTCTCCCTCCCCCCCCCCTCCCAACTCAAAAATGAGTCCAGAGACGAGACCCGCCCCTCGGCCGGCTGGCGGCAAGAAGAGTCTCAGTCTCAGCCTCAGCTCGCATACTAGACTTTTCTTTCCGAACCGCATGTGTAAGTGGCGCAAATTATGCTAGTCCGTCCTTCTCTTACGTTCCAGAAGTTTTGACAACTACAGTGGGTAAGAGGGCTGTGAACACTGCCCACTCGCCCATACCCAAGGCTGACTCGAAATGTTTACGTGGGTAGGGTGTGCTTCGCCTTGAGGACCACAGGCAGAGGCTGTAAGTCAATGCAGCCATGGTTTGGTGACGCAAGTTTTGTGCGGGGAGTGGGCATGTTCAATCTCGGTACGCAACGTTGCGAAAGACAGAATTGAATTTTGGCATGTGCTTCCAGCCTTCCACCGAGGGGGGGAAGAGAGAGAGGGTGGGGGAGGGAAGAAGAGAAGGAGGGGCGGGATATTTGTTGATTGGCGATGACCCGGTCAGTCGTCAACCCAACTCTCATGCATACAAGAGGCAGCAGGGCTTCATTCCTTCTCGTCGTGATGTCGTAGCATCTCGAGACTCGAGGGCGCTGTGTGATTTGCCTGCCTAGAGGTGTGTGGAAGGGTTGAAGAATGAAAAGGAGCGGGAATAGGCTCCCGTCCCATGTGTGTAAGAGGTTATGACGCGGAGTCCACGCTGCGTAAATGCTTCCCCCTCGCCTGTGTCCAAGATTTCTTTGGCAGGTTTGTCTTGGGTGGTGTCTAGCAAGTCTGAACGTCAAGCGAATCTAAGAGGGATGGCACTTTGGGACTGTGTGAATTGCAACATTCCTTAGTAGAGACATGACGTTTGCAAGCAAGAAGGATTCGCGGGTCCGGCTCCCGGCTCCGCGGCTCCGCGGCTCCGGAATAGGAATGCGGCCAGGATTCGTGGTGATTCATCGCTCTTTCGATTCATTTATCGAGCGAAAAGACTGGGTAAAGGAAAGACTAACAAACATGACCTTGCTTCCCTCCCCTCCTTCACTCTGTCGAGTACGTGCTTCTTTTTCGGATTCACTCGTCTTCAAAACTCCGCAATCGCCGGGCCTCCCAACCGCTAGTCTCAATCAGTTCCCAACCGCCGGACGAAAGTCGTCATGAAGTCATCAACCGTTCAAACACCTCTTCTGCGCCACCGACTTTTGTTCAGTTCACCATTCACCAAACCCCCAAACAACACCCGCCCTTCACTCTACAACCGTCCCACCAGCTTCTGACTCCGATCCGATGCTTTTCTAAGTAACGAAATGAGGTGAGCCAAGTAGAGACCTTTTCTTTGCAACAACAAACTTTGAAAAAACTGCAACGGTAAAAAGGCAACGTCACTCTCGGGAGGGCGAGAAAGGGAGGGAGAAACAATTCTGATCTGTCATGCTTGCGGCACAGAGAGCCCTTACACTCCGGTAGCGTCATCAAAGACAATCGCGGCCTTGATGGCGCTCTTGTTCTTAATGGACTCGAGAGCCTCGCCAAATTGCTCGAGCTTGAACGTCTTGTTGACGATGCCCTTGGTCTTGACCTTGCCGGAGTCGAGGTAGTCAATGGTAGCGGCTGCACGACTGTCAATGACTGCCTAGGCGCAGAGTTCAAAGATTGAATACGTACGGAACATGTAGGTCTCGGAGAAGGAGCCGAGAATGGTAATCTCGTCACCGAAAATCTTGGAAGGAGGCCATGAAACCCGGGCGGAGCTGCTGTAGACACTGCCCTCGACACATTAGTAACTAGGCGCGTTGGACGAGGACGTGCAGCCTTACCCGTAGACGACGAGCTTGCCACCGCGGCGGACGTAGTTGATGGCATCCTCGAGAATCTTGACGGAACCGGTAGCCTCAACGACGACATCAAAGCCGTATGGGTGATCCTTCTGGAGCTGAGTGAACTGAACCTGTGGGTCGGAGCGAGACAGTTCAACGTAGTTGTCGGCGGCATCCAAACTGCGGGCTAGGTCCATCTTCAGGCCTTGAGGAGCAGCGATGGTGACATTGCAACCACCGTTGTGGCGCATGAGTTGAGCAAGCATCTGTTTCGTAGCGCAGCGGTCAGTCATTCAGCATGGGGTGCTACTTCCCGGCCAATGTGGACTCACAAGACCAGTGGGGCCGGCGCCGAACATGAGGACGCTGGATCCGAGGCGGGGCCGGATCTTGTCCAAGCCGTGGCAGGCACAGGAAGCAGGCTCGAGAAGAGTGGCATCGACATCATTGAGGTTGTGAATCTTGAAGACCTTGCCGGCGGGGTATGCGCAGTACTCGGCGAAGCCACCATTCATGGTGACACCGTGGGCCTCGAACTGCAAAAGGTGTTATTTCAACATCCGTCCGTGTAAGTGGTGAAGTGGGGGGGGGGGGGGGGCGGGGCGGGCGGGGGGGGGGGGGGGTTGAGAGGCGCGCTGGCTGTCGCGACGACAGTGCGGTGTAGAGGGCTGGGCTTTAGAAAGCACAGGTTAGGATTGTTTCGGTATATTGCGTGGTGGGTGTGGTGGGGGTGTGGGGTGGAGGTGGAAGACGTGCTCGCAGAGCAAAAGCTCTCCACGTCGGCAGTAAAAGCACTCATTGCAGAGCTCGCTGTTGTCGGCGGCAACACGGTCGCCGACCTTGAAGTCTTTAACTTTCTGCACCTGTGTATCAGCAGTGATTTCGTCAGAGGTTGCGAGCAGTTGGGTTTTCCTACGGGTCCGACAGCAGCAACGACACCAACAGTCTCGTGGCCAGGGATCAGGGGGAACTTTGCAATGAATTCTCCCTCGTGGATGTGCTATCAAGTATGTAAGTTATACCGCTCAAGGCAAGACTAGACTAGACGTCACGAGATTTCGGAAATTTTACCAAGTCTGGGGCATTTGTGTCAGTCGTCCAGATCAATGCAATACCTGTCCACCGCGTATACAGTGGTACGAAAGAGGGAGGGTTTTACTCACCAGTGCCACAAACACCGCATGCTCGAACCTTGACCAGAACATCGTTCTCCCGAAGCTCTGGCAGAGGAACCTGGACAATTGACCAATCCTCGGGCTTCTCGTACCTGGTGAGGGGTCAGCTTAGCGCCGATGGAGGGGTAGAATATCTGAGGTAGCGACCAAAGTCGCATGAACTGCCGTGCTGACCCGACGAATGCTCGAGGTCGACATGGAGGAATCATACCGGAGAGCCTTCATCTGCTTGGGAAGGTTCGACATATTGAAGTATTTGTTCGACTTATAATCTGGTAGGTAGTAGGGCTGTTTTCATAGCTAGATGCCAAGTCAGCGAACAACTTCCTTATACCTAAGTGAAGCTCAGCATGTACCAGAGCAGAAGCCAAACAACCATGGAAGCTGACAACGTACACTTGGGACTCGCTGAGGGACAGACAGAGTGAGAAGAAGCTTGGTTTTGGGCCTATGTAGCAAGCTTCAGGAGGTGGGAGTAGTAGCTTTATATATATAAGGCCTTCTTCGAGCAACGCGGGGAATGGGCGCATCTTGGGACGGAGATGGGACCAGTGTCCAAGGCGTTGGTTGGCGTGTCTGAGGTCAAGGTACCTACATCTAAACCCTTCCCAGGACTTGCATTGTAAGCTCAAATCAGCGAGCTTCGATGGCTACACCGAGTTCATGTACCTCTTCATTCGTACGGTGCCATCCGGCGTGTTGGCGTAGCTGCATCCCGCGTCCGCAGACGCATCCTCGACCACATTGATGCGCCACTCGGCCAACAATTGGAGATACATACACGAGACGGCATCCCACGCCTCAGGCTAGACCCCAGTCTGGTCTGGGCAAACATTGATCGGTGAGGGCAAAAAGCACCTGAGAAAGAACGGCCCGGAGCTGTTGTGCAGACCACAGAGCTGAGCAAAGTCTAACCCCCCCCCCCCTGTCCGCCCCAAAAATGCCCCGCCCCCAGACTTCCAGCGGAGGTTTTGCTGCACATCCGGCGTCATCACGCAGAGCAGGGCTGCCACCTGGGACCAGAGTCTCAAGCCCGGGAGAATCGGGAGTAGATGGCCCTGGGGGCAATCGAAATGCAGGGAGGAGAATCAAAGTGTGAGGGGCATCGCCATGGCAGCACGTCCACGAACAAGCTTCCAACAACCCGCCAGCCAGCCAGACGAAGCTGTCTAGCTCATCCCATTGTATTGTATGGAGTCGACAAACTTTCATCGAGCCAATCAGACACGACAGAGCTAGCGATGTGCATCCGAATTGGAGAGTGGGGAGCATGTCAGAAGTGCTGGTCTCGAATTGTAAGTGTGTTACCCAGACAGGGACAACACCACTTCCACCATCAACAACACCATCTCTCCCTTTTCCTTCCCGCCAGGCGGTCCACTTGGACACCGCCGCAGTGCTTATCTCGCACATCCGGCACACTTCCCCCGCTACATCACCCCAACAAAACACTTTCAGGGCCGGACCAAGGAGAGTGGGAGTGTAGTGACACCCCATGACACATGACATGAATTGACAATAGTCTGCTCGCCTCGACCAGGCCAGGTGCCCAGGCACTTGCTGATATCCGCGCCCGCGATTCTTTCTCTCCACGCGCTATCCTTGCTTGGAGTGCACCCTCCCCGGTTGTTCCCCGGTTTGCTGGCCTTGTAGCGCAAGCCCTTGGCGTGGAGACACTGCCTCCACATTGACTTACGTATGGGTTTGGTGGGAGGGCATTGGAATGGGTCGCTCGATGCTCTGATACGATTTTCTGCCACCCTCGGGTCGGGCTTGATTTGCCTTTGGTGGCTCATGAGCTTAATTGTGTCTCTGACCACTGTTCTGCACGACGAGGTGCTGGAGATGATGAAGTGTTTGTTTCTGCTGGCGGCGTCTAGGAGACTCCCAGTTGGCTTGTTGTCCCCTCGATGTTTTGCCGCTAGTGGTGTGGTATATCAGTGTAAGTTGTTGTCAGGTTAAGTAGGACGGGACATCCTTCGATTGGGCGAGGTGACTTTCATAGCAAGCACTGGTGCCCAGGACCTCACCTCGCCTTGCTTTCTCATCCCACGGCTCGGGGATATCGAGGTAACCGCGTCCGGACGTTGATGCAGGTGCAGGAAGGTGAGGTAAGGTGAGGGGGAGGGGATGTACCTCACCCTCCTGCTGAGCGAGCAAGCAATGATACCCAAGGCACGGTAGGACGTTGAGGAAGGCGTCCTGGTCTCTTCTGAGCCAATGCAGCACATCTCACCTGCTGAGACAAGACACACAGCATGTATAAAAGTGTGGAGAGGGAGCTTGAGTTCCGGCCTTACGCGGGGGTACGAATGAGACTCTCGCCCGCCCGGAAACCTGGCAATCATGAGATTAACGCAGTCACCGCCACTTCCCAATGGCTATGCTAACCCGCCTCGGCATTCCTCCAACTTGCCGTCTCGTTCAAGTTTCTAGGCTGTCACGCATACTCGCTACGGCAAGGGAACATCGCGCATTGCTTCTTTGCACAAGGAAGGGACGAAGCCGCACACACACACACACACACACACACACACACACACACACACACACATGTCTGGAACCATACGTTATTCGTGCGAAGCCTGCTGAAGCTATCCTACGTGCGTTGGCGCTTACCCCAGGCTCTCAACATTCCTTCATAGACGGACCCCTTTCTCGTCCATCCTCGACTTGAGGACGCTTAGCGCATGTCCTCGTTTCTTTTCCTCGTCTTTGCCTGCCCTCGACATGCAGAAGGGGTTTCGAACGTGGCCTTTCGCAACTTCAGCATCACCCCACGTGCTAGCCGGCAGACGCTGCTTGCTCATCACAGCGTGGTAAGAAGACAAAAGGACGTTTCACAGTTTGGAGGAAGCGGCATAAGCCGCAGGCTGCAATTCATGACCTTTTGATGCAAACGATTTCCGAGGATCTAACCTCCAAACTCCCACGATGTTTCCCCCGTTGTCTGTGACGTTAACAGACGCGCGACTGTTCCGGCCATCCACTTTTTAGAGTACATGTCGGTGCCTTTTTTGTTTCTGCCAATGCGTCTCGAGAGTAAAAGCCGATAGGAAAGAATCCTCTTACGAGGGGGGAGCAGCGCCACGGCCACGGCCAAAGCCACCACGGCTATAGATGTGTTAGCATAAAGACATTCCGACCCTTGCGTTGCGCCGCCGCATCGACATGGCCCAAAGCGTTCGAGGGAGTTGAAGCTCACAATTGGGGCTCGAATCCACCAGGGGCACCACCCTCCTTGCCGCCCTCGCCAGCATCACGGCGGCGGTAGCCACCCTCACGGTCACCACGGTCGCCTCCACGGCCACGGCCGCCGAAGGGTCTTCTCTCGCGCTCGCCCTCGCCGAGCATGCCGCGGGGAGGAGCGTGGGAGCGCTGCTGCTTGATGTGGGTGGCGGGGACGATCTCGGCGGGAAGGTGAAGCCACTCGCGGAGGTAGTCGAGACCCTCGGGGGTCAGGGTGTAGTAGTAGTACTGCCACGAGAACTGGGTCTTGACATAGCCGCGGGAGGTGAGCGACTGGCAGGCCTTGACGACGAACAGGTTCTTGGTGTCGATGTCGGGGTGCTTGGGAAGGTTGTAGTCCTTCTTCGCGACGAGGACACCCTCACGGAAGAGGTACTGCAAATTTCGTCGTCAGCAATCGCTATCCTCCCAATTTTCCAGCACGTCTGAAAATTGTAAATCTAACCTCGTGGATCTTCTTGCGGTCGGCCTTGGGGATCAACATCGTGGCGGTTGTCGTGGTCGCTGCTGGTCGATGAGTGAGATGTCTGATCGAGCGCTGTCGAGAACTAACAAAAAGTTTCGAAATTCGTCGTGGGAGGGTAGAATAGCCTAGTGGGCGTCAACCCTACGCGGAACGTACGAAGTGTGGGGCGCTTTGATGGCACGCAGATGGGTCACGTGTAGATAGCATCCTCTGATAAGACGATCTTACGAATGTCAGCCACAGGTTGTTGCGCCTCACTCATTACCTAGGTATTTTCGATAAGCAAGGCCCATGCCGCACCTATCCTTGTATCCAAACGCTGAACATTTGCCAGAGGTACCATCATTTCACGTCCTGTCTCAACATTGCCAACCAAGCATCGACCTATTTGTTGCGTCGACGGAAATCGAGAAACCAACTGCCACAGCTACGTTCCATAGACGCCTATAATGAACAATATGGCCGTGAAGAACGTCAACGTATTCGTCAGCACCTTCGCTGGACTGGGCTTACCATCGACATTGGTCCTACCCGTTCCCTCAACCACGACTCTATGCGACTTGCGACAACAGCTCGACGAGCGACTGCCCGCAACAGACAACCGCCTCATCCTGACGACAGTCTCCAACAGAGAGCTGTCAACGTCATCTACCAAACCAGTCTCAGACCTTCTATCATCCATTGATGATGACTTTGTTTCTCTGCGACTATCAGTGCCGCTCTGCGGTGGCAAAGGTGGTTTCGGATCCCAGCTTCGAGCCGCTGGCGGTCGCATGTCCTCCAAGAAGAAGCGCAACCAGGGAGACGCCAACAACTCCAGTCGAAACCTTGACGGGAGACGTTTGCGTACCGTCACCGAAGCCAAGGCTCTGGCTGAGTATCTCGCTATAAAGCCAGAGATGGAGAAGAAGGAGAAAGAAAAGCGTCGCGAAAGATGGGAGCAGATTGTCGAGCTTGCAGAGAAGCGCGAGGATGAGATCAAGAACGGCAGCAAAGGCCGTCTCGACGGTAAATGGGTTGAGGACAAGGAAGAATCCAACGAGAGAACTCGCGAAGCTGTACTTGCTGCCATGAAAGCCGGAAAGTACAAGGATAATCTCCTTGGTATATCGCAAGGATCGACAGGCTCAGAGGAAACAGACGAGGAGATAAGTGAGGATGAGAACGAAGAAGGTAGCAGCTCAAAGGAGTCAACGCCGCCATCAGAATCGGCAAAGGAGCCTAAGGACAAGCCGAGGACGTTCATCGGATTCGACGAGGATGATGAGTTTATGAGTTCTGACGAAGATGAAGTCAAGGGCAAGAAGATGTGATGCGCCCAATCGCTTCGGTTTCTCGATCCTCTTGACTTTTTCCGAATATTTTCATCACCCTGCTTAGGTTGCGCAAGGAGTTCAACGACAAATGGGAGCGCACGGAGTTTAAGGTCAGCCGGGTTTCGAAAGGGTACTTAGGTTCAAGATTTTGTACAAATGATCAAATGGGCCGACACTACAGAGAGTTTTCACGAATTCATATTCGGCGCCCCTGGAGCGTCATCAGCGTCATCGCACAACACGTCCTCCGATGCTCTATTTGAGGTCTCGATCCATCTCGAAGTAACACAGTCGCCCGGCTCCTCCGTCTAACCTGCTCACAACGTAGTCGAACTTTGCTTATGCGTCGAGCTTGACGGGGAAGTTGCCGGCCTCTGCTATGTGTTAGCATGCGTGCCTTTGATATTCGGACGAGGTGCTGACCTCGCTGCTCGTCCCAGCGGGTGTACCAGCCAGAGGGGCACAGAGAGCGGTAGCCGAGCCAGAACTGCGACCAGTTAGTTTCCAGTCAGCTTTTAATGAGGACTGCGGACAACCCGGACCTGGCGGCAAGGGGCGAAGTCCTCGCCCTTGGCGTTGATGCACTTGTGGTAATCGACGTAGTTCTGCCAGCAGTGCTTGGTCTGGTTCATGTTCGGGTAGCGGGCATCCGTGCCTATCGAAGCTTAAGTTAGATGCACTTCGCTCATCACTCCCGCCTTCAATTACGGTGGCGGTATCGCGGGTTTCGGTGGTTCGGGCGTAGGGTTCATACCAGCTGGTGGTCATCAGTTAGCCTCGGAAAAAAGATCAGACCATAATTTAGAGAGGGATATTTCTTCAGCATACCGGTAACGAACTTGAAGGGCTTGGTAACGAGCTCCTGATCGTCGGACATTTTGGCGGCTTGCGAATTCAATTGACTGGGAGTCGGATCTGGTGATGGGGTCGAGTGGGCAGCGGCGTGCGATCGGTGTTGATGCTTTGAGAGCAATTGAATGGTCGTTTCTGCACCGAGAATCAGGTGGTGACGGGCGAGAACGGGTGGATGCCTGAAGATGGCCAATCGGGCCTCAGGCATTAGGAAGGTGGGCCGAGCTCCCGTCCAACATCAGACCAGACCGTTGGAAGTCCAATCCAACTTCTGAACACTTATTTTGAGATCCAATCCGATCAACTACGCTCCCTCCCGCCTTACCGACAGGACCGAAAAATCTCCCCTCTTCAGAAAAAAACAAATCCGCCAAAATGCGTCCTACTCTCGGTCTCCGCGCTTTCCGCCCGACTCTGCGCATGATGTCCCCCGTTCCCGTATGTTGAAATTTCGCCGGTTCGGATGAGCGCAATCGCTAATTCTCACGTCTCCGCTTAGGCCGAGGACCAAGTCGGTACGTCGACAACCGCTCCTAGCCATTGAAGGCTCCCACGACACCGGATATCCATACCGACGACAGCCCGCGGTGTTGCGAAATGACTAGCAGGAGCTGACAGAGTCAATCCCAGGCCACACCGTCTCCCAGAGACTGCGCAAGCTCCGCCAGATCCCGCCCGAACTGATCCCCCTCGGTACGTCATTGGACATCCATTGTTACATCAAATTATTGATGAAGATTAATAGGTGTTGTCGTTGGCTTCGCTCTGGCCGCTGCCACCTACTCTATCGGACGCCACTTCATGACCGACAAGACCATCCGTCTCAAGCGCCAGGGTAAGTCTGCCGCCGACGCCGGCCACGGAGAGGAGCACCACTAAGCGAAGGTCTGGAGGATGACGGGAGAACGTTTGACCATGACGCCCATGTGTTATTAGGGAGGATCCAGTTTGTATAAATCCATGACAGACAGATCAAAAGGCACTAGAGACGCTGCTTTCATTTTCTTTCTCATTATGCTTCTCCGCCCCGAGTATTAGAGAAAAGCCGTGCCTCTTTATAACTCAGTAAAACCATGTGAACGCCGTCGCTATGTAATTCGAATAAGGCTTCAGTCGCCTATGTCTCTACCACCTCACCCTCACTCCGGCCTTGGTCCCGCAACGTCAAGCCCCTCTAGCCCTTGCATGGGGTCATCCCCGCGCATCTCAACCTGTGCCGCCCCCTGATCCGTTGCCAATCCGTCCTCCTCACCAACAGCATGCTCTGCCAGCCATCCCTCCTATGAAACTTGTTAGTAAGTTTTTGCAAACCTCGGTAAATGAACGTAAGGGCTGAGGGATGAGGATAGGGATAGGTGCAAGAAAATAAATGAGTAGAACAGTGAAAATAACATGTAGACGAGAGTTAAAGGCGATGGGGTGACCGACTTGTTCCCAGACAGCCTTCTTGCTGCCTAGACCTTCATCTGCGCTCTTGGGTACTTTGGCGGCTGACACTTTGATGACTCGTCCGAAGAATTCTGACTGATCCATATTGTCGATGGCTTCTTTCGCATCCTCCGTGTCTTCATATTCAACGTAGGCGAAACCACGGTGAGGGTCTGTTGAGTTTGGTTTGTCGTTCTTTGGTAGCGACACATCGGCGATTTCTCCAAATGGGATGAATGCATCGTGGACATTTGCAGCTGTCACTATGGAGGCCAGGCCACCCACGAAGACCGTCGATTTCCAGCGTGCAGCGTCCGTCATCTTGACGGGGTGGTGTACTTGTTTTGCTGTCAATGATTTCGTTCCGTCGCTCAGCAAAACCCTGTGAGACTGAGCGAGGCTGGGTGATAATGAAGTGAATCTTTCAGAGGGAAAGTGGAGATTCTGTGAAAGAGCTGGGGTAACTCTTCATTGGCTGAGGAGAAATTTAGCTAGCTCAGGTACCTTGAGCTATGTCTCGGTCCATTTCCTAAATTCATCGTTACGTAAGCACACTGCCACACTTGCTCGATTCTTCACACGATGCCCATTCTCCGCCTCATCTTGGTACCTAGTTTCTGCAAGATATTCTTGCCCCCTTCAAAAGGTTGTTCTTGTATTAAATCCTAGATTTTCTTGACTTTGATTCCTCATCACCAGCGGCCGGGTGTTTTCTCCTTATGGGGGAAAACAGAAGGTGAAGACGATCGCTTATGTAATAAAACGTAGTCCCGCAGTTGCTCTCCGCCTCTTACTCTCCCTGCTGTATTATGATACACGTGACGCCATCTTCCTCGTTGAGCCAATTGAGAGGCGCACGGTCCAGTGCTAGGGGCATGGATGGCAGCGACTTAGGCCTTTAGGGAGCTTGGGATGGGGCTGCAATCTGGCATCATATTTCCCAAGGGCCAGCGTGCACTGTACCACTACCGCTTCAACGACTAAGAGCCACCTCTCCCATTAGGCTTGGCTTTACTTTTCCCAACTCCAGAGAATCTCGGCCCTCCTCGCCAGATCTTCTTGTCACTGTCACGTCAACCAATGCCAATTTGCAACTAGATTTGTCTTTCTTAGACTGGCCGACTATCCTTGTAGCAACGTCTCTCCCCCTCCCTCTGAGTGCAGTCCTGGGGACTGAGTGATTCTCGCAATCATGGTTCGCCTCCGCGAGATCCCAAGGACCGCGGCTTTCGCCTGGTCCCCTGATCCTTCGAAGCCTCTTTTGATCACCGGCACCAGAGCGGGAGCTGTCGATGCTGACTTTTCTGATGAGACTAAGCTGGAGCTGTGGGACCTCAACCTTGACAACCAAGACCAAGGCCTGGAGCTGCAACCCATAGCTAGCATCAGCACCGACTCGAGGTACGCACTGCTGCCGCACTACCAAACAAAAATCTTGGCTCACGACACTTAGATTCTATGACCTTGCTTGGGGACCGGCTGATTCCGACCACCCGAAGGGCATCATCGCCGGTGCTCTGGAAAATGGCTCTCTCGACTTGTGGGATGCCGAGAAGCTGATCGACGGAGCCGAAGACGCCTTCATGTCCCGAACAACGAAGCACACCGGTGCGATCAAATCTCTGCAATTCAACCCCCTTCGACCGAACATTCTCGCAACCGCCGGCGCAAAGGGGGAACTGTTTGTTTACGACATCAACGACGTTGAGAACCCATTCCGACTTGGAACCGCTGCCGCTCGCGCAGATGACCTAGAGGTTGTCGCATGGAACCGCAAGGTTGCGCATATTCTGGCTACTGGAGGTTCGGGTGGTTTTGTCACTGTCTGGGATTTGAAAACCAAGAAGGCTTCTTTGACCCTGAATAACAACAGAAAGCCCGTCAGCGCCATTGCGTGGGATCCCAACAACTCGACGAAGCTCCTGACCGCCACCTACGACGACACCGCTCCCCTTATCTTCCTTTGGGATCTCAGAAACGCCAATGCTGCCGAGAGGACGCTTCATGGACATGAGCAGGGCATCCTTTCCCTGTCTTGGTGCCAGCAAGACAGCGATTTGCTCCTTTCTTGCGGCAAGGACAACAGGACTCTGGTCTGGAACCCCCAATCGGGAGAAAAACTGGGAGAGTTCCCTGAGGTTACGAACTGGACCTTCCTCACTCGATTCAACCCCTCCAACCCCAACCTCTCCGCCACTGCTGGGTTTGATGGTAAGATTACCATCCAGACCCTCCAGAACACCAACCCTTCGAACACGCAAACCGCCACCACCAACAATCTCGACGGCGAGGATTTCTTCACCAGCGCCCAGACGCAGCCTCAGGGAGCGTCGTTTTCTCTGGCCCAGGCTCCCAAATGGTTTGAGCGTCCAGTTGGAGCGACCTTCGGCTTCGGTGGAAAACTTGTCATTTTTAAGCAAAATCCCCAGCAGAGGTCCTCCAAGATCTCCATCTCTCAGTTCTCTGTTGACTCATCTATTGGCCCCTCCACGGAGAAGTTTGAAGAGTCTCTGCGGTCAGGAGACATCGTCAGTCTCTGCGAGTCCCGTAAGGAACAGGCTAAGACCGAGGAGGAGAAGGCAGACTGGCTAGTTATGGAAACTCTCACAGGGGAGAACCCGCGAAAGCGTATTGTCGAGTACCTCGGGTTCAATGAGGAAGAGATCACCAACGGTGTCACAAGCAAGGACGAGACGAAGCCTGAGGATACCGCGGTGGAAAAGGAGGACGCAAAGGACGGAGAGAAGTCCGACAACATCTGGGGTGAGGCTGACGGAGAAGGGGAAGAAGATTTCTTGTCGAATCTCTCTGCAACCAAGGGCGCCAAGACGGACAATCCTTTCCACCTGCTGGCCGACACGGATACCAAAGTGGAGAAGTCCATCACCAAGGCCTTGATGCTTGGAAACTTTGCAAAGGCCACTGAGATTTCTCTCAAGGAACAGCGCTGGGCAGATGCTTTCCTCATTGCCAACTGCGGTGGACAGGAGCTGGTGGACAAGGTGCAGGCTGCATACCTGGCCAGCAAGGATGGTGTCCCAAGTTATGTACGCCTGCTCGGGTCGGTCATTGCCAAGAACCTGTGGGATGTTGTTTACAATGCCGATCTCGAGAACTGGAAGGAATCAATGGCCATTCTTTGCACGTTCTCTGACCCCAAGGAGTTCCCTGATCTCTGCGAGGCCCTCGGAGATCGGATCCTTGAGAACGGCTCCCGAAAGGATGCTTCTTTCTGCTTCCTCGTTGGTTCGAAGCTTGAGAAGGTTGTTTCCATTTGGATCACAGAACTTGAGGAGGCCGAGCAGGCTGGCATGCAGGAACCTAGCGACGATTCTACGTTCTCCGTGCACGCCCGATCGCTGCAGCATTTCATCGAGAAGGTTACCATCTTCCGTCAAGTCACCAAGTTCCAAGACTCTGGAAAAGATCAATCTGCCGACTGGAAGTTGTCAGCTTTGTACGAGAAGTACACAGAATACGCCGACATTATTGCCGCCCACGGCCAACTCGCGGTTGCCCAGAAATACCTGGACTTGCTGCCTAGACAGTACCCTGAGGCGCAGCTGGCAAGGGAGCGCTTGGAACGGGCTACAGGTAAGGCTGCCGTGTCGCAGGCCGCACCGAAGGCGGCGCCTTCTGGACGCCGCCCTGGACAGCCTCCAGCACCGGCCAACCCCCGGGTCACCCCGGCCTATCAGCCCACAGCTCCTGCCCCGACTCCTGTTGGCTCCAACCCCTACGCGCCGGCGGCCCCGGCCCTTGCTGCAGCTACTATACCGGCAGCGGCGTCGAGCCCGTATGCCCCGGCGATCGGTGGTTACACACCTGCCAGCCAGTCACCTTACGCCCCGAGCCAAGGCTACCAGCCTCCCGTTGCCCAACCCTACCAAGCGCCGTCAGGCTATGGACCGCCTCCTTCAAACTTCGGCTCCGTGCCGCCGCCACCGCGGAACTCTACGCCTACTACGTCCTTCCGCCCCAAGGAAAGTTGGAATGATGTGCCTTTGGTAGCCAAGGCGCCCCCTCCGAGGAAAACCACTCCCAGCGTCTCTGCAATTACTTCGCCGTTCTCTCAGCAACCGAATCAGCCGGGCCCCCCACCCCAGAGCCCGTACGGACGCAGTGGTTCAACGCCTCCACCTCCTCCTCCCAAGGGCCCAGCTCCGCCTCGTGTTACGTCTCCTCTCGCCGGGCCTCCTCAGACTTTCCAAGCCCCGCCGAGACCAGCATCATCGGCCTCGAACGCATACGCTCCTCCGCCCCCTCAACCCGGCGCGACGCCTTCGTCCATGCCACCACCATTTATGCCTCGCACTGCATCGCCATACAACCCTCCTCCATCTGGCGCAGCTTCTTCTAACCGCTACGCTCCCGCTCCCTCAGCCCAGCCGCAAACAAGCCAACCACCCACGGCGTCCTCTATGCCACTTCCCGGAAGCCAGCCTCCCCCGAGAAACCCCTATGCCCCGCCACCCCAGACGTCGGGCACACCGCAGAACCAGTACGCGCCTTCGCCGTATGGGGCCCCCCCTACCGCAAGCTCGGGACCGCCTACCGGTCCTCCTCCCTCCAGCGGGCCCCCGCCTGCAGCTAGAGCTCAACCGACCCCTCCTCCGCCAAAGGCAGTTGCTCCGCCAAAGGCCAGACACCCCGCTGGCGACAGATCGCATATTCCAACTCACGCCCAGCGACTGGTCGATGTCCTCAGCTCGGATATGCAGCGTGTAGCTTCTCGCGCGCCCTCGTCCTTTGCTGCGCAAGTCAAGGATACTCAAAAGCGCCTCAACCTTTTGTTTGATCACTTGAACAATGAGGAGCTTGTCAAGCCCGACACAATCGATCAACTTTGCGCCTTGGGTGAGGCCATTGAGCAGAAGAATTACGAGGTTGCCCACAAGATCCAAGTCGAGATCCAACGGGACAAGACTGATGAATGTGGTAACTGGATGGTTAGTCCGCCGTTTCAACAGATGACTTGATATGTACTAATATTTTCCCCCAGGTTGGTGTGAAGCGACTGATCAGCATGAGCAAGGCCACTCCATGAGTGCTTCCAAGTTAAAGAGGTGGGATGCCATGGGGCATGAGACGTCGATGATGGCCGACTGCGCTTTTACGTATACAATAGAGCTGAAATCGAATGTGGAAACTGTAATTGAATGCGTGCATTGCTGCCGTTTTACAAAATCTAGGATGACTTGGACTTCTCGACAGTGAGAGTGAACTTATAAGCGAGACTTTGATCGAGGAGGTGAAAGGCTCTTCGAATGGAAAATAAAGAAAACCGAGACTATTTCAAAGTTTGAAGCACTGCATGTTTTGGATCATTTTCTTTTGCAAGTGGTTGTCCACCTAAGAGGTTGGGGTGACTTAGCTGGAGCTATTTACCTACCTAAGGTACCTTGCAGGTTGCCTGAGGTAAAGCTGGCCCCTTCCAAGATAAGATAAGCGCGGGCGGGTTAAAGCCAGCATCATCCACAAAACGTCACACCTCGACATTCTGTCACCCCACAGCCAAACAAACCACCCACAATGACGGAAGCAACGCCAGAGGATGCTGCGGCTCAGCGCGCGGCCGAACAAGTCCGTCTTCGCAAGGCGAAACGCGAGGCGAAAATTCGTGCTGGCGGTACGGCGAGACTCAACAAAATCACTGGTCTTGGTGGAGGATTTCAGCGAGGTACGGCCCAACCCATCGCGACAGCTTCGCAGAACCGCCGGTCGTACTGCTGTCCATGGTTAAAAGGATCTCGAGTGCTGAAATACTGAACTTAGATGAACCCGTATCGACGCCACCCTCAACATCATCATCCCCAGCTCCCCCTGCCACGGCGGGTCTGCCGAAGCCCAAAGTGAGCGCCGAACATGCAGACCCTGAGGAAATCGACATTTCTCAGCACTACTACGAACCTGCCTTGACACCCCGTCCATCCGCCACGGGACAGCCCTTTGACCCGAACTCAATGAACGAAGACCAGCTTCGACAGATGATGCTCGGCTTCGAGGGTCCCGGCGCCGGCGGAGCCCCGCCCAACCCTTTTGCAGGTCCTGGCATGCCCGGCGGCGAAGACGACCCCTTGATGAAGATGCTCTCGCAGATGATGGCCGGTGGTGGCGGTGCCGGTGGAATTCCGGGCTTCCCCGGCGCTGGCGGTGCGCAGGGCGGTTTCCCCGCGGGATTCCCTGGTATGCCTGGCATGCAAACACCCGAGCAAGCCAAGGCCTCTTCGTCCGCCTATATCTGGCGCATCGTCCACGCCGTTTTCGCAATCTCCCTAGGTCTCTACATCGCCCTCACGACGACATTCTCCGGCAGCAAGCTCGAGCGTGAACGTACGGCGCTGGCTTACAACTACCCCACGGGCAGCGATGAGGCGGCCACAGACGTCAACAGTATGGAGAAGGGCCGCGAGATCTTCTTTTGGATTTTTGCGACGACCGAGGCTGTGTTGCTTACGACTAGGTTCTTCATTGAGCGTGGACGGGCGCCTCCGCCGGGCATGTTGTGGACTGTTGTGGGATTCTTGCCTGGTTCGATCAAGACTTATGCTGAGACGGCATTGCGATATGCACAGATCTTCTTGACGGTAAGGAGTGATATCCTCGTCTGTGTGTTTGTCTTGGGTATTGCTTCGTTGATCCGCGGTTGAAGGCACCCGCTTGAGACTAGAACGCTGGGTGAGGGCAAGTCCCAGGTGGAGGGCACGACAGTGCAAGTTGGACCCAACCTGCCTACAGACATACAACGGTCGAAATGCCGTTCTTAGCTACCTAGGGTAACAATCCATCAGAACTTACATGGCAAAGGAGCCCAAGGCACTGTTTTGCAAGAGTGATGTATGCAGATCTTGAGTGGTTGTATTCGGCCCAGTCCGTGTAGGCACTCGTGTATGTGTATATGTGATCCTGTATTTCCATCTCAGGTTTTATCATTGCCACTGAAGCAATAACCTTACCATGCATGTGATCATAATTTCTCCTCGACTTAATGGCAACTCCTTGGATGCTTTCTCTCACAAGATTTTAGTCATTTGGTTTCCTACCTGGTCTGACGTTTGGACAAGATGATTCAATCACCAAACGGCTTACAAGCCGCCTTGAAGAGCATGCAAAGTTGTCAGCCAAACGAAAGATCTGCGAAAAGGTTACTATGTCAGAGTCGTATGGCTTGCGGTTTGTAATGTGCGCTGGGTGCCCACTTGTGCCCTGCAAGTTGCGGACGAGTCTACACACCATGGGAGTACCATGCACGATGGTACGTGCTCAGCTCAAGTGACAATGCGCCCCTCCCGGGTGGCAGACTCCCAGATTGGACCACGGGTGAAGAGTGCAACCTGCCAGCATCAAGCATGTGGCTTTCAATCTCCGGAAAAATATCGCAAAGTGATGCAGGCACGGGGGGCCGGGCCGCGGAGTGAAACAATTTTGTCTTCGCCAAGCGCTGTCGTCTGGCTAAAGATGGGAGATGCGCGAATACGCATACGTGATCGACGTCGATAGTAAAAAAAAAAAAAAAAAGAGGAACCTGCGGGGTGCATCCGCTCCACGCGAGCTAGAGCTTTCACATGTCAAAACAGAACAAAAAACATGGCTGTCAACCCCGACGAGGACCCAAAGCCTGGACTGAGCGCTTTCAACCCTTGCAGATTCTTGTGGTGTGTCAGTCGCCAGGGAGCAAAAAGTTGAGATGGCAGATCAGCCCAACAGAAATTGGAGGGAGATGAGGGGATCTTTCCATCAAACCGGTGGTCGACAGATTTGCAAGTGAGACGAAGTCTATTATCTGTGAAATATATTTTGATTTAACAAATAAAATTTGGGGCAAATAACAGAGTGAAGGGTATCAACTACAAGAGCCTTCCCTGATCAGATATAGCAAATCTGGGTAAATCTGGTTCCGCAAGTAAATCATCGTAGCCTCCGGTGTGCGGCCCGCAACAGGGCCGGGATACCTACTCCCGTAAATCGCACTCATGATCGTCCACCTCAGCCTGCCGTGCCTCCTCTGGAAATCCCTCTTGACATTGATTTCCCACGTGCCGCAGGTATTTATCCCCCTAATTTCATAATATAGCAAGTAGCCTCATGTCAAAGAGACGGCCACTGATGTCTCTTGTTTCAGTGTTCCTGCTTTCGTCCCGAGAGCAGTGAAGCATTACAACCGTAATGCGCCGCCCACTCATGGTAGCTTTGTTATATTCGGCCGTGATATCACCGACCCACAAGGGCACTTTCCTGGGCCCTGAGCTCGTCATTTCCCTTCATGATCTCCTCGAGCCACTCAGCTGCCATGGTCAGCATCGTGCTCTTGCTGAAGCCGCCTCCCTTGAGACCTGGTACAAGCTCGCAGAGGTCGTCGAAGCCTTCCTTGATCAAGGTTCGGCGCTTTTGCTCGCTCTTGATATGATTTTCTCGTTTCTGGGCATCCGTAAGATTCTCGCGTGCTGGTTTGGCTCCAGTCCCAGATTTGCGCCTCCGGCTGGCTGTGCCATTTTCTGCTGGCGGAGTGGCTGAGGCGGGTTCGGTCTTCGTCTTGCGTTTTCTTGCCGCCTTCGTCGCAGTACCGTTCTCATCTTCGTCCTCATCAACGTCCTCTTTCGTGCTCCTGCTCTTCCTCCTTTTTCTTGGCGGTGCGTCCGCATCCTCTTCCTTTTTCAATACCTCGGATGACTTTCGGCTATGTCCCTTTCCTATTGCATGCTCGCCATTCGGGCTTGGCGGACGAGTATTATCCGTGCTTTGACTCGGCTCCAGGCATTCCATGTACCGCAACTGGCCTCTTGATAGAGCGTCGTACGTTTCCTTAGGGTCTGGGACAAAACTATTGGAGCGGTTGAAACGGGCATCGGAGCCCCATTGAACATCAATGTTTGGGACCTGGTTAGACCGTTGTGAAGACACTCTCTCGCCAGGAGCGGGTCCGAAGAACATGTCTGCGAACGTGGTTTCATGATCGTCAACAAGACTGGCCTGAGCCACGCTGCCTCGTTCAGCACGCTTGAAGTCCTCCATAGGTTGGTGTCGAAGGTGGCCTACGGGTGGGCCGAGGGAGTGCGGAACGTCCCGGGTGCTGCTGAACATCGGCCCAGAGCCGTTGGTATTGGATCTTGACGAGGAACCGTTGTGTAATAGTGTGTTGGCGGCCTGGAGAACGTCGGCAGAGGCATGCTGGTCGAGGGTAGGGTGTGGTTGCTGATGGTGATGCTGTTGTTGCTGTTGCTGCTGCTGCTGTGGCGGTGGGGGAGGAGGAGGCATCAGACTCGAACCCATGGACATCATGTCCACAAAGTCGTTATGGGGCATGGTATGCCCGGGGGAGGCGAGGGGTGGTGGTGCCGGTGACTGACCAAAGGACGTCGCCGTCCCCATGAACTGGGGTGGTAACTCCAGCCAAGCATCGCTGAAGTTGAGGCCTTCGCCGAATGAAGGCAGGTTATAGTGGTCCGCAGTCATGTCCTCAAAGAAGGAGCTGAGAAGTTTGGTTTCATTGTCGGAGAGGAGAGGTGCACCAGGCGCAGGTTCGGGAGGGTCGAGGAAGAAGTCTTGCGAAGGATCAACGGCATCTGAGAAAAGGTTGTGAGTATTTGACTTTGGTGGGAAATGGACGAGACGGTTACTCACAGCCGAAGGGCAAATTGGGGTCTGACGGCTGCGTCGAACCCATCCTGGGACGTTGTATGGCGAGCATGGGTGCGTCTTGTGGCAAATGGACGGTAACCGTCGAATGCGCTGATTCTGGTATGGAGAAACGTTGGTCGTGGAGAGTTCGAAGCGTGGGAAAGAATGATAACAGGCGACTCAAAGGAGGGCGGGCATGCGCATTCCTATGGACAAGTTGATATTCTATGAATCATTGACGGAGGAGCAGGACGTTTCTATCAGGAGCGCAGCGCGTCTGTACGAAAAAGCTCGTCTGGCTGGGAGAGGGTGTGCGGTAGAGTGGTCTGGAATATCGGCCAGTCGCTCGATTGCCTTGTGATTTGGCGGGGTGGCGGATTGTTGTTGTGGCAGCAGTGACCGCTATTGTGTCGTTTGATAGGAGTCTGGAGAGGTTGGTGGGTGTATTTGCCGTCTTTAGGTGCGCACCGTGGCAGAGCAGGAAGAGACCGAAGTAGACGCTGGCAGGTTACGTCGAGGCGGAGGTGGGGTGGTGGCTGCGCTTGGGCACCGCACCGGGCTTCTGGATCTCTAGTGCTAGAAGGACGTTCTCTTCGTCCTCGTCTCGTCCGAAGAGCGGGGTGTGTGAGTAAGAGGGAAGGATGGATGGCGAAGATGGGCGTGAGGCGAAGGCGGGACGGTTGCCATGTAAGGTAAGGCGAGGCAAGGTGAGGTGAGGTGAGGTGAAGTCGGGGATGACAGGCGGAGCTGGGGACAGTGTGCGGGATGGCGGAGTGGTGTACTGGAGCACCAAGCAGTGTTACGTTCTCGATGGTGAGATGGAGAGCTCCTAGTTGAAGGACATCCAAGGTCTACCCCGTATGGCGGACGTTAATGCGGCCCATGCAGGGCTAAGAGCAACGAAGAGACCCTTGAGACTTGTCGAACCGCAGAAGCAGTCTGGGTAAGCTGCGGTGTCGAGCCAAGAGGCGACGAGGGTACGTGTGTTTGTCCAAGATGGGATGCGAGCCCGAGGCCCATTCGAAGCATTGGATTGCTTGTATACTGTCTTGACGAACGTGGACGAGCTGGTGCTTTGGCTTGATGTTGAGGTTGGCTCACCCGTGTACTTGCATATCTGAGAGACCGCCCATACGGATAGCGAGGAATAGCAACAGGTGAGGTGAAACGAACCCCCAATCAGCTCAAAAAGGGTGGCCAGACGTAAGCTAAGGCAAGTAAGACGGGTGGAAGAGTACGCGGACGTAGGCGTGAGACGTGGACGTGAGGTGACGGACACGGTACGGTGCACCGAGAACGAGGGCTCAAGGACCCCGTGATTTTCAGCCGGGTAAAGTGAGCGACGAGCAAGAAACCAAGGACTAGAAAAGAATGAAAGGTCTGGGGCACCAAACAGGACGGACCCCTGTTGTTGACCGGGGTGGTTGAGTGCTGGAAGAGACAGAGACTCTGAGGACTGAGGTGGGAGAGGGAGGGCAAGTCGCAGGTTGCAGGCAGGGGTGGGTGGGGTGTGTGTGGGTTGCCGGCACGGTCACCTGCATCGCGCGCTGCAAGCCTCCGCACTTACCTTAGTGGCAGCAGTCAACGGACAGGTAGGCGTGTGTGGGCGGGCAGTGGTAGGCCGGCCGGCCAGCAGGCAGGGCTCGAGCCGGCCTAATTTTCCCACTGCTACCTTTGCCCAGTTTCTGACGGATGAGGATGGTCCTGTGCTGGCCTGCCCCAACATCTGAGCAAGCATGGAAGGCTGATTGGAGAAGAGCCGAATCGTGGATTGCAGCCAAGCGGACATGAGACAAGCCGAACCATATCGTTGAAACGGTGCGCTTGCGCTTGCGCCGCCTACACCTTACCCAAGCACTCCGAATCACCTTTTTGGCGTGTTCAGGTTGCACAAATGGCGGTCAGCAGGTGGGTCAAGGGGGCTCAAGTAAGTCTGATTGGTTCGCTAAGCCCTTCTCAACCTTCTCGTTAGCTCGGTGCCTGACTGCTTAGCTGGGTGGGTCGCCGCCTGTCTCAATGTTAACGGGCTTATACCACTAGCGGGGCATCACATGCCAGCTCGGAGCTTCCTCTCACTCTCGCTCTCACTCCCTCCTCTCAATTCTGTCCCCCTCCCTCCCCAATCTCTTCCCCTCCCGCTGTCCAGCGCTGTCAGTCATCCGCATATCCTCCCTCGCCCCAGGAATTACCTTCCACTATTCCGTTCTAGGCTTGGCCTCACATGTACTTTGTACCTGTGCGCCGCATCACCGACCCTCCTAAGCTTTTCCCAGCACTTTCTCACACCTCACCTCCTCTCAGGTTTGGGGTAGGCTGTAAGGTAGCTTTGAGGTTCCACATCCGCACCCGATCGACATTCTCCGAGTTCCTTTGCTACCTAGGTATGCTTCGCCATACCATGTCTTGTTATTGACTCTGGCCTCATCGTTCGGCCAAACTCGTTGCTTCCATCTGTCGCCTGGAACTGCATCTGTAACACAGCTTCATCCCGTTTTGTGTCTCTTGCTATCTTAATGAACCCTGGCGCATAGACAGTTGCAGCTCTGCTCTACGGATACATCAAATCCTTTGGAATCTTGACGGCTGTCCATAAGTCCCTACTAGCGCCGATATATCCTACTAAGGCACCTCACAGACCTTGAACGGTTCTTGACACGGCCAGACAAAGAAACAAACACAGCCTTGATTGATACGAAACGGCTGGCTGTCCCAGCCTGTCTGTGGTTACCTACCAGCCACCCAGTCAAACCATCGACCTCCTGCGTCTACGACTATCCATCGTTCGAGAACTAGGAGCAAGCGCCGAGATTTTTGACGGCCGGTCGATCGCACTGATCGAATCTTCCAAGCCCGAAGCGTCCCGCAGCTCGCCAGGACTCGAGCAAGGCTGGCAAGGCATTCCCTGCTCAACGCCGTCTGCCACCTGCCGAGCCAACGCAAAACGCCGTTCCCTTCAGGTTTTCCTCCAGACAAAACTCCAGACCTTGATAGAAGTCTCTTCTTCTTCTTCAGCACTGTCGCACTCGCATGGATTGCCGCCCCTAAACCCCATCTGGCTTGGCTGAACGTCTCTGCTAACTAGGTCTCTGAGTCTCTTCCTGGCCGCCAGCGTGAACCTCAGCGTGACAGACCAGCTGATCGAACCGTATTTTTGCAACCAATCATATTCGACAAATCTTCCAGCTGTGGCGGTAATCTGCGCTTCGGTCACGTTTGCCAGATCCGACCTCCTTTGCGTACTCTCGACCGTGCCGAGGAACCCAATTGTCACATTTCCTTCGGCTTCACCATTGTTTGCCCCTGGCCTCCATCTGCACCTACTGCACAACCGACGTCGCTCATCCTACCCCAGGCCCCCATCACGACGTGGGCCGCACCATTACCCCACAATTTCTTATTCTATTCCCGTCCCCTTCATCTCTTAACACGCACGGTACGCGATACTTTCGCCATAGAGCACAGTTCCAGCCCTGCCCCAGGCGCTGGAGGGTTGGCTGAGGAGGGACACTGATCACGAGCCTCCCAAAGAGCCAGTTGATCAATACCCCCTGGTAAGACGCGCCCACTGGTTCGCGATCTTCGTTGCGCGTTTTCCTGTTCCTCTTCAAAGACCTACATGTACATGCCTAGACTGTCTTCCTATTTACTTGGCTTCCGAGGCTTCTAGTGAAGATGGACAGGACAATCCCGAACCTTGTTCCTCGTAACCAAATACCTGTCATCTTCTGGTTAGCTTTTCAGTTCTCGACATGATTCATACCCTCTATGCGGAGCGGATGGCCAGTCCGCTTGCCGCTGCACTCCCCTATTACCTAACGTAACTCATGCCTTACCACGGTCCACCTATCGTTACGTCTCCCGATCATCACACTTTCGCCCGTCGTTCACTTTGCTTAGAGCAACATCCCATGTCTTCAGCCACATTCCTCGTTTCCTAAATCCCCTCTGTTGAACTCAGTTTCACGAGCAGCCTACCAAGTCAACCCTCACACCATTGTACGGTTACATCATAGCATATCCGAGTGTGCACAGACACATCACTTCCGGCTCATATGCGGACCGCTGATTTTCTGCCCAGGAACCGTTTCCAGTTCAACTACCGGCACTGACGCCGGAGCCTCGAGGCTGCCGTCACACCTACGCTCTCCGCAATGCTACCTCGGAGTCAGCTGCAAATTCGCCGGAATGGACTTGTTGAGCTGCAAGGAATTCCGCCAATCCTGCGGCCCCTCCTTCGGGCCTACCTCCTGGGCTATGCTTCCGCTGTTGCTCCGAGAGTCCTGACGTTGCTGATGCAATACCTTACCAAGAAGCGCCGCCAAATTGCAAAGGAAAATGGGCAGTGCATCGGGTTTGTGGCGCAACTGAGGCGGATAGTCCTCGCCGGTTTGGACCCCCAACGGTTTCCAACGTTCTGTGCCGTGATAGTTGGGGGCAGTACTCTCCTAGAGGTATGTTAACTCATTTTAGTATGACGGACTGGATATCTGTAATACCCGCGACTTGAGCTATACAGTTGCCTCAGTTGGTTTCAAGCACTGGCAACTAGTTATCCAGCACTCACCGTGATGGAGACCTCAGAGTGGTACTTGTGGCTTGCTCAAAAGCTGTATAGAGAGGGCTCAGTCACCGACTTTTGCTCTCTCGCGGGATTGGACTGGCTTCCCTGCTAGTCACACACAAGGTCGTGTTCCTTGCATTGCTTCTACACAAGCGGCTTTTGCAAGTTCACACAGGGCTTCAATTCTATTTAGACTGAATGACTTGACTTGACATGACCTGGAGCTCTGACACATTCTTACAGGGGCCATTTCGGCGTATATTTGACCGAAACGCCAAAGGGCTTACGGAGCTGACAAGAACCAGGTGAGTGAGATTCATCGTCCATTATTTTGCCATCACAAACCAGTTAATGTTAATGCACGTCCAGACTTGCAAGATGGAGCGCCACGTTCATCGCCGCTTGGTTTAGCTTGCAGCTTTTGCAGTCCAAGAAGAGCTCAGCCTTTACAGCCACCGTCTCAGTGAAATCTGACAGCCCTCCAGGGGCTCAGCGACAGGAGATCCGATACGGTGGACGAACACTCGATTTGACATTGTTCACATTGACGAGGGCTCTGGATGTTCTTGTTGGGGAAGTGTGGGCGCGTAGGCGAGCGCGGCGGGTGGCTGAAGGAAGCTGGACCAAGGTATGCACCACGCACCGAATTCCTTTCGTCATATATTGTTGCCGTTGCTAACCTCGTGCAGGCTGAGTGGGTCATCTGCAAGTTTACTGACCCTTGCTTATTCGTCACCTCGTGTGCTTTTATCATGTGGGCATGGTTTTACCATCCCGAAAGGCTTCCCAGCGCCTATAACAAGTGGATCAGCTCGGCGGCAAATGTCGATATGCGGCTGATCGAGGCCCTCCAGAAGCTACGTGCTAACGAAATGTCCTACGGTAAAAGTGGACAAGCAGAGTTGCTCCAAGGCATGTGTGAGAAATATAACTGGCCGGAGGAATGGGGTGACCCCTCAAAGTCCATACCCATTCCATGTGAGATGGTTCACATGGGCTGCGGTCCCTCGTGTGAGCTTCACGCCATTAGCCGCTTCTATCGGTCGTGGAAGTGGTCCATGGCCATGTACTTGCCCCTGAGCGTGGCGCTTCTGCTACGAGGGCCCATTAATAAGAAGGCCTTGGTGCGTACTCTACTGTCAGCATCGAGGTCGGCGGCGTTCTTGGGCGCGTATATTACTCTGTTCTACTATGGTGTTTGTCTCGCCCGTACCAGAATCGGGCCTCACATCGTCGGCAAGGACCGAGACGCAAGGCAAAAGATGGATGCCGGAATCTGCGTCCGCACGGGATGTTGCCTTTGCGGCTGGAGCGTTCTTGTCGAGTCCGCCAGTCGTCGTAAGGACATGGCTTTGTTCGTCGCTCCACGGGCCATGGCGACGTTGCTGCCTCGGCGGTACGGTATGGACAAGCAATGGAGGGAGACACTCGTGTTCGCCGCCAGTACGGCTGTTGTTTTTACTTGTATCCACGAAAATCAAGCCCGTGTACGTGGAGTATTGGGCGGTGTATTGGGGATGATTTTGCGCAACTAGAAAGAGGACCCGAGTTTCCTGGGACGCATACACAAATCAGCTCCTGTTGGGGGATTAGAACACGGAAAGACCAACGGTTTGAATAGAGGCACTGTAAGATGGTTTAGAGCTTGGGTACACTTCTAATAAGTACCTACTCTTTTTGTTATAATTCTTTGGCTGGGTAGAGAAATCCAGGCTCCGGTGCTAGATTGTTGGCTAGTTTGTGATGTTAGAATGAAAACGCGGAAATATTTCATAGCACAATTTCTGCCCATTCGTGGGCATCGAGCGCTCGGTGAATTCGCGGGAAAACGGACCACTGTCTATGCCGGCGACCGTCCTTCTTCGGCCCGAAGTTGGGTTTCGGGGATACCTGCCTGGAGCGGGGCGATCCGGAAACCAACCCCGGTGCCCGGGGTTCGTGCGCCACCAGTCATTTACCTCAGTCCAATCCTTCGGCTTGGCCTTTCCCCTTGACAATCCAACGACACATTTCCTCACACGGCCACAGGGTTATCCACACTTTCATCCTCTATGTTATTTCCCACAGTATCCCTTTCTCAGAGTCCCTGCTATTTGCAGCAAGGGAGCCAGAGTCCTTGTCCGATGACTTACAACAAAATTCCAACGTCTCCGTCGACAGCTGATTTGTGGCAACGGGTCTCTGAAAGTCACCGTGGCCCAGCTCTTGATATGTGGGAGCTCTCACCGCGTCAGACCCATGAATAAAGAACCAAAGAGCGCCGCGACTCGACATTAAATAGGAGAGCTTGGCAGAGCGCACCCTAGAGTAACCCGGAGGCTCCTCCGCCGCAATGACACCCCCTTTCAACATCCTATAGTACCCTTGTCTGCAGCTCTACCACCCATTTACCCAGTTTAGGGGCTTCCTCCCAAGACCTCTTTGTCTAAGGATCTAGATTGTCCAGGTAGCTAGACAATCAACAACTGGTATTGGTATCCAACCAGGATCAGACTTGGATATTAAACAGATGAAAAAGCAAACAAGGGGTAGTTAAAGACCAACCAGAGACAACGAAAACTTGCTCGAATCTGCTCAGCCTTCCTTCCAAGACACCAAAGTCTCCACTTGAGCTCAACTTTGTCAAACCGCTGAAAGCTTTCCTTCCATCCTAACTGAGGAAGCCGAGTCTCGTCCTGTCTAGTTTGAGATGATGTTGCGCCTATATTGCAGATCCCCTTGCGTGGGTCACGCCCGCGCCGTTCTTTCGGGATCGGAATGCTTCCAATCAACCCCAGCTCCCCGTCGTGGCTCGAAATTATGAGAATTGTCGTTGGTGGCTTGGCCGTTCGGTTGGTTTCCGTGTCACCATCCTCGGGGTATTCGTGATGATGTGCATAGATTCTGGTGGGATAAATATGTATATACAGCACTTGCCTGCTCTGAAAACTCAACTTGTTTAATTCCCTAGTATTCCTCGTTGCTGGGGTTGCACTCGGGTACCTCCAATTCACTCTTCCATTCTCCTATCTGTTTTGCTTCTTCGTCGAGAACCCAGTGCATCAGCTTCACCTTCCACCCATCTCCTTCCTTCAAGCTCGACAGCAGATCTGGCGCGCATCCAACCAAACACTCGACATGCGCTTCTCAATCATGGCCGTCGCGGCCGCGACCGTCTCCCTCGGCGCAGGAAATCCTCTCCACAGCACCCGCAGCACCCCGGTAATCACCATAAACTCCACCCTCCCCGTCACCTTTGGCGCAATCGTCTTCCGTGCAATGGACATGCTCGACCTCTTTGGCCCTCTCGACGCCCTCCAGCTCGCCGCCTTCAACCGCCGCATGAACCTCCACCTCATCGCCGCGACCCTCGACCCCGTCACCACGGCGCCCCAGTCGGCCGGCATGAACGCCCACAACTCGTCGTGGTGGCCGACCATCCAGCCCACGAATACCTTTGAAGACGATCTGGACCTCGACGTACTCATCGTGCCCGGTGGTCCCGGTGTTCGGGCCCCCGGGCTGGAACCGATTGTGGAGTACGTGAAGAATTACTACCCCCGGGTCAAGTATCTCATCACCATCTGCACGGGTGCCAGCTTTGCTGCCAAAGCGGGTGCTCTGGACGGGAAGAGGGTAACGACTAATAAAGCTGCCTGGGAGCTTATTACTTCCCAGGCCCCTGACGCCAAGTGGGTTTCGCCGGCGAGATATGTGGTTGATGGCAATATCTGGACTTCCTCTGGAGTAAGTGAATCCCTATTTCTGTCTGTACACACACACGCGCGAAGGGCGTTACAAACTGTGGGAAGAAACTAGCCTTGACTAATGTTGGTTCAGGTCACCTCTGGTTTGGACTTGACTTTGGAGTTCATCAAGCAAGTGTACGGCGAGGAACTGGCGACCAAGGTCGCCAGGATCATGGAGTTCGTGCCCCACCCCGCCGACTGGGACCCTTTTGCGGATATCAACGGCGTCGAGCCGACGTACAAGTAATGGTGTTGGGGCCGGGACGACTGAAAAGGGGGGTTAGAGGCAGCAACTCGGGCACGCTCTGTTTAGAGATGAGGATATCTAGAGCGCATAACAGAGCGGTACAGCTTGATTACATTTTCCTTACAAAGCTAAGCGTAGAGAGTGGCTTTACCACCACCAGCTTATTGACCTTATTGACCGTACTGGTGGTTTTATGCAAGCCACACTCGTACTTGATAACTATTTTTCGTTCATACAACCCAGTTGACGAGGGATGATACCTGCCAGCGCCCTCTCTTTTTAAACTGCTCTAGTGCTAGGAATATGTCAAGTAATCCGAAGAAGTTCTTATACGTCATTGAAGGCAGCTGGTGTTTTATGGCACTGGAGCAGATAATGTCACGGAGCATCTTATTCTTCAGGTCGACCGCATGGCTCCTGTCGCCTAGGGGAAACCCGCAACGAACATGAACTTAGACTAGAATTTAGGCAGCGCTCTCTTCATAATAAGAAGATGGGAATTGGATGTCACTATACTTGGCTGTTCGAAGAAGTTGCGGGGGTTAAAATGTTGAACTTCTAGCGAGATGCTTCTCCCGCCAACTGGCTTGTCGCTGGTATCACTCCTCGTCAAATGCATTACACGATCCTTCCCTGGGTATATTCTGACACTGATCACGAAGAGAGTATGGAGACAGAACCGGGGCCCTGAAAATATCCAGACGAAGAAATCCCCCAAGAACCCCCTTTTACGCCTGGTTTTGTTCACCAATGCAACACGATGCGCGTTGAACTCTGAGAGTAAGCCTGAGAAATATACGCTGCGCCCTGCCTGGATTCAGGCCGAGTGTACTTCCGTGGCGCGAGGCTGGGAGAAAGCTCGGAGTGAGCGGCTGTGTGACGATGGGACTTGAACGTCGCTTGTCGAGTTCCAGGTTCCATGAATTTCTGTGCGAAGAACGGCATGGCTTCACTTCCGTCGCATGTCTGTGTATTCTATTGATATACTCGTTGACTTGAATATACAACTGGTATACATATTTGTGACAGATTGATACCGCTATCGACTATTCCCTAAACTCATGATTGCTTGTTGGAATGCGGTCCAGGAAAGGTGAACACCAGAGACAGGAACACGGAGTCCATCTGTCCTCTAACGAGCCAATCTCTATACTTAGTAGCCCAAATGTACGGCTGTTCTGGCCACGTTCAGCAAGGGTCTGAATGCTCATGGCTGCTGCGATTCCCTCATGAAGTCGGCCGTTCACTTACACCAGAGTCAAAGTTGCCCCAAGACTGGCTTATGATCAAGTTTTCAATGTGTCCATGATTGCGGCATGGTGGAAAATTGAGTGACATGTCATCGGACGAGGAAACATAGAATGCCACAAAACCCACGACATCATCCCGTCTGATCACGTCGATGCACCTCCAATCGAACCATACGAGACTGAAAGTCGTTCATCATGTCACTCAGGGTTTCGTGGGGGCGCGTGGGGGTTAGGGGTCCGCCCTGCATAATTTAAGCTAGCATTCATGACGGGAACAACACTCCTGCACAACGACACAAGTCAAATGCGCGGCATTAATCATGCACCAACGCCCCGCTGGGAGGAGCTTGGGCCAGCGTCATGCTAATTAGAGGGTTTTACGTCAAAGTCAGCAAACCCTGCAAAATTGCCCTCGGTGTTGGTTTTCCGGTGTGGTCACCGGTCACCGGTCACCGAAGCAAAGAACGCTCACCGAGAATGGATGTCTCGAGATGGCATAGCCGAACGACGCGTCGTTCAGGCCATTTTATAGACGAGACAGTGAGTCCCATAGTCTGAACCGAGATCCCGGGGCCGTACGCAGCCAAATTCCGAGTGTTGCCTGCCAGGGAAGGATGAATACTCAGCCGGCGACTCGAGCTTCAGGTTCACGATATCTCTTGAGTGTCATCTTCCGAGGCATTTCGATAAACACCGGGTGGTGCGCGGTAACCGCCACAATCAAGCCCAAAGAGTATGCAAGCCCAGAAGTCTATGGCGAATCGTTGGACTGAGCTGGCAACTACTCCCGACTTGCCCGAATTACACGCCCGCTGGCTTGTAAAACGGGCTGCCAAGTGACCCCACTGGCCCAGATACGAACCCCTGAGCTTTTGAAGAATCTCTGAGGCTAATCGCTGCTAGATGAGACGAGGTTCCAGATCCCCAGGCACGAGGTCCTGTACCCCGGCTCGGCAAAGTGTAGCTCATGTACGGCATCGGGGGAGTAATCGGGAGGAACCGGAGCGGAAATCTGGGGTAGCTCGGGTTGAACCTCGACGAGGGCGCATCATTCCGGGGCGGCTGGCGGCAAACGGGGCCTGTAGGAAAGCTCGGTTCTGGGAAGGCCACACTTGCTGCCGTGGTCCATGTAAGTCTTGTGTATCCAGTCAAAGGTGGGCTTAGAATGGAGGGAACGGGAGCGGCCAGTCGTGATGATGTGGGCTTGCGGATGGGACAAGCGTCAACAACATCGTCCTAGCCACAAGGCTGATGACACGGCTGTCAACGTGTTAATTGGTAAGGTGGAGACGAGGCCTCGGGCACGACGGTCCCATGATCTGACAATATCTGGTCGTCAGATTTTAGGAGCCCCTTATCAGGCCGAAAGGAGATGCGCTGAATAATTTGGCCGAGAGATAGCTCGTCCATGTAAGTTTTGACCGCAGTACGGCCAGGAGGTCATCCAGGGGCTCGTGTCGTACGGTGCTGGTAGTGGGTGAGTGACGGTATAGTCATATCATGCCAGGTCGATCGATGTTCGGACCATACAAAACGATCCAACCTGGGCCCTGTCGGGCGCCTGGCGATATGCAGGCCTCCGTAGCCAGCGGCAAGCACACAGGCCGCGGCATTGACGTTTGCGGGTATCCTCGGTAGGCGTATCATCATTCCCGACTTGATCGGAATGTCAGATTGGTTATAGGCGAGGGCAGGAGCTTTTGGGGCCGACGAAGCCGTGATGCTCCGGCGTGTCGGGCCAGCCGGGCTCGCTTGGTAGCTCATTGGGTTGGGTGAGTCGAGAGGCAGATCTCGGGCCCCACCAAGCGCCGGAACGCACCAGCCCTGTTTAGATGGACCGACTTTGCATTGGAAGCGGCCGGCCAAGACTATGAGTGACAGAATTGGGTGGCGTGCACATTTTGCATCACCCATGACAGGCGAGGTATCTGTGCAAGTTCTCCAATCGAATCCAAAGGGTTTGGACGAGCATGGATGGAGGCTTTTTTGCACGCATCCTGCTTCTCCAACACGGGCGACGGAGCCAAATATGGTGCGGCCCATTTGGGAGTGACCGAGAACGGAGTCGTAAACGGGCCTTCTCGATCATTATCTCTCTCTAAGCTAAAATCGGTCGAGTCGAGGCTGGAAGTGCCTCATGCACCAGGCAACGTGTTTCATTAGCTGGGCTCAGTCGAGCTTGGCGGGTTGAGCGATGGAGCATTGAGTGATTAATGGAGCTGGGGTCTTTTTTTTTGGTTCGACATCTAAGCTGAGCCAGACTTTGAGTAAGAGAGTGCGGTGGGAGCCAGCGGGGGGCGGAGGAAGGGGGGGGAGGGGGCCGTGGGAGCTTTGGCGCGGGATGAATGGTGAGGTGTGCGAGTGAGCTGTTTGAACCCTGTCGCATGTCGTGTCTTGAATCCAGTTGAGGATGATAATAACAACAAAATCCACCAAAATAAACTGGAACGGTGAGAGGATCACAAAAAAAGGCGCCAGAGAATTGGCGTGGACCACGGCGGTGTTGCATGAAGCCTGGAAGTGGCAGTGGCTGCGAGAGAGAGAGAGCAAAGGTGAGTCGACGGGGGTGTCGGACCTGATGCTGTTGGACCGGGGGGTAGCTGCGAAAGTGATGTAACGAGGGGCAGGCCAGCAACGAGGGGCAGGGGCCAGGGATAAGGTGCCGTAGCTGACTTTTTTTTTTTCCCGCTGTTGCTGGAAACCAAGGGAAAGCTGCCCCTCCATGCCCCTCCATACCTGACAATTCCTGACCCTGATAATGCCTGCTCTGCTCGAGTCGTTGATCGGTCCGGTCTGTCGGCTGAAAGTGACACCACCAGCCAAGACCCGCTGCGGAATGGATATGGATGAGGTGAGGGTATCGCTGGAATTGGCAGAAACAAGTCATTGATGAGTAGTTCATCATGAGATGAGATACGGCAGGACGAAGCACAGACAAAGTTGAGGTGTCAAAAAAAAAAAAAAGGAGTGGGAAGGAAGGGGAATGTCGACGCCACGACCGACCCGTCCGACAATGCAGCCTGCATCCGAGCTTGGGATGGCAAGACGGACCTGTCCCAAGGACCCGAGCAGCATCAGCATCAGCAAGCAACATCAACTAAGGTAGTCCAAGGTAGATTGGTAGAACAACAACGCATCCCACCTTTGGTTGTGTTCCCCGTCATATCAATTGGTCCAAAAACTTCAAGTACCCGGAGGATATCATACTAACGCCACAAGCGTTAGCAGCGCGTTCCCGCTGGATGCCCCGCCATGCCCGTAAAAAGACGCACCTGCTTGGACTGGGTGGATGAGAGGCGACGAGAGGACGCATGGGAAGGAGTTGGAGAGTTGGAGAGGTACGAGACACGCGTTACTGGGGGAGCTCTGGCCGGTCAAGGTACCTAGGTAGCAGAAAAAGTGTGTGTCACTCACCCACTCACCTCACCACCTGGCGTCGACCGGGCAATCACCACCTCAATCGCCGAGTCACCTCACCGTTCTCGGGGCGTCTGGCCCCCCCCTGCGGAGTGGCCGCACCTGGTACCTCCCTAACTTGCGTCAAGTCCGCCTTGGACTCCCACTCCTGCCTGCTTCTTGCTTGCTCCTGCCACGGCCGCCGGCCTTGCGTTGGATCGACCAGCAGAGACCACCCCACCATCTTCCCTCAACCAAATTTACTATATCTCGCGCGCCCTTCCACCGTCTTCCATCTCTTCCGTCCCTCCCTCCCTCCTCCTTCTGACATTGAAAATTCTCTTCTACACATCAATCCAATCTCTGACCTCGTCGAACAAACCGACGTGATCCCTATTCAAGGTAAGACCTAGCTCCTAACAGCTCCCTCAAGCTCTACAATCTCCTCCATCACCCCACCCGCTCGCTACCTCGATAAATACCCCGCCTACGCATATCGGAGACACCCGTCGTTCACAAACGCCTGAGAAAACTCAACTGACTCCTGCAACCGCCAGACATACCGCAAGCATCAATCACAACAGACAACATGGCTCCCATCAAGGTCGGCATCAACGGCTTCGGTCGTATCGGACGTATTGTCTTCCGCAACGCCGTCGAGCACCCCGAGGTCGAGATCGTTGCCGTCAACGACCCTTTCATTGAGACCAAGTACGCTGTGAGTATCACCCCACTTTACCCCTCCATGATGATATCACATCTGTCACGACAATACCAGCCTCATCGGCCACTGGGAAAGAAATGAGCTAGCACTCTCGATCCTGTGACCCAGGATACTGAAGCGGCTCGTCCCAATGGCATGATGTGACTAGGTCACGAAGAAATAGTTGGGACAACATTTGCTGACAGACCACTACCACAGGCCTACATGCTCAAGTACGACTCTACCCACGGCATCTTCAACGGCGACATCCAGCAGGATGGCAACGACCTCGTCATCAACGGCAAGAAGGTCAAGTTCTACACCGAGCGTGACCCCGCTGCCATCCCCTGGAAGGACACCGGCGCCGACTACGTCGTCGAGTCCACTGGTGTCTTCACCACCATCGACAAGGCGAAGGCCCATCTTCAGGGCGGTGCCAAGAAGGTCATCATCTCTGCTCCCTCTGCCGATGCCCCCATGTACGTGATGGGTGTCAACGAGAAGTCCTACGACGGCAGCGCCGACGTCATCTCCAACGCTTCTTGCACCACCAACTGCTTGGCTCCCCTCGCCAAGGTCATCAACGACAAGTTCACCATCATTGAGGGTCTCATGACCACCGTCCACTCCTACACTGCCACCCAGAAGACCGTCGATGGTCCTTCCGCCAAGGACTGGCGTGGTGGCCGCACCGCTGCTCAGAACATCATTCCCAGCAGCACTGGTGCCGCCAAGGCTGTCGGCAAGGTCATTCCTGAGCTTAATGGCAAGCTCACCGGCATGTCCATGCGTGTGCCCACCGCCAACGTCTCCGTTGTTGACTTGACTGTCCGCATCGAGAAGGGTGCCAGCTACGAGCAGATCAAGACCGCCATCAAGGAGGCTGCTGATGGTCCCCTCAAGGGTAAGCTTTCAATCTCAATACCGACAATGAACTATTGAACATGAGCTGACTGTTTTAAAGGCGTCTTGGCCTACACTGAGGACGACGTCGTCTCCACCGACCTGATCGGCAACCCCAACTCCTCCATCTTCGATGCCAAGGCCGGTATCTCCCTGAACGACAACTTCGTCAAGCTCGTCTCCTGGTACGACAACGAGTGGGGATACTCCCGCCGTGTCCTTGACCTCTTGGCCCACGTTGCCAAGGTTGACGGCTCCAAGTAAATGTGCGGTACACATGAGGCTGTCGCGGAGGGGAAACAGGACCGAAAGTGTCCATTAATGAGATGATAAATCAACGAACAACAAAAGCAGTAAAATGAAGATGGGCAGGTCTTTCAGGTGGGAGGGCCTCGAAGGCCAGGGAGGATTATGGTTGTCTCTATCCTACAAACAAACGCCCCCCAAATATATGCCCGTATGACGCCTATGAAATAGATTATGCCTACCCATCACAGTCTATGCCGATGCACAGTGATCACATTGTGGCCCTGAATTTTGATTTTTTGATCAGGTCATTTCGTGAGTAGGCGGGATTGATGCAGCGATTGTTCGTGTCAGATCATTCGCGACGTCCAGCTATGCTACCTTCCTAGCTACCTAAGCCTTTGCAGTATGAGATGTGACGAGTCTTTGAGCTGTGAGGGGCTGCTAGTGCGGGGTCGCTCCATGCCCGCATCTGGTAGCTCTCTTCCACCCCGCGCGTCGTCGCCACTACTGTTGCTTCAGAGCATTTGAAAAAGAACAATCCAAGAGAGATACAGCCATTATCTGTTGATCCAGAAGATTCTGATAGCCCTGTTGATATTCCATACAAGAGACGGCGTCTAGACTTCACTGGTTTGACGAAGGATCATGCAAAGGGCATCCAGAAGGCTGCCATATCCCTTATTATAGATGCCAACCTTCCCTTCAGCGTCTATGAGAACCCTGCCTTTCAGTATATGATCTCTGGGATCAGTACAAAGCTGCAAACGCTAGTATGGTCTGCCACTTTAATGGTTAATGCCCTTTAGTGTATCTGGAAGCAACAGAGGATGGATATTCAGCAAGAACTTCTCTATACTGACTCTGAAATTCATCTGGGCTGTGATCTATGGACCTCCCCTGGTCGCTATACTATTATGGGCGTCACTGCACACTTCATCATCAAGGGGAAGGGTTCCCAAGTACATCTGATTACAATGAGGAAGTAACGTAGGGCTCATAATAGCGTCAATCTTGTAAACACCCTAGAGGACTGGAGGTAATTCAAGACTAGGGGATCACAAAGTAGGTAAAAACTTTCATCTCTGACAACGCAAGCTCAAACAACACTTGCATAGTAAGTCTGATCCCTCGAATTGATCTATCTATGAAGGAGAGGTAAGATATAATGGCCAGAAGGATTCGTTGCTTTGGGCATATCCTCAATCTTGTATCGAAGGCATTCTTTTTGATGGTAAAAAGTTCAGAGACATCTGACCCATCATCAGTAGTTGAAGTTAAAAGGATACCGTGAATGATTTACTTCTAAGGTAATGATGTCCGCGTCGCGATGAAGAATGACAAATCCAGAAGAACTACCCCTTGCGTCCGTTCAGGAGGATATGGTGAACGTACAGATCGGTGATGCTTGATCTAAGCGATGCGACCCCAAAAGCAAATAACGGAAAGACTCTCAGCGATGCCTAGTGATCCTACGTATCAAAGCTTCTGGTGATGTCTCAATCGCCTATGGCAAGCTGGGCGGTAGCTACTACCAAAGCAGCCAAGCTCACTAATAGAGACAAATCTCCAAAGCTGAGTGCAATGACAAACGTCCAGAATTTCAAGGGATCTCTGTGATCGAACATAAGGGTCTTGAAATCGTTTGGGCTCTGAACGGTCATGTAGTCTTGAAGGCGCACCAACTTCTCTCCAAGGAGCGGGAAATCAGCACGAGCGGAATAATTGCTCCGTGTAGGTGGTGCTCGGAGATATTCGAACAGGAGGTTCTCTTGCCACCTCTTCGAGCATAAGTCCCAGAGGATGTCGTCTTTGTGTCGGGCCTCAAGCCATTCTTTTTTGGCGTGAGAACGCACTGTTCTCCGCGATGCTGACTCTTGAGCGAAGATAATTCCGAATGATACCAATATCTCCCTACACAGGTCATCGAAGGGCTGCTGATTGCCCTTATGTGCTTCCCCGCCTGACACGGCGTCTTCTTCGTCTGAAACTGTGTGTTCCTCGTCTGACCCAGCGTCCTGCTCGTCTGACACAGCGTCGACATCTGCGAGGTCGTTAACGAGCCTGTGTGTACTTTATTAGACATGGACTCGTAGTAACCAAACATGCAGATGTTTGTATCTTGGAAACATACTCGCTCAAAGGAGCCGTGGATTGCGGATCGCTCAGACAGATGACGGCGCAGTACGACGGATATGCAAAGAGACTTAGTGTCCGATTGCGCTCGTCCAGATCAAGATGTTGAACCATGTCGTGAACCCACACAATACGAAGCTTCCCGACCCAGTGAATATTTGAATAATAAATATTTGAGGCCATGATCGAGTCACGCTTCTCCTCAATCGAAAGATTAGAGGCCTTTATCCACGGAAGACTCCGTCCAAAAGTGAGAAGATTCATCGACCTTGAGTAAAGTCCGACTCATCCGAATATTAGGCACAACAATTTCTTGGTCACTATGACACAGAGGTTCACTTCACTTTCATGGTAGCTAGAATATGATGTCACTACGAGCTGGGAAAATAACATGGTCATAGTCTGGACAACAAGCGAGAATGTAAAATGAGTCGTGACAGGGAGACAACTATGCAGCTTAAGGCTGGGGTCGCAACTACCGAACAGAAGAAACCCGCAACGAATGTCTTGGGCACGAATCAACTCTGGTTATGACTCTTCGTCACAATTTGAACGCAAATTGACTTTTGTTCCCATAGGTCAGATCATCTCATGAGTAATGACAATCCTGCCCACGTAGTGGTGCCCTACATCTCTGGGACATCTGCCTCCCAGCTCATGAGCTTGGGAGGGGGTTGTCGCTTGAATACGATAGCATCCCACGCGCTCATGATTCTCAATATCAATGGCTCCGCATTGGTGGGTGCTATGACAGTAAGTCCGAATGCCCTACCATTGAAGCGCGCATAGCCGAGCGGAAGGGTACCAACGGGGTAGCCTGCAAGGATCGCAACACTTGTCCCTCGCCCGGTAGGTGGACCATTCAATACATCAATCTCATTCTCTCGGAATACAGCATCCAAGCCTTCGGCTCCCGTGTTGAGCCGCAAGGTCGTCGTGTACTCCTGGTACTTCTCGGCGGAGAGGTCGGCTGCCTTGACCACGTCTTCGATGTATTGCTGGTCAGAGGTCCCTGGGACTCCAGTGATTAGAATAAAAACTATCGCTTTCGTGTTTGCTTCCCATTTACCTTCTGGTAGGCATTCGGATGCGTGCTCTCTGTTGAAATCGACCAACTCCTGCAGTGTTTTGACCGGAGCTTGGTCGAGCCCTTCGGCGAACTCTTCGAATCCTTTGCGCAGGTCATTTGCTTCGCCATGTCAGTCTTCGTCAAGAATTTCACTGCGTATATTCGAAAAAGAAACATACAGATCAAGTCGTTGAACTTCTTGTCGTCCTCGGAACTGACGAGAGCAACATTGCGCTTCACCTTCGCACCAGACTTCTCCACGAGATCAATTGCTGCATTGACCGTTTCAATCTATATAAATATTGTATTAGTCTTTTTACCGATCCATGATGAAGCGAATCATGACTGTGAGGGTTGAGCTATGAATTCCCAGTTGTTGTGTGTAGTCTTCATTCGGTCGACAGACCGCCGGTCCCGATAACCATTGTTTTGTATCGAGAAATCCAATGCGAAGGTCTTTGAAGGCTCCGGTCAGGAAGTCGACGTGCGAGACATCCTTGATCGGCGTCAAAATGTCTAAGAAAGCAGCGAGGTCCTCGGGAGACTTTGTCATCGGACCGACAACGTCGGTCAGTTTAATACCAGGCAGACATCCGCGCGTGGATATCTTCCCGATAGTAGGTTTGATCGAGTAGAGACTAGCACGATCGCTTGGCTGCAATACGGAGCCCTCAGTCTCGGTGCCAAGAGCGAACGGCGCCATGCCAACTGCTGCTGCGATGGCTGAGCCTGAAGAAGAGCCAGCCGGAGTCTGCCAACAGTTAGCGTCGCTACGAAAGTCATAGGTGCGACTAATTTACGCTGTGGCCGAGAAAGGTGTCCGTTGGATCGATTCCGTCCTTGATATAAGGCGATTGGCTTTGTCTGCGCTCGGGAGAAGAAACGTCAGACTTCATCATCAGCTACGGTGTCAAACAATACTTACCCTCCAACCACCGAACAACCGATGAAGCCGCCAGACCCCTTGTAGCCAGCCATTTACTAATGTTATAAGTTAGAAGTGAATGAAAGACGCCTGAGATCAGATGAACCTGCCGAAAGGTTTGCCTTGCCGAGCAGAATCAACCCAGCATCTAAGAGCTGCCAAGTTTGGTCAGCACAAATATGGAGACCTTTTGAATCTCGTACGAACAGCTTGAACCACATCTGCATTGTTCTTAGCCTTGGCCTCCTTCAAGGCCCAGGCGCCGCATGTTGTCGGCAAGCCAAAGCTTGCAGCGGTCCATATGTTATCCTGTAACTCGAGAGATACGGATTAGATACTGGCAATCCAAACAAGACCGTCACAGACGCACCTTGACCACGAAGGGAATGCCATGGTAAGGGCTTCGGACCCTCCCCTCTGCGCGTTCTTGGTCCAACTTTGAAGCTGTCTCAAGGAGCTGCTCTTCTGGCACCACGCTGATGATCGCGTTGAGATGCGCGCCAGCCTTGTTGTGCTTGCGGATCTGTTCAAGGTAGGCTTTCGTGAGCTCAACAGCTGTGACTTCCCGTCGGGCAAGCAGGCGGCTGAGCTCAGTGGCCGTCGAAGTCAACACGTTGAACGCCATTGATCTAGTGGGCGATTTCTGGGGTATTGTTCCAAGCGATCTGGTGTTAAATGTGAACGAAAACACCGCTCATAATAGGGTCTATCGCACCTCTGAAGAAAATGCGCTTGACGCAGAATAGGAAGCCTGCAAATATCAGGATCCGGGCGATAAACAGATGTTTCATGAGATCTCCTGGGTACATCAGGCAGGGCTTTGGTGCGACTCAAAGCCAACTTCAAATGCGACGGCTTGTATGCAGTCTTCGCATAGAATCTGAAGAAGGGGAAGAAGGGGAAGAAAATGTGGAATGGATTGATACCCACGAAGTGATGTGCATGATCTAGGCAAGGCATGTAGGGTCCGAAGCGCTGATGAGGCCGATAAGTACATTGGGCAGCGCTGCCGCAAGTGCAAAGGGTTTGACAAACAATACAACGCAATTAAGCAAAGGGAGGCCATCGCCTCTACCAGGGTTCGATGATACTAGAAAGTGGGCACTTCTATTCCCAAACGTATCATCAAATAACAGCATTGCAGGCAAAAACAAAGCTTTGTTTTGAACGTGTTTGATTCCTCTTTGGATTGACTTGTTTCAAACTAGTGAATCTTGACCACCACTTTGCAGTGAGATGAGGCCTTTTGTGCTTTCCCCCTTCCATCGTTGACGCGCAATTGCCCTGGGCAAACCAAACTTGCCTTTCCACAAACAAACATCCAGTCCGCAGAAGATGAGGTTGATGGATATCTTTATAAAAGTACACACACACGCGCGCGCGCGCGCGCACGAACACATACAATAGAGTCCGTAGACACAAGCCTGATCATCTCCTTAAACGCCAGGCTGAAGACAAGGAGAAAAGGGGAAAAAAACAAGGCCGTCGAGTTGTTGGAGTTGATATCAGACAAAGTGAAGAAAATCCTACGTGTCTTGCTCGCTCAGAGAGACTCAGGGTGGTGTGTTTTTCATACATGATGGGCCGCCGCCCATATTTCGACCATACGCCATCTCGCCGCGGCCAGCCTCCGAAAAAAAGAAGGGGTTTGGTTCATAATACATGTCATTAGGAGGGCCCTAATGCCCGTATCCTTCTGTCTGGGTGTATCGAATCGCTCGCGAAGCTCTCGTCATATGGAGGCGTTGCGTTCTCCGCTGTGGAAGAGGAGGTATCGACCAAAGTCTTCGACTCGCCCTTGTCGACATCCTATGACAACGTTCCGTTGGCGGCTGACACTGTGACCTCGGCGCGCCATGAGACGCCCTCCTCCTGCGCCCAGCGCCGCATGATCCTAAGAGCCGACGATACGGCTTCCTCCACGGTCGTCCACGGGCCCATGTTCGTGCGCATCGCTGGGACTTCGACGCGCTCCGTCGAGTCGAATGCGGACTTCCATACATTTGATCGACCTCTTTCTGCGCCAATAATGTGTACTGCGTGAGTTGCTGGATCGAGCGACCAGTAGCACTTGATGAGCTCCTCATGGATCACGCCATGCAGCTGCCAGAATAGTGCCTCCAATGGTTTGCTCTTTCGTACATCGTTGCGCATGACGTTCAGCAACGGCAGGATGCTGCTCCACTGCTTGGGATCCTGTGCCTTATTCTCTATACGCCGCGACTCGAACAACGCTCTAAAGCTGACCATGAATGCCATCGCCGTTTCCAGTCCGAGCATCATGCTGAGTTTGATGTCAGAGTCTGAGACTGGAGCACCCCGGTCGCCGTGCTTTCGCTCTAGCAGTATGTCGCGCTCGTGCTTTAGCTTGGTGCCGAGTTTGCTGAATCGGCTCCAGCGGTCACGGAGCGCCTGGATCCTATGAGGGTTCGCCGCTTCTCTGCTGTCGTCTCTGGTTTGCGGCCGGTCTCGGTCTGATGACGGCGGCGCGGGAGTTAGGCTGTGGCCGTCCCCAGGGGTGTTGACCGAGTTGCTTGACGCCACTCTTGACATCGATGTGGCCCCTTTCGAGGGTGTCGAGGGCGTAATGAGCTTGGAGGAGCTCGTGATTTCTGACGTCCGAGGTCGCTTCACCGCGATCGAATCGCCAACATTCTCGGTGCTGGTGATCGGTCGCTTCCGCGCCTGCGGCGGTGGAGGCTCTATACTCACTGACCGCTCCTTCTTGACGTCTTTTCTTGGGGGTCCTAGGGCTAGTAGCCTCTGAACCGACTTGGTGTACTTTTTGCTGTACTTCAATGTTACCATAAACCTGCGAGGTTTATCCTTCGGTCTCTCCTTCTCTTTTATTTCTCTTCGGTCATCTTCTTCCCTCTTCACTACTACGTGTGGTCTCTTGCCGCTTGTGGGTGAATCTGGGGGCTGTGTTTTTTGGCTTGGATCGGAGCCTTTCGTTGGAGTATTTTTCATTCGGGCCAGCTCCTCCTCGAGCATTGGGGGAAGTGTCGGAGAAAGGAGCGCCGGAAGCTTGACGGGAGATTTTGGCCTCTTGATAGGCGGAGGTGGCTCTGCTCGTAAGGACTTTTGCGGCCTGTTGTGCTCGCCAGGATCATCTCGTCTCTTATCTTTCGATCGAGAATCGGATTCGTTCGGTAGGTGCAACGGGGATAGTAACGGCGGAACTGCTGACCTCGAAGACGCCGTATCAGTTCGTGCCCTACCGCTGGAAGAGGGGCTGGGTCTGTTGCCATTGATAGAGTCGCCTCGCGCACGGGAAATGGGAGACTTGTTCGCGCCTGAGCCTAGGGCTGCCTTGAGAGCAGATCGCCCGTTCGGTAATGAAGATGAGCTTGTGCCCAACTTGCCGTCCTTTTGCGGCGTCCTGTCTTGTGACGAGTGCATCTCTTTTCTTCTCGGCGTATCGTCTCGAGGTGTTCGCGATCGCTCGTCGAGCGGTGTGCTAGCTTCGGGTTTCGCTCGTTTCTGAGGTCGCAGTTCACCCTCCACGTCCGCGACTCTTTTCCTCTTCTCTGGGGTATCATTGCTGTCCTGGGCTGCCCTAGGCCTAACTTCGGGTCTGCTCGTTCTAGAATAGGTCAGTCAGCCTGCAGACATGGAGCGCAATGAGACAAGCCCAAAGTCGTACCTTTCATAGTGGGCGCCGTCGCGTGCCTTATGCGCCTTGACATCCCTTGATGCGTCCGTTTCCCGATGTCTGTATACATCCGTCCTCTTGGGTTCGCGGTCAATTCGACTTTCTATCAAATCCCTTTCCTTTCGCGAGACGTCCGTCTTGGGCGTCGATCCGGAGTCGGGAGGAGAATCCGACACCTTCTTCTGCTTGTTCTTATAATCACTCAGTGACAGCTTCGTCACATTCTTCCTTTCCATTTTCACGTTCGAGTCTTTTACAGCTGGTGGAATCGGCGGTTCTTCGCGCATATCATAGTACGGGCGAGTGAGTAGCATACCGCGATCCGCGTCGGACAACAGCGTCATGTACTGCAGGCGCTGGTATTTGTACTCCTCAAAGGTCTTGCTATGATCGGGCGGGACTCGAAAACGCTGATCGGGGGACACGGAAAGATGATGCGGTCGATCGGGCAGGATGCGCTGGGCCAGCAGTTGGACCTTTTTCGCCGCTGCTTCCATGGTTTAGTGGCGTTTGCATGCCGTGGGGGCATGAAGGAACAAGAATCGCAATATGCGCGGTCGTGAGCGCAAGACAAGAGGGTGGGATGGCGCGGTGCGATGGTGGTGAATGAATTGTGGTTGGATAGCGAATGTCAGGATTGCGGTTAAACAACAAAGACTCGCGATGGTTGGCAACCGATGCAAGATCGATGGGTGACGCAGGGGGTGGAATGGGCGCCGGAGTAGAGCACAAAGCTCTCTCCGCAGCCCACAAATGTATTGATTCGAGCCGGCGGCAATGGGCGCCGACAATTAGGCAAGCTGGTGTTGTTGTCCAGGTTTGGGCGCCGGTGAGGATATGTCGTGATAGCGTGACGTGGGTGTGCGGTGCCGCCCTTACGTGGGCTACCTAGGTAGATGAGGCGGATGGAGTAGTAGTGTTTTTTGTGGTAAGGATCGAAAGACACGCGAGCAGATGGTATCAATGAAGCTATGGGCGATGAGTGCGGCGTTGTTCGGATGCGACGATGGCGGTCGCGACCTGGGCTAGGTGTCGAGCGAGACTGTTGTGCTCGGAGAGTTCTGGCGGTGGTGGTAGTTGGGGTCGTGGCAGTGGTGTATGCAGCGTCCGAACATCAATCCTTGCAGCAGCGGGAGGTCAGAGGAGCCGCAGCGCATTTCCCGGCGTGGCGTGCTGCTGGGGGATTCGATGGGTTGAGATGCGATGCGAAGCCAAGCTCAGCGACGCGGCGCTCAGTGGTGCAGGTCAATCGACGACGCGAGTTGAGGTTCGGGTCGGTGCGAGGAGGTGTAAGAGCGTCGTCCCCAGCAGGCCTAGAGAGCAGGCAAGCAGTTGCGCCGGATCCAGACGGGGTTGAGGACGGGACGACGTGCCGCAGGTCGATGATACGGGGTGGTACAAGGGTCAAGGTAGGAGGTGGTATTGGAAAGGGTCGAGGTCGCGGGTCTTTTGGAGGACGGTGGACGGGACCTCGCGAATGGGGTGGGTTTTGGACGTGGATGGGAGGTTCAGGACATTGTCCACTCACTACCTACGTCAGGCAGGTAGCGCGGTAGCGCGCTAGGTACCTCAGCTTACACTGAATGGACGGGGACCAGCACACTGCCCAGGTGGATGGTGCGAAGGTGGAGGGGAGAAAAAGGTGGATGCCGAGCCTGACCTGGCAAGTGGCAAGGTAAGGTAGTCCAGCCCAGTTGGATGGGTTGAGGAGCCTTAGCCCTGGCATTCACCGTACGGTGCGCCTCTGTACGATAAGAGTGGGATGGAGTTCAGGACCGGTCAGGTAAAGAAACAACTTTGGAAGGGCACAGGCAAGATTGGTGAGGCCGGCGCAGCTCTGAAAGGCAAGTAAGGCAAGACACGCGCTATCTCGCGGCCAAGCCAGACCAATGACAGGCGTGGACGGCAACTGCTGGACGCAGATGATGCGAGACGGCAGGTGATGGAGGTTGTCTCTAGCGCCAACTTATTGAACCTGGAATTGGATGTGCGAGGTTTAGATCGGTGGTGCGCCTGGGAATTGGGTGCGGCGCGTGCGTGCTTACAGCTTGCTTCGGTCCCTAAGGGATCCCGACTTGGGCCAACACCCATACCCAGTTGCGCGGTAACTACCCTAAGAAAGCGCCCGAGCTGGAATGATATTGTCATGTACCCGTCCAGTTTACTTTAACTGTACCCCCCAAAAATTGCTTACGTTATCAACTCAGACACTACGAGGTAGAAAAGAGTTTGTGGCCGTCGACCACGTCAGGCCGCTCGCTGGCCGGTAGGCTTGCTGGAGTCAATGACCATGCCGCGACCATTGGGGAGGGGAAGGTGGCATGGGAATTTTACGAATCCTACCTAGGCCCATTTTACCTAAGGCACCCGTGTAAGGTAGCTCGGGGGGGGAGGGGGCGGCGGGGGGGGGCGGCGGCGGCGCTGATCCAACGCGCTGTGGTGGAGGGCTATCCCAGGTAAAAGAGGATGGGATGCAAAAATTGTCCGACAAGGCGGCTAACTCACCCAAGGCCAGCCACAGGTTGCCGCCATTTTGGGGGTCCACATTGTATCAACATGTTTGTTCATACTTGTTTGAACAACCAACAGGTCCGAATACTGTCTTTATCCGACACAATCTATAGACTTGCGGAGACAATACGCTTCACTGTGGCTTGCCCGATTCAAGTCACAATTCAGAGCAGTCAACATGTTCCAAATCCAGGCAATTAAGAATCTTTCAACAAACACAGCTTAGCGTGGTCACACCCAACGGGTTTCTGACAGACGTTTACGCCATTGGCAAGTATATCAACACACTCGATGACCAAGTTACTAGAAATGTAGGCGTCCGCTATAGGCGCAGCCTCTCAGTCTAGAGTCGTGTCTCCAGGCAAGGTACCTGAACACAGGTAGCCTAAGGTAAAGTGAACAAATATCTCATGTACAAGTGCTCTCGTTCGTATGGAGAATACACCTTGGTATTGTAATTGAATCCTTTGCGCCGTCTTCCCTGGTATCATGCTGTACTCAAACGCCCAATGCATCAACTCCCTTTCTTCAATGCCTGCCGTTTGTCATTGCTACCGGCCCGTATTGAGGGCTCAGCCTACGTTTCTTATTTGCAGGCTCTTCTTTCGACGCCATTTGTCTCTCCAAAAATATCAGTCTCTGCTCGTAAGCTATTACCTGCCTGGCCATCTGATCGACCTTGGGCCCAAGTGCGGCTTCCGTTGGCTGATATCTGTCAATGTGCTGCAGAATGGCCTGGTAGAGGCTCTCCGTCGTCAAGTTGTTCATTTGTGCGTCGACACCCATGAAGTTGTGTTGCACAAACTCAATCTTGCCCTCGGCGGCCTGCACCTTTTCCTCTGTAGCCACAAATCTTTGTTCAATGTCGTCCAAGCGCTGGTGGTCCGCCCGGAGATCGTACGCCTGGGTTTCCAGGAGGCGAATTCGTTCAGAATGCTCGGCCTGGCTATCGCTTGCTAACTTTGCCGACTCAGAAACAGCCTTGATGCTTTGGTCAATCATCGATAACTGCGCCTTCAAGGCTTCAATCGCAACCTTGATTGATGCCGAGTCGTTTGACGCGTGCCTTTGAACTGCTGCATCCGCAAAATCGGCCGGCTCTGACAAGGCGTGTACGGAACGACGTGGACTCTGACTGGACACAGCCTCAAGCACCCTGATCCGCGTATCGTAGTCCTTCAACTTTCCTTCGTATGAAACGGCGGTCTTCGAGTCACTAGTCGGTGTCGATAGGCGGCTGTTCTCTGTACTACGATTCGATTTCTGGTCTGACCCTTTCTCGAGCGTCTTAAGTTGAGCCCACGAGACCGCGTCCGTCTGCAGCGTTGGCATTTGTCGCTCCACAATGTCGATTCGCTTCTTTACGTCCTCAATCCACCTATGGTATGTCTCGAAAACATGAACGTTCATGTTTTTGAAGGCTTTGACCGCTAAGAAGTTGTCGCCATCTGGTGGGCGTGGTATTTCTGAACCAAGTTTCTCTATGCCCGACTGGAGCTGCGTCATTTCGGACTTTAGCTGCTGAGCCTCTATTTTGATATGCTCGTTAGCATATTCGAGTTTCTCAACACCTTTCATGACGTAGTCGGTGTCGGATCTTAGTTGCTGCGTGTTTGTCTTTAGGCGCTCAGCGTCGCACTTGATTTCGTCAGCGCCTCGTTTAAGGCAGTCGGTTTCCGACTTTAATTGGGCAGTTTCAGACATGATCTGTTCGACGTTTGTCTGGATCTTCTCTGCGTGGGAATATTGCTGTTGAATGTCAGACCGTAACTGCTCGACACCGGATCGACTGATATCTGTGTCCGATCCGAGCTTCTTGTGTTCTGCCCGAAGGACAATAATATCTTCCGCAGCCTTCTTGACATTCTGCTCTAGTCTTGGCAATGTTGTCGCAACGGCACTGCAGCTGTCGCTGATGAGGTCGATATCCATCTCACCGAGCTTGCCGTCGTGCTCGAGTACTTGATTCTCTAGCTTGAGCATTCTGTCCTCGTATTGGTTCACAAGCGTCTTGACTTCCGTCAGCTCGTCGGTCGTAACAGCATTTTGTTGTGGCGGTGCCTGAGTCGACACAACGTCTGGCTTTTTCTCTTGCAGCCGCTTGATAGATGCGCCGTGGTCATCGGCCTTAGAAGTCAGAGACTGGTGACGATCCTGCAATTCTTGAACCTTCTTTTTCAGAGCCTCGTTCTCGATGCCCAGAGCCTCACGCTGGAGAGTCTCTGTTGAGAGGCTTTCTTGAAGTTCCTCTATCTGTTTCTTTTGTTTCGCAGAAGCTTCTTTATGTTGTTTCTCTAGCGCATCAAGGCGTGTATTGAGCCGTGTCTCGAGTCCGTCCTGGGCGCTAGGGACAGCTTGGCGGCGATCTTTGTCTTTCAGCTGCAGCTCGGTCATAGCCTGGAGCATAGCAGCAGCATATGCCTCCGCTGAAGCCTGCCATTGTTGGTCTGCAATCTTCACCTCTCTCCGTAATGCATCTAGTTCACCGGTATCTCTCTTCTCTAGCTTCTGATGGTACTCTCTCAAGGACGGAAATTCAGCATATTTGGGGTGCGACTGGGCGTGCTCCCGCTCCCGAGTTTTAGCCCGCGCCTCAACTACATCTTTCCGCAGCTGGAGTGCGCCCTGTTCGTTACTTCGCTGAGTAAGCTGCCGTAAAGCTGCAGTGATCTTTGCCGTTGATGTTGTATCGTTCGCGGATCGAGGGGTTGGCGGTGCTGAAGATGCTGGTGCCGAAGATGCTGGTGTCGTTGATACCGTCGGTGGTCTCCTTGGCGCTGGAACAACGTTTAGTATCAGCTCCCTAGCCAGAATGATACTCTACCCTTACATGGCTGTGACCCGCGGTTGGGACGGGGTTCCATTGGTATGCCCGACTTGTTGAGCACTGGCGAAGAGAAGGTTCGTGTGGGAGGGAGAGTATCTCGTTGACCAGCGGGCGGCGGCGGCCTCAACGGGTCTATTTGTGTCTTTGATCGATCACGATCAAGATCCTTGGGTCTATCCCTTTCTCTTTCCACCTCTCTGTCCCTTGAGTCGTCCCTGTCTCTATTCCAGGCTCGATCTCTTTCAGTCTCTCTGACCCGCTTGTCTGGCGAAGTCGATCGTGATGGTGAGCGATGATAATCTCGAAAGAGGTCGCGGTCTCGGCGGTCTCTCTCTCTTTCACCGTCTCTTCGATCGTTGTAGTCGTAGCGGCTGCTATGGTGGCGACTATCGCTAGAGCGCCTAAAGGATGACGACGACGACATGGTTCTAGCGGGCGGAGTTCGGACTCTCAATCGAAGCTCGATCTGTGTTTGTCGTCTCCTTTAAACATGAGATCATGTCCAGGCCGCATACTCGAAATATATGTTGCGGGGCTTGCGCGCAGGGAAAGTGTTTGCGTGTGCGCAGGTCGCAGGTGAGGCGAGGGAAGGTAAGGTAGAAGGTAAGGTTAGATAAAAGGTAAAAGGTAAGGAAGGTGAGGTATGTATCTTCGGTGGCAGGAACGAAGGTGGGGTGAGATTCCCGGAGGATTAAGAATGAAACCCAATGGCGGGAAGGAGCGCATCAAGGTCGATTACGCCTGTTCACCTAAGGGTCACTTTGTTAAAGCTCTGAGGTCGAGGCTCTAAGGTACAGGGCGTGCTAGGGAGCTGCCTCTATATGAGGACTTTCTTTTTTTTTTTTTTT